TAGGGTTAGGGTTAGGGAGGTCTTTAAGTATTCGTTCTCTCCGAGTAATTATAGGGAGGGTTGCTTTAACTATTCGGTTAATACGAAGACTCGGGTTAGCTATAGTAGTATAGCTATAGAGTAATTCCTAGATTATTCGGATATACCGAATACTAAGGAGGAGGATATTAACTACTTAGTAGAGGTAGAAATTGTTGACTACTCGGTAGAGGCGGGTATTGTTAGCTCGGTAGAGGTAGGAATTGTTAGCTCGGTAGAGGCGGGTATTATTAGCTCGGTAGAGGCGGGTATTGTTAGCTCGGTAGAGGCGGGTATTATTAGCTCGGTAGAGGCGGGTATTATTAGCTCGGTAGAGGCGGGTATTGTTAGCTCGGTAGAGGCGGATATTATTAGCTTAGTAGAGGCAGATATTATTAGCTCGGTAGAGGCGGGTATTATTAGCTCGGTAGAGGCGGATATTATTAAGTACTTAGTAGAGGCAGGAATTATTAAGTACTCGGTAGGGACGAGAGTTAAGTAGACTAGGGTTAGGGCTAGGGTTATAAAGAAGAGAATATCGTCTATATAAGATACTATAGAATCAGAGGATTCGTAGGAGTAATTATCGTTTAAAACGAATATCCCTTATTCTCCTTAGTAGTTGACTCCTTTGCTTTTCCTTTATCCTTTACCCTCTTTCTTAGTTTTCTCGCCTATAACGCAGAGTGGTTTTTGTCTACAAGCTCTACTAACAATAGGTCTCGGCGGTTACTCGAAATTAGCTTTTCTCGTCGAGATCGAACAAGTTAGTATAATTGTTTACGTTTTTACCTTTATTCTTAGCGGGAAGGAAGTAGCTCGATTTCTCTAATGTCCTCGTTTTCAACGAGAACCCGACGGTCGCATTTCTAGCGTTCTCTAACGGTTATAAGAGAAACCGTCTTATTCTCTACTATATAGGCTCGAATATAGTATAAGTAAGGAAGTTCTATTATAAACGAGAAGATACCTATATAAGGTAGGACAGGTCGTGTTTTATCCGTTGCTAACGTATACTAGGCTAGAACCTCCTAGATTACGTAACGGTATACTTTTCGGTAGAAGGACTAAAAAGTACAAGGCATTTAGATTAAAGTATAGCTCGTTTCTTCCGAAAGCTCTTGCTAATACTTAGATACCTATATTCGAAAATATAGTAGAAGCCGTTCGACGAGACCGTAAGTATTAGACTATAATATCCTAAGCTAACTTTTTATTATAGTATATATACCTTCGATCCGGGAGGTTGCTCGGATACCCTATATACGTATTCGTTTTAAACGAAAAGTCGCCTACAGTAAGGTAAATAGAAGCTATTCTTTCTCGAGGTATACAAAGCCCTTAGGCTATATCGCCTTTAACTTAAGGCAAATCGTACGGAATTCTACCTTCTCCGGAGTATAGACTGCTTTTTGGAATAAGTTATACTATTTTACTGTCTTTTCGTTATTAACGTATTCCCTACTCTCTTCCTCGGGCTCTTGCTTAAATATTGAACGGATATATATAAGGACATCCTTAAGAAGATACTACTTATAAATACGTCGGGGTACCTCGGGAAAGACTGCCTCTATAGCATTTAAGCATACTCGATCCCTATTAGTAACTAAAAGGTTTAGTATTAGGATCTCTTCCTAAACGAGAATATCTTTGATTTACTTAAATACCTAGGTATATAACTTCTCGTCCTGCCCGGCTAGAAGACAAAGGCTAAAGGGTATAGTCTTATTCCCTCTAGTAATACCGTAGAAGTCGAAGACTAGTTGTCGTAAACGATGAATCTTATAGGTATTGTCGTAAAGGATAATCTCTAGGCAACGGGCCTAGATCTCTAGGCATTCGGGGTAAACGAAAAGTAGTTACTTAAGGAAACTATTCGAGTTTACCGAGTATCGGAAGGCGAATCCTTCTAATTAGAGTAGCTCGAGTGTAGTATTAGCAATTGTCTTTCTAGAGAGTAGAAGATAACGATAGCGTTGACGGATATTGCTAATATCTTTTCGTTTTTAATAAATTTCCGGAAATTGGTCGTAGAGAAGAGATTATAAGGCAGCTACCCGAAGTCTAGAGCGTATATATCGTATAATCTCGTTTATAACGTCGTCGCTACGCTCGTGTCGCCGGTAGTTCGTAGGCAATCTAATAGTTCTAGGGATTGTTCTAAAGGGTAGATAATTATATATTATTATATTCGAATTTCGTCTATACCGAATTGTCTATACTCTATCTTTGTCTTCTTTATCTACGGCTATATACCAAAGTTATATAGGACATTAGTGTTTATACGAGCTAGATTTTCGTCGACGAGAAGAAGTATCTAGTTTTCGATAGTTCCGAGTTTTTCTACTATATATATATCGTACTCTTTTCTAGGTACCTCGATTCTTTGTATTAGAGATAACAAGGTCAAAACTATATTTACGAGTCTACTTTTTAACGAACTCCTTTAGCAATTTGATAGAATCAAAGGTTTGCTTAGGTAGAGGAGGTATCTTAAATTCCTCGTTAGAACCGAGATCCTCCTCCTCCTCCTCCTCCTCCTCCTCCTCCTCCTCCTCCTCCTACTCTTCCTTCTCTCCGTTAGAGTTCTCGGGCTTACCGAGAAACTCCTCCTCCTCCTCCTATACTCCCTTCTCTCCGTTAGAGTTCTCGGGCTTACCGAGAAACTTATCCTCCTCTTGTAAGTTCTCGGGCTTAACGAGGAACTCGTCCTCCTTCTCTCCGTCCTCCTTCTCGGACTTAACGAGGAATATATCCTCCTTCTCTCCGTCCTCCTTCTTAGACTTAACGAGGAATATATCCTTCTTCTCTCTATTAAAGTTTTCGGCTCTAACGAGATACTAGAGAGGTAGAGGGAGAGTAGGAATACTCGGAAGAGAGGAAGCGCGTATCCGAGGAAATTTACTACTAGCGCGATTACGAGCGTAAGTACGTAGAAGAGAAGATATACGTAGTAGGGCAGACATTATATCTTAGTAATAACGTATCTTGGTAATAATAGTAAAAATGTGATAATAATAATAATGTATCTTAGTAATATCGAAAGGTTAGTATACGCGATAGTACGACAACGCGATAGTATAACAAGATAATAGCGCGAGTTAACGCGCTGTATTAAATACACGAAGGTTTACGTTGATAACGAGCGGCGGAGATATGTTACTGTACAGGTTGGGTGAGTTACGTCTAGGGCTGCGATTAGACGAATCCAAGGGCTGCCTATAGCCCCGCCGTAGAGTGAGGGAGTGAGTGAAAGGAGTGAGTAAGGTACATGTACCTACCTAGGAATGAACTACGGACTCCGAAACTACCTGTACCTTACTGTCTCATTCTCTTCTCTCTCTCCTTCTTTATTACTCTCTTATCACTTTCTGCTTTTGTACTCTCCCTCTCTCTCCCTCTCTCTCTCCAGTCACACCTCACCAACCAAAGCACAAATCACCATCCCTACCTAGGTAGGTACCTAGTTGGGGATTTCCCTCCCGAACACCCTCCTTGTCGTCATCATTCGAGGCGCAGCCTTTTCTTCACAATACGCCCCCAAGAACTCTAGACTTTCTTGGACGTCCTTGAGACACAGAGGCCGTACCGCACCGTACCGTGTTCTCGGCATGTTTGGGAAACTTTGGAGAGCACCTGGGTATGCAAAACCTGTGCCTCGCGGGATATTCGCATTTCTTTTTCCACTCCCTCTCTTTGTGAAAGCAAAAATGATATTACCTCCTGTCAGCGGACAATTGGCGTGGCGTAGAGTTGAGGTACATGTATGTACCTTATGTAGATAAGTAGAATAGATACAAGATAGGCAGGTACATTACAGTACAGTACCGACATGATACATGATACATGTAGGAGGTGGTAGTTTGATGGCAGTAGTTCGGAACGATCTAGTCCCGGACTAGATCTAACCACTTGTCTCTCCGTCCGTTCTTCTCGACCTTTTTTACTCGCCTACATACCTCCTACAATACTAGGGCATGCCTGTCAAACTCGCGCAAAACTTCTTCCTCTGTGATCCATTGGAGAGCTTACTTGTACCGTACCGGATCGCAACGGCGCCGTGGAATCTCTGATCATGATGATGAGTGAACGGGTCGGCAATTCTATACCATTTTACTACGCCTGCTGCTGCGGCTGCGGATGCGGCTGAGTGTAGTCAACTACTGCCGTGAAGAAGATGGGGTCGTATTCGCCCGCGGCTTGCTCATTCGGTAGGTAGGTATTCTCACATGTATCTGACCTTGCAGTCAGTCGTCTTGGGTGCAAAGCCGGAGAGATATCTATGACGACGTCCTTTCTCGGCAGCAGGTGCTGCAGAAGAGGAGGAAGAAGAAGAAGAACAAGAACAAGCATTGAATGCTGCAATGCTGACATCGCTTCCAGATAATGTACCTGGGTCGTGTTCGACTGTTCGTCCACGGGTACCATGGGGTGAGAGAAAGTTGCTGACCAACGACAAACGACACACGTGGCAGCCAAGCATTTTGTCTTTCCTTTCGCAAGAACTCCCGTCTTCCATCTCGAAGACCGATGTTCAACGGAGCACCGGGAAGCAAGGGCACCTAGGAAGAGAAGGGAAGCCAAGGAGCCAATCGTGGCCTGACTGATAGTCATCCATACCAGAGTACCTACCTGACACAAAACGGACATCCTTGCAAAAAGGGCATGGCACTACCTCACTACTACAGTACTACTTACAACCCGTGGACTAGGTGTTGATCGTATACTACCAGGTGTATTAATCGGGCTCCGCGCGAGCGAGGTTTCGATAATAAGTACCTCTACTGCTAACTCCCCCTCACCATTCTTCTCTACCTACCTACTTACTAGACTCTCATTTGTTTCTAATTCACTCTTCTCGGCTACTGACCCTCTCTCTATCTCTCTTTGTCTCTCTCACACACACGGACTGACTGACGGACTTGACCTACGGCATTGGCGTGCTCGCAGTGATGAAGCTTTCGCCAGTGCAGGTGGCGGCGACGTGGGCCCTGATGCAAGGTGTGTTTCGATATATATCCTACCATGTAAAAGTACGTGTATAGGAAAGGGCCCCAGAGTAACAATAGCATTGGTGCTGCAGGGTCCATCGCATATGCGCAGATCGCTCGAACGTGTCCTGCATCCGACGCCAGCATCTGTTTCGCGTTGAATGTCCCCGACGCCGCAGCGACTTCGGGAACGGGCGACATCTTCTTCCAAATCCAAGCACCGGCGACGACGCACGAGTATGTCGCTCTCGCGCAAGGGACACAGATGGCCGGAGCGAATATGTTCATCCTCTACCAGAATGCGGCGGGAACAAATGTGACGATTAGCCCTCGTCTGGGGACGGGACATATGCCACCGAGTGTGCACAATGTGCAGTTGGAATTGCTGGAAGGGTCGGGGATTGCGAATGGCACCATGACGGCCAATGTACGGTGTTCCGGTTGCCACAGTTGGGAGGGCGGCAATATGGACTTCTCTACCACCAGTGCGGTATGGATCTACGCATCCAAGACCGGAACGCCCATTCAGAGTGACGCGATCGATGCCGACATCTCTTTCCATGACGACCATGGAGGATTCAGCTGGGATCTTGCGAGCGCAAAAGGTGGCAGCGCTGTCAATCCATTCGTGGCAGCAGAGGTTGCCACTACCAATGCCACGGTATCGAGCGTATCCAGTGGACCCTCGGACGCGGTCCTCATCGCCCATGCAATCTTTGGCTGTCTCGCAGTGGCATTCGTGCTCCCCATCGGTGGAATCCTGATCCGCGTGGGAAACCTCTCGAACGGTATCCTCGTGCATCAACTCATCCAGTATACAGGTCTGGTCATGTACATCATCTGCTTCGGTCTCGGAGCCTACTACGCGAGTGAAGACGGCTACTGGGGAGAGACGCATCCGCGACTGGGCACAGCCATTTTCGCATTGATGCTGACACAGCCCGTATTCGGCATCATTCATCACGCCATGTTCAAGAAGATCCGAGGACGGACGATTTCGTCGTACTTTCATCTTACCGTCGGTCGCTCCATTATTCTCCTCGGCATCATTAATGGTGGGTTGGGTCTGAAACTCACGGGGAGGGGCACAGGTGCGAAGGCGGGATATGGAGTGGGAGCGGGTATTATGGGATTGGCATATGTGGCCGCGATTGTATTTGGCGAAGCGAAGAGGGCGAAGACGCAGGGCACTTCCAGTCGCGATTCGAGCGTGGAGTTGAAGCAGAAGAGTGAAGAAGAAGCGAAACAGATGGAGGAGGGCAAATAGGTAGATAAGGATGGTCACAGTTCTCAGCGAGCGGTGTGATGGCTGTGGGTTTGGATATGGGAGTGTATGTCTGAATGTGTGTGTGTGCGTGTGTGAATATGTGTCGATATACCCAATGAGACAGATAAATGATGATATTGATGACCCCGACGGGCACCTCCCTGCCACTGCACTGTGCACCAGCAACAAAGAAGGAAATTGTACAGACACCAGCGGAGGAAGAAGTGAGGTGGTGGCACCAGTGGACTGTAATGAGAGTGGAGAAGCGGAGAAGCGAGATGAGATAGATTGCCTCGGCAGATGAGTCGGACACGGGCTCGGAAAAATGCCGAACTGAGGCACGTCACCTCCACGCGGCTACACACACGCGCCACGCGCCATTCCAATGCGCCACAGCTCATTGTAGGAGGAGCAAGGTACGCGATTCAGCCTACTACACACACACCTCCAACGCGTTCCCGACTTACCTCGTCTTTCTTTCCAATGCCTTGTTGTGTTCTGTACCGCCATTCCTCCTCCTCCTTCTTCTCCTCCTTCTCCTCCAAGACACTGTCGCATATGCGGGACATTTCGACACACCAGCGACAAGTGCCTTAGCAGCAGCAGCAGCAGCAGCAGCAGCAGCAGTAGCAGCGACCATGCTGCCCTCCGCTCCCGACGATGACTGCGACAGCTGCAAACCATCCTATCTCGTCCGACGAAGCCTGGATTCCGTCCCGCCCTCCACCGTCGTCTTCTCGTGCATTCCCTTCCTCCTGACCTGGGCCGTGACCGCCTATGTTGCGCAGTACAAGCTCTTCCCACAGCTCGTAGCGAGCAGTGCTGAGTCCGAGCGGAGGGGTGGACAGGGTGGACAAGATGGACTTCCGCAGTTCAACAAGGACACATTCGCCAAGCCCGCCACGAGTGGATGGAGAGAAAAGCTACAAAGTGCTTCGAGAGAGAAGCTGGCATCTTGGGTCTTCTCGGCCACAATCGGCCTATCTGCAGTCTTGATAGAGCTGCTTCTCTTCGAGATCTCTGATACTCTGAATCCGGCAGTGCGAGGCCTGGCGTTGCAGGTCACGCTGAACTCTCTGCTGCTGTTGATTCTCATTGTGACGCCTGCACTGGAGATACATGGCTTCGTGAGAGGCATGTTTGTGTCATCCTCAGAAACTACGTCCACGCGCAGGACACGGCCTTGGTTGCAGCACTTTCTACGATCAGCCATCTCCAAGCTGTGGCTGCTGGCTTTCTGGTACATACCTCAGGCGTCGATTCTGCGAGATACCTTGCACGGTCCCGATTCAGGACCCCATGAGGGCGATCATGGCTTTGCTGAAGCTTGTTTGGAACGACTGGGCATTATCGGCATCTCGCTTATGGCATCCTTGGCAGGCTTTGCTGCCGTCTCTTCGCTATGGCAGACTTTCGGCGTACGACACCGACCGGTGAAGGACACAGATATCTCGAGAAAGGCATCGGGACTGGCAGCCACAGAAGATATGCTTGCTGCCAAGCAAAGCAGAGTCCGCGCGCTAGAGAGGAAGATGTCTGCAGATGCCTCGTCCTCGGAACAGAAATCAGGCTTTGTGGGCCGAATGATGGGTTCCTTCCGTGGCTCCAATGAAGCACAGGAGCTGAAAGCCCTGCGAATGGAAGTCTCAGGCCTCGAGACTATGCGCTTCACACTATCGACCTCGTTGTCGAATCTACGGACACGCTACGCAGACCAAGAACGCGCAAGAACGCAAGCCGGTAAAGCGCTCAACATCATGAATCTGGTTTTCGCCATCTATTGCGCATATCGCATCTTTGCCACTTCTCTGTCCTCGTTGCGAAAATGGTGGCAGCCCACCCACTCCTTCGCCACGAGCGACCCAATCAACAAAGCTCTAGCACTGTTGACAGCACATTGGGATAGCGAATTGGATCGAGATGCGTGGGCACGACAAATCAGCTTCTTCCTATCCGGCATCATGCTCCTGGCATCTTTCAACGCAGTCTTGCAGACTTTACGCCTCTTCTCTCGTTTCGCGCCGAGCTTGCTGCAAAGGTCACAGACCAGCTTGCCTCTGGTCATATCGCAAATCGCTGGTACCTATGTCATCAGCTCGGCGTTATTGCTGCGAAGTAACCTGCCCGCAGAGGTGAGTAGCGTCATCTCGGAAGCATTGGGAGCACCCTTGGAAGGTCGTTTTGTGGAAGGCTGGTTCGAGAGCTGGTTTCTGGTAGCTGTCGGCCTTACCGCTACGGGCATTCTGGTCGGCAGGAAGGTTGGAGGAGATGCCGATTGGGATGATGATGAAGCGTATGAGATGGGAAAACGAAGTTGAAGCACAGTCATCTTTTTGCTGCTGTTTTGTCATTCTCGTGCCGGCTATCGACTGCACATATTGCGAGAAGCATTGTGTCATTGGGTCATACTTGAAGTCACACGAGCGCGCAAGAGCCCGGAAGGGTATCTGTGAGGAGGGACGCGACTATCGTGAGATCGGCTAGGGAAATGGGCACCGCTGGACCTTCTGCCTCCACTTCACCAGCTACAGCTGCGACTCCGCCAACTATTGCCGCTTCTCAGTCATGCTGTCGTCGCCTCACCAACTCGCGCTGCTCGACCAAGCGCCGTTGCGGCATGACCCGCAGGTTACTAGATACCTGACTGGGAACGACTATTATCCTATTCGCCTCTCTGTATTAACTGATGACAACTATAGTATTGAGTATGTGAGCACGGCATGTTAAAAGGAAGGCGAGAAGTCCAAGGGCAAGCACGTGAGGAGTGGTGTGTATACCTCAGCAGCTGGTTACCTATATACTGGGTTCCGACTTCACCACCCCCGACGGCATTGCGGCAGCCACTTTGGATCAGCCGGGACGAAACACTCTTCGTCGCTTCTCCCAATCCGCTCGCCATTGGAGTCGCGCCCCGCTGTCCAATCGCCGCCGCGTCGCCCCACCTCCCGGCGGTGACATGCCGATTCGCGGTGAATAGCGACGACGAGATGGAGGATGAGGTAGCTAGCGACGACGCCTCTGAGCGCCAGCTCCACGGCCAGCAACTCGGGACGACGAGTACATGTATGCGCACCCTTCCCTCCTCTCGGGCAGCCTCGATGTGTGAACGGCAGGTCCGAGGATAAAGATACGATATACATCATTCCTAGGTGTCTTAGATTCCTAGTCCTAGTTAGATCTATTTAATAGACGAATATATGTTATGAATCATCATGATCTGTGTATGACTTATTGTCTATTCCGAAACAATACTTATACTTTGTATCGTTCTAGGAGGTAGATAGGAGGTGCTTTGCTCTTTTCCTTTTTTTTCTTTTTTTTTGCGAAGGAATATGGAACGACGAGCGTATGTTTGGTTGATTGATTGATTGATTGATTGATTGGTATGACGAGTGTTGCTGTAGAGATGGATGCCATAATGGAATAATGTAAGTACATGTACATGTACGTGTGTGTGGTAAGGTAGAACACAGTCCGCCCAGTCCTCTTAAAAGCAGTCAGTACATGTACAGGCAAGGATAGAGCAAAAATAGTAGGTAACGTACCTTTGTGGTTTGCCATACCCTACCTTTACATATAGGTAACCTACCTTAGCTATGTACCTTGCTGTACCGTACCCTGCCTGACTTTATTACTCTTTCCCCTTCTTCAACCCATCATCCACAACTTTTGGAACAGGCGGGATTTCTACATTCTCGACCGTCCACTCCATGCCAATATAACTATCACTCACCACCAAGACTTTCACGTTCCTCTCCTCGAATGCCTCGGGTAGTTTCACACTACTCTTCGTATTGAGCCTGTTGCTTCCTCCTCCTCCTCGTCGACCACCAGAACCACCGCCGCCGCCGCCGCCGCCGCTCTTCTCCGGACTAGGCCAGCTGACCCTCTTCATCGCATAAATCTCGCCGTTTCCTGCATCATGCACCACGAGAAAGAATCCTTCGGTTTGCGGTTTCGGGTATCTGGGCGCGTAGATGCGATATGCAGCAGCGTCCTGCACAGGATTGATTCGAGAGAATTGGACGCTCAATCCCAGAGCGGTGACATCGGTGACTTGGATTCGCAATTGGGGTAATTGGCCTAGAGGTTTCAGGACGCGTCCGTGACTGGCGGGAGGGAGTCCGAGACTCTTTAGGACGCTGTCCAAGATTCCTTTGGGACAGGTTGTGGCATCGATGAGATTTTGGGGTCGGGAGTTTTCAGAAGAAGAAGAAGCAATTCGCTTCTTTTCTCGCTCAGCTCCAATTCCTGGAAAGATAGACAAGGGTCCATCGTCGGGCCATCTCGCGCTTTTGACGCACTGCAACAGTGTCATCATCATCTTGCAACTCTGCATATACCCCAGTTCCGTCAAGACGTCAATACTGGCCTGTAAAATACGGATAGCCTGATCGAGAACGGAATTCTGATCACCCACGTAATCACTAATGGGTAAATCGATTCTCGAAAAATGAGCTTGAAGTAAAAGATGTGCTTTGACATGGGGATCCCACATCACCATGCCCAAGTTCTCGGCATCGATGGGGAGGTTTTTGGACAGTTCAGCGTTGATGAGATCTTCGTTGTGCCGGACGGGGAGTTCGTCGTATTCTGTTGCACGACACATCCAGTTCAATACGTCCTCGAAAGTGGCTGTGGGTTTGGCGTGTTCGACGAGTGTGCGAATGGTCTTGTGGGAGAGGTAGTAGTAACTCATGATCTTGCCCAGAGGGGTAGGGTCAATGTCACCGTTGGGCATGATGGTGATGCATTGAGACTCTGCGAGTTCGTTCAGAGACTTATCAACCATTTCGATCATAAACTCGTTAGCAGCTTGTTGTGCGGCTATAGTGTTGTTCTCTTCCGCTGAGATCTCAAGGCCATAGTACGATGGGTTCTTGTGAAGACGTCGGAAGAAGAATGTCCATGTCAAGTAGTCCAGCGCATCTTGTTTGGTGGCGATTGTTTCTGCCGAGACTTCTGCACCTAAATGGTTGTCCAACACATTGTGCAAGCTGGACTCGACAGGGAATCCCGTGTGTAAGAAGTGTTTGTAAAACGGCTTCTTCGAATCCTGAGTGAAGATTCTCGCGATACCAGAAGTGTCGAATTGCGGACGTCCAGCTCGTCCCAGCATTTGAAGCACATCAGTCAGATCCATATCTTTGTAACCCTCGATTTTGGCATCGAAGAATTGCGTACCCTTCACGACAACCAGATGAGCAGGTAAATTGACACCCCATGCCAAGGTACTCGTCGCCACCAGTATCTGAATCTTGTTGTTTGCGAACAGCTCTTCCGCAAGCGAACGATCCGATTCCACTAAACCAGCATGATGCAAGCCGATACCAAAGCTCAAAGCCTCTCGAAGCGCATCATCCTTGACACGTTCCGTATTGAGCGCCAAATCGTCCTCGGACATGTGCATGAACCTGCGAGGATTATCTTCCATCCCACAAAGGTTGGTCAACGCCCGCGCTGTAAGTCTGGTCTGCCTTCGCGATGCCACAAACACAATCACAGGCTTACTGGGGCTGTGGGCCTTGATAGCCAAGAACGTAGGGCGATTCATGCTCTCCATCAGCGGACAAAATCCCCTTTGCTCTGGGAAGCCATCGATGTAGATTTCCAGAGGGACAGGACGAACCGAATGCCGAAAGTTGAACAATCCTTCTTTGACACCAAGCCAATTGCCCAGATCCATGGCATTGGCACAAGCCGTGCTCATGCCTACGATTCGAACAGAGCCTTTCTTTTGTGAGGCAATGTAATTCATACGACTCACAATGATCTCCAAGATCGGTCCACGATCACCACCGAGAAGATGAATTTCGTCAATGATGACGAGACTGACTTGCTGAACATAGCTTCTCGTCTGCCAAGAACGCGAGATACCATCCCACTTCTCGGGCGTAGTGACAATGATATCCGCGTCACGGATTGTTCGTGTATCAGGCGTGTTATCACCAGTTAATTCGACCAGTTTGAGCCCCATCTGTCGCGTCAACCGTTTCTGCCAATCCTGCACACGCTCGCGGACAAGTGCCTTCATGGGAGCGATATACACGACTTTACTACCAGGCTTCTCACGGAAAGCCCACCACATGGCCAATTCGGCCGCGATCGTCTTTCCAGATCCTGTCGGCGAGCCGAGAAGGACGTTGGCGGGTGTGTAGTACATGCAATGAAAGAGCTGCGTCTGCATGGGATTGAAGAATTGGAACCGCTGACCATAGATTTCCTCGAGCAAAGGATTCTTGAGAGCCTTGATGGGAAGAGGCTGTAAGTTAAGGAGGTCTGTGTAGACGCTCTCGGTGTCTGGTCTTATCAGGTGCTGGAACGACACGGGGAAAACAGTCTCTGCACCCAGCCATCGGTCACTCACTGCACGAACATAAATCTGGCTCGGCAACGGGTCCGACAGCGGAATCGTGAAGCTCAGCTCGTGATCATCGTACAGCTTTCGCCGACTGAGGATAAAGTACTCATGGTGATATATTTCGCTCGTCTCGGAATTCTCGACCCAGATCCAGTAGCTTTCACTCTTGCCATGATGGCGATCGTTCCATCTGAACTCAGGCGTAATGAAGAGCTTGACACGGAGTACATCACGATTCAGTGGCGCAATTTCTGCTTCCACAGAGACTGTTGGGAAGTTATCCAAGAGCTTCCCTATCACGCCACCCATCTTCTGGTTGTGAACCAAGCTGCCAATCTCCGCGCTCTCCATGTCTCGCAAGGACTCGATCGACGCAGTGCTCCCTTTCTCGTCCAACTGCCTGATCACACTCTGCGGCAGGTCAAACTGATGGAACGGATGCTCGTAAGGCCACACTCTCTTCTCGATGCTCTTGCACATGCTGAGCAGCACCAAGCATTGAAAGCCCCATCGTCGGTTTAACGCAATCATGAACAGAGCCCGGCAGATACGTGCTGCGTTTTGCGCCACGTAGGCCGTGTCAGATACCAGCGTGAAGTCTTCAAGATTCGCTTTGCTGATGTAGGACTGCAAAAGCACATTTGTCTTGCCTTGTTGGGTTCCGATGCCACCTTCAATGTCGCAGGGTGCAGCACTGTCTTTCAACCGCTTCAGTTCCTTCTCTTCGCTGTCTCGACTAGTGATGTTGTCGAATTCTCCGCTCATGCTGATCATCTTGAAGACGTCCGCCTCTGTCGCTTGCGGTTGCATCATGGTGTTGAAGATTTCCACGCTCGTCTGCAGCACGTAGAACTGACTGGCAATCCTGCCGACGTCCTTCGAGCGCAGCTCCTCGGTCGTTTCGTTGAAGATGATCATTTGACTCTGCTGGAGCACTCGAGCCGCTCTGATGATGAGGTCGCGTCTTCGCTGCACCAAATTGGGGTCTCGCTCAATCTCCGCCCACTCGATACCATACGCGGTCGGGTTGCGCTTCATGCGAACGAACAAGTAAGAGTAGCCCATCCAGGCGATAGCTTCAGGAACACTCGTGACCGTTCCCAGCGCAATCTCCGCGTTCAAATTATCAATCAGCTTCTTGCTAAATTGACTCTCGATGGGTTGCTGTTGCGTGACAGCAGTCAAGTAATGCTGTAACTTATCATGGGTGGTCAAGATCATACCAATACCGGTGTCCTGAAACTGCGGTCGACCAGCACGACCAAAGATCTGCAAGACGTCCAGGATTCCAACATCCACGAATTTACCCGCCTCAGCGCTGTATAGCTGTGTGCCTTTGATGATGACGGCCGCAGCAGGTAAGTTGACACCCCAGGCCAGAGTCGCGGTGCAGCACAGCACTTTCAGCACCCCCTGTGCGAAGAGTCGCTCAATGAGGTTGCGGTCTGAGCGAGGCATGCCAGCGTGATGCGTTCCCATTCCTTTGGCGACGAGCTCCCTTATCTCTCTGCCCTTGGACTGCTTGACATCTTTCAGGGCTTGTGTGTAGCCATCCGACATACTAGGATCAAACAAGTCTGTCAGTCCCTGCTCGGTGGCCATCTCGTACAGCGTTCTCGCAGTTTTGACAGTATCCTTCCGACTATGCACAAACACCATGATCTGGTGTCCGCGCTCCAGCATATCCTTGACCTTCTCGAAAGCAACGTTGTCGAGATTGTCGCGACTCGTCTTCGTTCCAGGATTGCCCTTGACACCAATAAAGTGCTGCTGAAGTGGTACAGGTCTGAAGGACTGATCAAAGAAGAACAGTCCAGCCATACGATTCACCTTGAGGAAATCCGCGACGTCAACATAATTCGGCAGCGTAGCACTCAAACCAACGATTCTGATCAGAGACTGGGTACTCTCCACTTGTCGTTCTGTTCTCGCAACCAAAGACTCCAGCACTGCACCTCGCTCATCATGGAGCATATGCACCTCATCGATGATCAGTAGTCTCACTTTCTGCACCAGTTCCGTGTCGCCCGTAGACTTCCTCGTGACAACATCCCACTTCTCGGGCGTTGTTACGATGATCTGAGTGGCCACAATCTCTGCTTTGGTAAGTTGCATGTCACCAGTCAACTCGCGGACTTGAATTCCCAACCAAGCAAGCCTCTTTCCCAGCTTTTCTGTAATTTCAGCTGCGAGAGCTTTCATGGGCGCCACGTAGACAATCTTGAAGTCCCCGACGTGCACAGCAAATTCGGTAGCGTCAGGTTCCTCGATTGGGTTAGGATGTATATTCTTCGCCACAGTATTGAGGATCGTGAGCATTGCTGCATCCGTCTTACCCGCACCAGTTGGAGCACAAATGAGCATGTTCTCGCTCGTGTGGTACGCCACCGGATAGACCAGACTTTGCATGCGATTGAGAGTCTTGTAGCCGCTGAAAGTGCGACTGCACAAGCCATCGAGGTCCTTGATCTCCACGAGTTTCCGGTTCAGACCAAGCACGCCAACTTTGGTGGCAGGAATGCTGTGTTCCACGTACTTTTCGCGTTCCAGTCGCTCGCTACCCATTGGCAGCGCGTACTTCTGCCCTTGAAATGAAAGTGTATTTCCAGCATCATGGGCTTTATAGATATGCGGATACTCGGCTTGAGATCGATTCTGGGCTGCAGCAAGTGGCGCACTTTTATGTGAACGGTCCTGCTCACGCAGACGAGCCTCACGCTCGGTCTTGGAGAGAATGCCAGAAGGGCGAGAAGGGGCAGGAGCGGGAGCAGAAAGGATGGACTTTCGATTTTTCAGTATATCCGAAACTAGATCGAGTTCCTCGAAGCCCAGAATGTCCGCCAAAGTCATTTGCAGCTCGTCATCGCTACTGTCCGAAGCCAACACGGCCATGATCTGGTCCTGCAGCGCGGCGGCTTCGAGTCCACTGCCCTTGCTGGCCACAGTCTGACATTGTGCTTGCAGCCATTCCTGAGAATCATCCTTCACTGGCCCTGCCGTGGTCACCATGTCTGCGCTCTCCTCGCTGAACGAGTCTTGCTCCTCTTCGCTGATCAAGTCCCAAATGTCATCTCCCGACGCTGGCGACAAGTCATCATCATCCAAGTCCCAATCCAGATCAGCATCATCTGCCGCCGTATTCTGCGGTTGGCCATTCGTCTCGGGCAATTTCAGCTCTGCAATGGCCGCTCGCATAGCAGCCAACTGCTCCAGCCATTGTGAGGCTGCTGCCTCTGCTGTTGAAGGCATCCTGTCAACTGTCCTGATTCTCGTTTCTGCGGGTATGGTGATGCTGTCGAAGTGAAGTGAAGGCGAATGAATGTGATGATGAATCATGGGTTGTGAAGTGTATGTGCTAGTGTGCCCCACCAACGCGTCTCCCCATCACCAAACACGTGCCAAACATTCGACTTCACCTTCACTGAACCGCCACTACCACCACCACGACAACAAATATCAACGTCATCACGGCGACGACGAGGTGATACAAAATGGTACGCGTCGACTTTCCGCCCTTCACCACGACTAAGTATTCCACTAACGACCACCTTCTCTTCCTTCTCTCCCCAGGAATCCCCCCACGAACACCAACAATCCCAACTTCTCTCACGCATCATCACCAACGTCGAAAAACTCAACGAAGCAATCATGGTCCTGAACAAATCCCTCCAAGTAAGTCCAGATATCTTTTCCTTTTCCCCCGAATTTCACAAAACATTCCCCAATAGAGAAGATTTTTTAATAGTTAATAATTTCCTTCCCATGGCTGCCTGGCTGATGGAACTGATGAACTGATAATGATACTATAGGAAATCAACGTCCAAAATATGAACATTGAACTCGTCGCGCAAATGTTCAAGAATTATCAGAGTAATGTGCTTTTTCACTTGGAAGGTATGTTGTCTACATCTACAGCATCAACAACAAACAACAACAAACCCATCCCATCCAAACCTTTCAACATATACCCTACTTCTCTCTATAATTGTACACGTACATGTACATGTACACGTTTACGAAAAAAGTGATACTTTGATTCCTCTTCTTTTCCCCCTTTTGTTGGGCGAGAATGAATGAATGAATGAGTGAACGAATGATTGAACATATACATGCAGTATGCTGACTTCTATTGGTGGGGGTGTTCGTCTTTAATAGCTACGGATAGTTTGAAAGAACCATCTTGAGGTCCTAGAGTGCAAAGAGGGGAGGTGGATGAAGAACCGACGGGATGGGGTACTTGACCTGCTTGTTACATGTACTCACGGCATAGTGAGAGGAGATGAATGACCTACTTGGTCTATACCCAGAAATCTTGTAGTCGAGGTGTTGCTCATCAGTGATCAAGGAAAGAAGGACTCTCGTGGTTGTGTGTGGGGAGGGGTGGGAGAGAGAGAGAGAGAAGGGGGAGAAAAGACCGAAGAGAAGGACTTCTGAACCAACAACAGTACTACTAGACGTAGTAGTCGAGCGTGACATTCAAAAACTTCGATTATTGAGAACCGAAGGCGCTACAAAAGTTCCTTTGATGACAACGGACAGCAAAATTGCTGAGCTTGGACGCCACATGCCATTACCATCGTTGTCATTATGCCATTCCAGTGCACACACACACACACACACACACACACACACACACACACAGACAACCGAAAAAGACGGCGATTCTGCCTGAAAGTCAGCAGCGTAGAAGGAGTCTCGCCACTAATTACTATTCATTCACTGGGATTCCTTGCATCCCATCATAAGCCAGAGCTTCCAATCGCACCGAGATTCTGAAGGATGCCCATGGGCGGACCAGCAGATCCACGTCCCGTACCAGGCGCACCAAACATACCAAAGGCGGGTGAGCTCTTGCCCACTGCAGGCGAACCTATCGCTGCAAGCTCTGAAGAACGATGTCCCCCTTGATCTGGTGTCGAAGCGTCCTGTGTCCACTTGATGTCCTTGGAACCATCATCGTGCTCACGGAAGTGCAATTCACCACCACCGTTGCGAGAATCACCTTCCACAGTGGAGATATCCTTGACTTCTGCTGCATCAGGCGCAAAGTCAAGCGGTGGATTGCGCGACATGATAAGCTGGATCACAGCATCCACATTGTGGTATTCTTCGCCAGATCTGGACAGTTCTCTGCAAGCGTTGCAGAGAAGCTGTCGCACTGTAATGGGTCGCGTTTGAGGTCCGCCACGAGGGCCACTGATTGGAGCGCCGAAAGTGCCAAAATGGTTGTTATTATTGGAGAAGGCTGCGTTGTTGGCACCCCAACTGCCGACCTGATGTGGCAGAGCACCCCAACCTGGACCACCCAATGCAGGGGACTGGCCAAATGGCGTAGCAGAAGTATTGCCCCAAGAAGTTCCTGGCGCGTTAAGACCACCAAATCCACCACCCATCGGAGTCATGCCTGCGCCGGGGATGTTGATCCCACGAGGATTGGTAGCCATGCTTGAATGTCGTCTGTCTTTCGGGCAGGGTTCGTCACTATCGTCCAGCAAGGCGGAACTGCCCAGATGCTTCGACAGGTCGTCCACGTCGCCGTTGGAGCCGTTCCGGTCCGGTCCAGGTGGCCGGACACTACCAGGTCGCTGTATCGGCGCCGGTCGTGCAATCGGCTGACTTGCTGCAGAGTCGAGACGGTCCTTGTCAGACGATGGTTGGCGTGAATGTCCAGACATGCTTTGTCGCTGTGCTTCGATGCCACTTGTAGGCGGCTGTCCCACTGGTGAACTGTGGTTAGGGTGATGAGATGGGTGCTGACCAAAGCCAGGCGGCGGTTGCCCCATGATTCCTGGGCCGTTGTCGAAGGGAAACGGTCGGCCCTGCGGCGGCATCATCATGCCTGGCGGAGGGCCCATGCCATTCATCCCAGGAGTACCAAAGCCAAGGCCATTGGGGAACCCCATGTTGTGGGGTGGCTGCTGAGGGAACATGGGCATTGGACCGCGTTGTCCCATATTGGGCATTCCCATCGGCCCTCGAGGCCCTTGGAAGTTTTGGAAGCCCATTGGAGGCATTCCTCCAAAAGCTCCAGGTGGGAATTGCTGTGGGTGTGGCATACCAGGAGGAGGCTGAATAGGCTGGTGATGAAGCGGGGACGGGCCCCCCGCGTGAGGCTGAGTCTGATGGTTTCCCTGGTGAGCACCAGACTTCTGCAAGATTTGCCGTGGTTGATTCTGAGCCTGCTGAGTTCCATTGCTCCCGGGAGATGATGCTTTGCTTGGAGCATTCGGAACCTGCGGTTGAGCCTGTCTGGGTGAGCTGGCGTGCGAGCCTTGATGCGAAGCTTGCTTGGGCTTGGATGGAGTCGATGCCTTGGGAATTGCTGGCATGGGGACCGAAGGGTGAGGTGAGGCCACGCCAGAAGGCGTTTGCTTGCCAAACATGCCTGGTATCGCCACCGTGGCCTGCTGCGACGGACGCTTAGCCAGTGCAGGTGGCGGGTGTGCCATGTGGTTTGCATTAGCAGTCTGTTGTGCGCCGCGCTCTCGATCTCTGGCGTCCTTGTCGGCTCTCGCCTTGGCTTCGCGCTCCTTGCGATCTCTCTCGTCCTGAGCCTTGCGCTCTCGAGCTTCCTTTTCACGTGCTTCTCGTTCTTCACGTTCTCTCTTGCGCTGCTCCTCCTTCTTGGCCTTTTCCGCCGCTTTTTGCTCACGTGCTTTGCGCTCCGTCTCCTCTCGCCGCTGCTGTTCGTCCTGCTGCCGCTTGAGCTTCTCGGCTTCTTTGCGCGCCTTCTCTTCCTCCAGCTTCTTCTTTTCCTCCTCGCGCTTGCGTCGCTGCTCTTCCTTCCTGCGCCGCTGTTCTTCTTGCTTCTTTTCCTCGGCTGCGCGCAACTTGGCCTCTTCCTCCGCCTTCTCCGCGTCACGCTTGGCCTTCTCCTCCGCTTTGGCCATCTGCTGTTGCTTCTTTTTGTCCTTCTTCTTTTGCGCGTCACGTTGCTTCTTGGCTTCTCGTTGAGCTTGTAATTTCGCGTCGTCCTCGAGCTCGTCCAAAAGCTTCTGCTGGCGTTCGGCGGCGACTTTCTCCTTGTACGCGGTCAGCACGCGCTGTTCGAACATGCGTGCCGCGAAAATTTGAAACATTCGACGTCCTTCCTGCATACGGTGTTCCTCGGTCAGCACACCCTGCTCATGATCAGTTTGGTGTTGTAAGGGACTTGCCATTTTCATGTCACCCACCAAATCCTCCTCCTCTTCGATATCGTCGTCGTACTCTTCTTGCGAATTGTACGAATCCTCCTCGTCGTCGAACTCGTCGCCATCCATTTGGTCTTGGTGGTCGTAGGTGGGATCGCCCGGAGGATAGCCGGAGTGGGTGTCGGATTCGTACTGAGACCGCTGTTCTCGCTGCAAGCGTCGCTCGGCGAGCTGCTCCATCATCTCAATGAACTTCCGGCCATCGTTCTTGAGCAAGTCGTCGGCTACGGTGAGGAGATTGTCTATTTCGCCAATTAGCTCGGCTTGCAGCGACTCACCACGCAGACTATGGATACCTTTGACAGTTAGATGCGTGCCGAAATTGAAGAAGTCTGGCACGCCTGGGTGGCCCCGCGGCGGTTCAGGCTCGGGCTCGGGCTCGTCATCTGAGTAGTCTTCATCCTCCTCCTCGTCACTGTACTCTTCCTCGTCTTCCTCCTCCTCGCTGTACTCATCTTCATCGTCCAAAACCTCGTGGATCTGACTGGTCCGGTGGTGAGAATGAGTGTGCGCGTGAGCATGATGAGGATGATGCAAGGGTGGCGGGGGAGTCGCCAGAGGGTGGGGCCGGCGGTGCTGCAACGGATCGGGAACCAAGCCATCAGACGAAGGAAGAGGTGGAACATCGTGGTGAGCGTATTGTTCCAACTCGGCGTAGTAGCCCTCATAAAGCAACTCGAGCTCGTCCTCAATGGCCAGACGCTTGCGACCGCAGACTGTGCAGGAGCACGAATGCTTCTGCTGCTGCTTCATCTTCTTGAGCACAGCTTCCTTTTCGATCCGGAGTAAACGCTTGCGCTCGTCTTCGGTAAGGTTCAGCCAAAAGTGCTTGATGTTCTCGCGTTCCTGCTGCATGCTCGTGTGCCAGATGGCATCGCCCTGGCGGCTGCCACGATGCGGTCGGCTCAGGGAGACAGGGCCAGAAGAAGGAGTGTTCTCGCCGTGGTGCATTGAGGGAGGCAGCATTCGCGGGTCGTATGCGCCGCCTTGCGACATGCTGCCGGTCTGCTTCTTCTTACCCCTCTTGCTACCACTACTCACCAGTGGCGGAGGAGGTGGATGCACGCCATTTGTTGGAGCATGGGGAGCATAGTGGTGATCGTCCGATGGGTCATAGTCGGCTTCGGAGTCGTAGTCGTCTTCCTCCTCCTCCTCGTATCGCAGAGCATCTTCGTCGTAGCCCTCTGTTGTCTGCTGGCCAGCTACGTGGTGCACGGGCAGCTGTTGCGCAGATTTGGCCTGCTGTTTGGCCCTTCTCTTCGCCTTCTTCCTATTGACCCCGACTGGTGGGGGCGCGCTGAGGACTCCGTTTGTGGACGGAGCGGGTGCTTTCGAGTGGGTGGCCATGTTTGCGGAGAAGAGGGAACGTGTTGGCAGACTACCAGGCCAGCAGTGGAGGTTCGGGATGAGTCAGGCACGAGCTGAGCATGTGTCGGGGTCGAAGACCTTGCTGGTTCGGCCGTCCGTGTCTGTCTCTCTGTCTCTCTCTGTCTCTGTGGTTCTCTCGATCTCTCTCGCGCGCGCTCTCTTCTCTTCTCGCTGCGCTTTGTGCCAGCGCGGAGGGTTCGATCTACGGCAAACAGGCAAGCAAGCAAGCACGTCTCTTAGGTGCGCTTGCGGGGGGATGGTGGTGGAGGAGGTGTCGGTAGAAGTGCAGTCGGTATTGCGTCGGTGTGTTGAAAGACCCACTACGGTACTAGAGTCGTCTAAGCTGGCTGGCGGAGAGTGAGCGTGGCGTGGCATGCTGGACGGCCGGGCCCGCCACTTCCGCTGTGTGAGCCTCAGGCCGCACTATAGCTAGCTAGGTACCTGTTCTATGTATACACACCTACCTTCCGCGGCCGACGATGAGGAGGAGGAGGCGGAGGAGTTCACATTACGGTCTCTACTGCTTCCCCTCGCACTACCTGGTCAGGAACTGCTACCTACCCTGGGGACTTCATAGCATTGTCTGGACTCTGCTGCATGCGACTCTTCTAATACCTGATGCTCTGGCCGGACATTATTGCTAGACGGTCAGATTGGTATTGCCTGTTGAGCTCGGCCACTTTCGTGTTGCGCAAGCCTCCCTCGCCAACTTAACCCAACGACGGGACGCCTCGCCTCGAACATTCGACCTTGCCTTGCACCACTTCACCCAGAACATCAACCAACACATCCGACACCTCACACGCACGCACGCATCCGTACACGTATACATTCGCACCCGACGCTCGTCCACTTCCACTCCACCGCCTTTCGCTACAGCCCGCTCGCCCTCTCCACTTCACTTCTCTCGCAGACCCAACGACCGCCCTGCGCTTGCGCTACTGTGAACTGGGCACGCTGCGTACACATTACCCGGAGAACGTCCCGAACAGCCTGTACGATACTCCCGACAGCAGAAGCTGCACACATTCGCCGCAACGCCAGACCAGTCCACAACTCAGACATGGCGCAATCGCAGGAACAGCAGGTGATGCGAAGGTAGGATCCAGTTCCAGATCGGGTTGCAATGACAATTATCCCACTCGAGACTGACCTGACTCCATAGGAAGCTTGTCATCATCGGCGATGGAGCTTGTGGAAAGACGTCGCTGCTGAGCGTCTTCACGCTAGGTTACTTTCCAACTGTCAGTTATAGCGAAGAAGGACACGAGTACGAGAAACACGAGCGCTGACATTGCATCGCAGAGATATGTGCCCACTGTCTTTGAAAACTATGTGACCGACTGTAGAGTCGACGGCAAGAGCGTGCAGCTGGCACTCTGGGATACCGCAGGGCAGGAAGACTACGAACGTCTACGGCCGTTGGCGTATAGTCAAGCTCATGTCATTCTCATCGCTTTCTCTGTCTCGAGTCCGGACTCGTTACAGAACATCACTACCAAGTGGTGAGTAGTGGCTGCGTGCCCCTCCATTTGTCACGTTTACCTCTGGGCTAACATGCCCTTCCACCAGGCATCCTGAAGTGCTCGATCGCTGCCCCGGTGTTCCCATCATCCTCGTCGGTCTCAAAAAGGATCTGCGAGATGATCCCGTTGCGCAGGAAGAAATGCGTAAACGCTCTGAGAAGTTCCTTACATCCGATGAAGGAGAAGACGTGCGTAAACGGATCGGCGCGAAGAAGTACCTCGAATGCTCCTCGTTAACTGGTGAGGGCGTCGACGATGTATTCGAGGCTGCCACCAGACAGTCTCTGCTGAGTGGAGGAAAGGAAGGCAATTCGAGGGGCTGCTGCACAATACTCTAGGAGTGTGCTGCCTGTTGTGTTTGCTATGCACCTGGGGCTTGCTGGAGCAGCTTTTACGAGGCTACAAAGCATACTTACTTGGTATCGCTCTGCTGGTTTCGGAATTGGGCTGCGAGGCCCGCTAGGCACAAGGTGCCCACATTCTCTGTGAAGAGGGACAGGAAAAGAGAATACACTCGCAATACGGTCGACAGAGCCCGCAATATGGTCGACATCCTCAACTCGGCCATGTCTAACGCTCGGAAACACAGTGAGGATACTGTGATTGGGGAGCTTGGAGATAGCGAGAAAGATGGACTCGAATCTCCACAGCAGAGCGACGAACACTCGGACGAAAGTCCTCGGCGCACCCACGAGAGCGCATCTACCGCTGGTGCAACCAGTCTCCACAGTCACTACTCCCACGCGCCACCACATGGAGAGATACTCACTGCTATCAACAATGACGACGCTCCGATGCACGAGGATACCATGGTCCTTCATCATCGTCGCCTCGCTCAGCTCGAAAAAGTGGAAGATCAATACGATCGTTCCATGCAAGATCTCTTTCCTAATGCCGGCGATGAAGATTCCTCTCACAGTGCCCACAACATGAGTGCCACGGCCGAGCGGACGCATCTACTCGATGCAGTGCCAGCCCCACTCAACATTGGTATCGGCCGACGTTTTCATCGTGATAGCAATATGGCTACTACTTATGGGATCAGCGACGACAGTACAAGTTCTGTTTCATCTTCTTTGCCCTTCCTTCCACCCGCTGACGTGGTCCCTGCCCATCCTGAAACGGATAGGATCACCGGGATTACTCGAGAGCAGAACCCTGCACTTTCCCTACCTTCCGCTCGGCAGAACCTGGGCGGACATTCTGACCTGGACCGTCCTGTTCGACGTCTCTCAGAGGATCTTACCCACTACGAAGCTCATCCGGCAGAAATCGACTGGCTTGTGGCTGAATATGCGATGCTAGAATAAGAGCGCGTGAGAGAGGCTGTTGAGGGAGGGGAGGGGAGGGGAGAGGTGAAGAAAGACGATAGGTCAAAAGTGTAGGAGCGAGAGCAAGGAGGAGTTGGACAAGTAATTCGAGAGAATAGAGGGTGGTTATAGATGACCTGTTGTATGTGCGCATTCGGTCATTGATCATGTTTGCTGACAGTCTTTCATTGTCTTCCAGTCTTTGTAGATGGAAAAAGTTATTACTCGAGATTTGTGCTTGTTGCAATGGGTTAGGACATTTTTGCATTGGCTTCGTCCTCAAGTCGGATTGAAAACCCCTTCGTGACGTCCCCTTTGCGAGATTGCAGTCTTTTTTTCCTTCCTACCTACATTACCTAGTCAGTCCACTCCACTCACACTGCTTACTATATGAGAGGTTGTTGACGACATGATGGGCAGATTCTGTCCAGCCAAAGGAGTCGTGATATCTTACATCAGGGCATACACCACTATTTGATGTGGAGCCGCAGAAGTGGTTGGCGCACATGACTAAGCCGGTTGCTAGCTTAACTGCTTCGAGTCGTCCCTCAACCACGCAGGCTGTCGCACTGTTTTCTTTCGAGCATCTCTACGCGGTGAATAGCAACAGTCCTGGATGTGACCACTATGGCTCTCTCAGTGCTCCAGCGTGCCTGGAAACCACTTCTACGCCGCGCCTGGAGGCCACTGGCTTTTACGAAGCAAAGCACCGTCTCAATCCCGGCCAACGAGAAAATCGAGGAGGAGACTATCCCAGGCTATCTCGCGGCACGATATTATCCTGTCAGGGTTGGAGAGATCTTCCAGGACCGCTATCAAGTCGTCGGAAAATTGGGCTTTGGAATCACCTCGACGGTGTGGCTGGCACGAGATATGAAGTAAAGTCCTACTGTCCCTTTTGACCCGAGTCAGACAAATCACTTAATAATGTCAGCGAATGTCGGCATGTAGCTCTGAAAGTCTACGTGCGAGCCGAAGCTATAGAAGATGAGCTAGGAACCGAGGTGGATGTTTACAAACGAATCGCAAAGTCTCCCAGTCACCATCCGGGCCGTGGTGCCGTGCGGTCATTATTCGACTCTTTCATCCTTGATGGCCCTAACGGGCGGCATCAATGTCTAGTGCATCAGCCTTTATGGGAGAGCGTGCTCGCAGTCAAACATCGCAATCCTGCCGGAAGACTGCCAGCGTCTGTTTTGGCCCACATTCTCAAGCGCTTGTTTCACGCATTGGACCTTCTACATCAAGAGTGCCATGTCGCACATACCGACATTAAAGAGGCAAATATCTTGCTCGGAGCCGATAAATCTGTCCTGGTGCAATTCGAAAAAGATGAGCTCATGGAGCCCAGTCCTAAGAAGGAACTCGACGACGGTGTGGTTTACGTGAGCCGTGAATTGGGCATACCCAAGGAATTTGGAGAACCTATGCTGTGTGACTTTGGTTCAGCTGTGCCGCTCGATGATGGAATCGAGCACCGCGAAGACATCCAGCCCGATGTCTATCGCTCTCCAGAGGTTATTTTGGAAATTCCGTGGACGTACAGCGTCGATATCTGGAACGTGGGCTGCATGGTCAGTCTTGAGGCATTGTAGCTTGGATATTGCACACGAGCTGACTATAGCGGATGATCTCGTAGGTATGGGACGCTTTCGAGGGAGAGCACCTCTTCACTGGCCAGGACCCACTGGAGAACAAGTATCGTGGACGGGCTCATCTAGCTGAGATGATTGCTCTCCTCGGACCTCCGCCGCCCAGTCTCCTTGCTCGAGCCAAACTGAGAGATAAGTTCTTTTCCGACCAAGGTGAGCTATACAAAAAGAATTTCAGCTCGTTGAGTGTTTGTCATCTTTCCCACCCGCTAACTTTCCTCTTCCGCCAGGTGAATTTTCCGTAGGAATCCCTCTACCTGCCTCCAGATCACTTGAGGAACGAGAAACGACCCTTCGAGCAACAGAGGACAATAATGAAGAAGACAGGGCATCTTTCCTCCGCTTCATGCGGAAGATGCTACAATGGGAACCCGAGCAGCGGAGCTCCGCCCGGGACTTGGCAGAGGACGAGTGGATTCTTCGACATACTACATGAAAGCAAAGTTCAATTTGCATACGCCGCGTTGGCACAGTTGCAAGTCGCAATGTCTCTTTTTTTGAGAGAGAGAGAGAAAGCGGTGTAGGAAGTGCGCTGGAAGTTTTAATAATAGATTTTGGTCTATAGTGGTGGTCTGGTGTGTGGTCTTGTGTGTGTGCTGTCTCTACGCTGTATACTACTGCAGCGTACTATATTGTACATATTAGACGATTAGGTCCCTGTAATGTTACACTAAGATTTCAGCTTTTGGGTAGTCTAGTCTAGTCTGTCTGTCTGTCTTTTGTACTACCTACTATACTACCTTATTGTACAAGTATAGTAGTATAGTAGTATAGTAGATATCGTCGGGTAGTAAGGAGGAATAAGGGAACCTACCTACCTGTTTTTGTATAGGAGGGCTAGCTGCCTCTCCTCGCGCCTAGGTACATGTCAGGCAGGTAGGTAGGTAGGTATAAGAGAGGTACAAAGGTAGCCTACCTACATAATGTAATTCGCTTACACACTCGCGTATGTATCATGTATGTATATATGTATATGTAATGCGTACACGTGCAGGATCTAGTATGTTGATAGGTAGGTATATATTTGCTACATGTATGATGCATTCAATTATTATCTTCTTCTGTGGGGTGCTTCGGCTTTTCGGACTCTGTATACTGTACTGTGCTGTACTGTGCAGTGCAGTGTACCTAGGGTAGGGTAGGGTAGGCCAGGTAGGGTAACCAATAACAAGCTGATCGCATACCTCCTCCTAGAAGTAGACTTTTGGGGACTTTTTTTTGTGCTTGAGGCTGAGTATGCATACATACCTCACATGCCCCGTCGTACAAAGTTGTCTTACTCAGTCGTGCATATAATCTACATGTCGTTTCCGTATGAAACTTTCTTGGCTATCACTTCTCTCATGTTTTTTTTTCTTTCGTCGTTGTTCCTTGTCTTGTAGATAAGAAAATTGCCTTGCATAAAAGAGTAGCAGCAGGAGAGATATCGCAATTGTTCGGTGTAGATAAACGAAGAAAAATTTGATTACACTAAAGAGGTCAGGTAAGGCAAAAGTAGGTAGACGCGCAATGCAATCTGTCCCCTTTTTTTCTTCTCTCTGGGCTCTCTCTTTGCGCAGGCCCACGCAATTGCGTTGCATGATGCAGATAGGACAGGCAAGTTAGCCGCACTTTTTTTTTAGTTAGTGCAGAAAGCTGGGTTAAATCCAGTCCAATCATATCCACGTGATATTTGTTAGGCAGAAAAAAAAAGGAGGTGACGTTGTTTCTGGTGGACCCTGACCGCCCTCTCAAAAAAAAATTATTTCGATTCGGCGGGGGGAATTGCTGCCATTCGGCTCCTGAAAAGAGAAAAAAAGAGGGAGAGAAAAGTGATGCTTGCTCGGCTTTTTGGCGCCATCATTTCCGATTGTTCAAGGCAGCAACCCATCATTCCTTTTTATTTTCTGGCTCGCACTTGGCTCGGCTGTCGGTACAGAGAGGTATGGGTATGAGAAAGGTGATGACTCCGTTGTGACTACTACCACCACGGGATGGGATGTGTGTGTGTGCGTTGCCATTGGCGAGCCAATGAAACACCCTCGTTTATATTGACCAGAGTTTCGGTCTGAAGCTCGAGTGTCAGGTACGGTATGAAGTTGGTGATGTCGTTGACCAGGATTCGCTGCGTGCGGCAGTGTAATATACGATTCCGCCGCAGCGTCCCTTTCAACTTTGTACATAGTTTGTCCAGGATTCTGTAACCTAGTTGGCCTCTTCACATGCTATTCTGCCGTACAATTATATGGTCATCACACTGTACGTACCCTGGTGCGGGTGCTACAAGTACCTACTCGGTGTTGTGAAGAAGGGTGAGGCGTGTGTGTGATTCCATTCCATGCCGTTTGTGTCCGAGTCAGGGGTATCCGAAGATCTGGAGAGCTCCGCTAGGATCCGCCATTTCACTTCGAACAGTCGCGTGACGGTCAAGAGAGAGACAGAGCACTAGCGTCCGCTCCGTCCACGCTCCCACCGTCCCACGGAGGTCGACAGGAGTGACGGCTACTACCTCCTACCTCCATCTCCTAGCCTCTACGGAGGTAAGTAAGGTATACGTACAGGCCAATGGGAGATGCACCGTCTGGACTGGCACAGAGGAAGAGGCCATGCGGGCCCACGACTGCTCCCGTCCTTCAGACTACTACCTTCTACTGTACCACACTACAGCGCTAGGAGGTACTGATGAGTGATGATGATGATGATGATACCTCCTACCAACATCCATCGATCCCGAGCTGGTTTTCTCTGCTGCTAGCTGGTGTTACTCTGGCGGTACCCCATCGGCGACAAGCCGGCCTGCATCACGCGAGCTCATCTCATTGGCGCATCGCGCTAGACCAGAGTTTAGAAGGCATGGAACCGAACACTTTTGGGTGGAGAAAAGGTGATTGAATGCTGCCAACTGTTGTATCGGTGTATCCTACCTCCACCTCCTACCACCTCCTATCGTCCCCCACGCAACCACCGGCAAGCAACCAGCGATCAAGGCTGTATACAGTACATGTAGTCAGTACGCTGGGAGGGGAGACATGATGATGGGGGGGTGAGTCAGACACAGAGTAGGTATTACCTTAGTACCTCAGGTAGTTAACTCCATCAGGTAGTTAGTGTGCTGCCTTCACATGGCACGGCGGACCGCGGTAAGCTGATGCACTTCTTGGGGATTTCTGTCGCTGTCGCTTGCTGGGTTATCCTGGTCAGAATTCGCGGAAGAGATCCCTGTACCGCTAGTGGTGAGCCTAATTTCGAGGAGCCCGAAGGAACTTCTTCTTCTGCCACTCCTACCACTCTCCCTCTCTCTTCTTCTCTCCTCTCCCTCCTTCACCCACCACCACCACCACCTCCACCACCTCAGCGCCGAAGCACTCACCCTCTCCACCAGCAGACATCACCGCGTACCACCTATACCACTTCGTCGTCCAAGATGTCGCAGGAGAACTAGATCAATTGGACGCTGCACGCACGTGGCGTCCAACTTTTCTCGAATCTGTCCTCACATCTTCTGACGCAACGAGATACTGCTGCTGAGCATTGCTTACCAGTAGTGGAACCACTGTCTCGACCGAGTCCGCAGCGCTCTCGGCCACTTCCGACATCAGGCATTGGCATCTCACCTCACGTGTGCACACCACCGCAAGCGACGACGAAGACACGGCTTGACCCATTACTAGGACGAGCCTACAGTATTCCACAGATCACAGCTCGTTGCCGGCAGGCGACACACGCGCTACAGACTTCCAGAGTACGCCGCGTCTGACCGCGACACGATACCCATTGAACGAATATCCCTGCTTCAACATCCATCTAGCTTATTCATACCAAAATTTCACAACCACCAAAAACCTACCCGATATTCCGCTACTACACTACGACATTAAACTCAAAATGGCGCATCGATCGTCCACTTCTGTCCCTCAGGACACCAGGAGAATGCCCTATGACCCGCGAAAATTGACGAATGGCAGCCCGCAGAAGATGTCGAAGCCGTCATCGCGACCGGTTCCAAACACCATGAGCAACGTTGTCAGCGGCACTCGCACAGGAGACGCTGTGTCGGACGAGAGCGACAATGAAGAAGAGGGAGAAGCTGAGACTCCAGAAGATCATGAGGATGCTTCCTCTTCCGACGACGACGACGAAGCGGATGTCTTTGCCCTGTCAGGCGCTAATCGAAAAGGCAACATTGCTACGTCGCGACTGGCAGGGCCAACTTGCATGATTGAGACTGACGCTGTCGCCGGTGCTGAAGAAGACACTGACAGCGATGATGAGGAGGGCTACGATGTACTCGACGACGACGACGACGACGAGGATGACGAAGATGACGGCATAGAAAAGGTTTTGGAAAAAGACCTGATCCAGGACTTCCTGGACGAAGAAGCCGAGGCTGGCGCTAAGAGGGCACAGGCTACGACTTCTTCGCGGCCACAGACCGCTACGTCTGTCTCGAACGAGATGACAGGCCTGAGCATCGTCGAAGACGCTGCCCTGGCGCGGCGACTCAGCTTGCAAAGTGAAGATAGCAATGGCGGTGACCTTGACTGGAGTGAAGACCCCTTTCAAGGACTGCAAACTAACGACAGCCTCTATCAGGAGCTGATCGAAGACGCCGAAGATGACTTTTCTTACGATCTTGCCTCGTGGCGCGTGACCGATGAAACTGTGAATGAAGACAACCTCTTCGAGCTGCAGCCAGCAGGTAATGAGAAACGAGTGCGCTTCGCAGAGACCGTCTCCTCTCGCTCATCGAGCTTGAGCAGTGAGGACGATCCTCGGGATGCTTACCCGGATCTCTTCGATGGTACAAGCACCCCCCAGTCCAGATCGCAATACATGATGGACATTGATCCCATCGATGATGATAATGATGATAACGAGTCCATCTTTGACTTTGACTACGTCGACCCGTACGAGAATGAACCCGTCAACATGTACAACGACGAGGAGTCTGACTCCGACGGTGAGACGACCGATGAGTGTATGCACAATATCTCTCTCCTATGCTACGATTGGGAATGCTTGCTGACACGCCCGAAGCCGATGGCGACTCTACAGATGAGGAAGACGAAGCGGATGCGTACTCGCGTATGCACGCCATTCACAAACAGAATAGCGAACTTGCTGCAAAGAGTCTTGTGGTCACACCTGGTCCTGGCCCTACCCCGGCCAGCACACCAGTCAGTGGCAAGGCGCCAGCGCGGCAGTCCAACACCGGGAAGCGGTCGTCCATGTCGAGGCCGGGATCGAAGCCCAGGATAGGAACCTTCACTCACGATCCTACGAGAGCAGCTGTCACCGCAGATGAGAATGGAAACGGAGTCAAGATTGCATGCCCATCGAAGCCTGCTGAAAAGGATAGCGCGTACTGGGAACAGGCACGCCAAGCCATGGGCAGCCGAGACGGAAGTCCTGGTGAGCCTGTCTCCTGGACACGCACCACTCCGCACACCGCCAGCATTCCTCAACGACCATTCACTGCCAAGATGACTCTGGGGAGCATGTTTGATGGAAACCTGGACTTTCTTCGCAACAACGATGTTCATGGCATCACCAAAGGCATCATTCTCCCTGCCGTTCCCAGAGTCGCCAACAGTGTTCGCTCGTCCTTCACCGCTACCAATACCCTAGCGAGCGACACTCCCATGAACAATGGAGCATCAATGAACCTCGAAGACTTTGTCCAGTACTCCGAGAGCGACTGCGAGATGGATGTGGAGCCTAGCTCCGCTGTCATGACACCCGGCCAAGATGTCTTTGCCAGCTTCACCAACGACGATTCTTCGCCTATGCCCCGACTCGATACCGAGGACTTGCTGGACCACTTTGATCAGGTCCCTGGCGGCATTTCATCATTTCGCAACAATCAGCGCCATGTTCGCCAAGTCAGCTCTCTGGCAGCGAATCCGGCGAGCAGAGCACAGACTTCGGAGGCCAACGCTCTTCAGAAGGGCAGACGCAATGCTGCCAATGCTCCCATCACGCCTGGTCGCAAGAGTCGACCTGGCCCAGAGATGACCCTCACTGGCGCAGGTGTCAGAAAGCCACTTGCCAGTCCTCTGGCCCCGAAACGCGGAGGCCGCAGCCGTGGAAACTCTCTTTCGCAGACTCTGGCTCTTGATCGCTTTGGCTCCAATGCCATGTAAAATGATCACGTGTCTATTCCCCTTTTTTTTATACTCCGGAATCGACCGGAAAGTGAAACAAGCACAAATCAAAAAAGTACGAACAGCAAACATAACACAACACAGCAGCTTCTTTCTTGTCGTTTTTGGGGCCCTTTTTGTTTGAACTGTCTTCAAAGACGGTGTATCTTAGCGTGGCGCTGGCGGTGTTTAGTCTGATCTGACTAGAGTTCGGTGGCTCTACTGCTGGGATGAAGACGGCGGGCTGTCATTGTTTGCTGCGCGCGGAGATACCCTTTGGAGTTCGTCGAATGCATACGCTGGCAATACAGGTGGTATCAGAGAGCATGTCTGGCAGAACAAGAAATCATTTTCAAGCGCGTCACGTAGTTGTAAAGTATACGAAGAGTTGAAACACGATTGACTCTTTCTTCACCAGAACATTGTTTCGTTTGATTAGGCTCATTGCCTATTCGTCTTTGTTGGTATACGATGTGAAGGTACTGACTCTGGTGTTTCTTGTACCAATTCTCGCAGCTGACCAGATTCGGAGACAGACATCCCAGTCCATAAGGAAGGTGATAATCTACCACATCCTTGAAATGACGGCGTCGGGTTGTCTTGCTCCGCACTTGACGTCCTGTCACCAATCTTTGACGTCCTGTCACCTTCTTTTGACGTCCCGTCACCTCCTTTGACATCCCGTCACCCTTTGAAATCCCGTTCCCTCCTTTGACATCCTGTCACTACTCACTTTTGACGTCCTGTCACCATCTCCTCCCACACTGACTCTACAGTCTACAACCCCACGAACGCATGGCCGGTTCATCATTATCATCATCATCACCATGTCTTTCATTACTACCATCGAAGAGCACCGCAACATGAGAAAGAATCAGACGACCCGCACTACATTAGCTCCATCATCGCCCTCATCACCATCCTTACCATCATCACCATTATCATTATCATCACCATCATCATCATCACCTCAGAAAAGTCCTACTTCCAGCCCGAGAAAAAATAAGCCTATGCTCGGATTGGGCTTTGGAGGTGTTCCTTATCGCGCGTCTATTCCTATTTGTGAGCTGAAATTTCCGAATGAGAGAGAGAAGAGAGATGTCGGGGGCTCTGTGATGGGTGGTGGTGGTGGTGGTGCTGGTGTTGAGAATGACAAGACTAGTGTTTCTTTGAACAGCAGCAACAACAACAACAACAACCAAGAACCCGACACACCCAGTACCAATAGTCCTCAAACTCCTACGGACATTTCTGAACCTTTTTCTTATCATCGGGATTTGGGAGGTGGGAAAACAAGGACGAGAATAGCAGCAGTAGCAGCAACTTTTGATTCTGCTGCGACGATGCGGGATTTGAATTTGAAGAATAGCGACAACAACAAGAACAACACAGATGAATCCGAAGAAGACGACCACAACGACAACGACCATAATAATAACACTAATAATAATACCAAAAACAATAATAATAACGACCATCACGACAACACCAGCAACAACCCATCCCTCTTCAACCCCAACCAAATCCCCAAACCGACTTTTCACGATCTCGAAGAACCCTATGGAGGAACAAAACATTTCATGATGGCTCATGGATTGAAATGTAAGTTTACCCTCCCCTTCATACTCCATATACTCACACATGCGTACTCACTCACTCCCTCGTATATGTTTGAATGTTTGAATGTTTGAATGTTTGAATGTTTGTTGTTGATACATTTTGTTTTTAGGGTACGATTCCACAGATTGTGCAATTCGAGAGGAAATTTTGGGCCAGTTGAGGGATATGGAGTGGCAGAATCGGGTGAATGATGCTCGGGAGGAGTTTGTGAGGATGGGGGAGGGAAGATGATGATGATGATGATGGGGGAGATGAGGGAGAGAAGTGAAATGAAGTGAAGTGAAATGAAGGCTTCTATTTTTCTTTTTTTTTTCAACTCTACTTCTGGAATTCTAGGGTTGTGTTGTTGGGCCCGATGTTACCTAGTGGTACTTTACTAAGGTCATGTCTGATGGTTACCAGGTATGAATATGTCAGGTAATTTGCTTTGGCTTACTCTACAGAGAAGTCACGAACATCATGTCAGCTCTTGCCTTTCTTTACATGTACACTCTTTATTATCTGAAACCAGGGAAGTAGCCGCTCCTTCTCTCATCCTCAATCCATCTCTTCCCAGATCAGGTAGAAATGGATTGATTTTCTCTTTACTATTATCATCAACATCAACATCACATCCATTCCAACCACACATCACACCATACAATACCTCATACAGCACCTCATCCATTGCCAACACCCCCATCCTATCCCATCCCCACCCCCCAATCGCTCACCACCCAAATGTCCCACCCCTTCTCCTCTTCCCACCACCCACACTCCACCACCCCAGAAACCTCCACTACTCGCCTCCGCCGCCTCTCCCTCGAGGGTTACTACGACACACCTCAAGCCACAGGAACTCTCGCTGTACCTATCTGCCGAATCCCCGAAGTCTAGGCGTCATGGGAAGGGACGTTGGAACTTGAGAGTTTTTCTGGGGAGGAGTGGAGGTTGTGTGGTTGCGATGATTGTTGTCGTCGTGGGTCGTCGTCGTCGGCGGGGGAGGCGTTGGCGGGGAGGGGGAGGGAAGGTGAGTTTTTTTTCTTGTGTATGCGGGTTGGGAAGATGTGGTTGAATGTTGTTTGTTGACTTGAATGAAAAAAAAAATGAATAGGGATGGCAGGAAGCTCGCGGGAGAGACTTGAAGAGTTTGTGTCTTCTTTGTCTGCTACTCTTGCGATTCCGGAGGAGACGATCATGTTGATGATTAGTCAAACGCCACGTTCTTCGCGATCTGCGCCAGTAGCTCTAGCGGAGGTGCCATTGCATTGGAATGAAGGAGGAGAAGAAGGTCCTCCACGCCGGATGGTTTCCCAGGACGATATGGCTCGGGCTGATCAGACATTTTCCCGGTTGGGGGGATTTAACGACGGGCAAAGAGAAGAAGTGGGTGCTTCCTCTGGTTCAAGGGGAAGGCGGCGCCCACGCAGCCGTGCTGAGAATCTGGCTCGACAATTGGGGATTCCGTTTCCGGGGGCTGCTCCCCGAGATCCCAGACGGCGGACCCGAAGAGTCAGTGATCTTATTACTCAACCAGGGGGAAATTATCTCGGAACGAATACGGGGACAACGATACCAAGACCATTGCGAGGGGATGGAGTACTACCACCGCCGCCCCCGCCGCCGCCGCCAGCCACCGCGGGATCGGAAGAGGAGCGAGATGGGTCGGCGCGGTAGAGGTAGTTGGTGGATAAGTTGGGGAAGTTGGGGATGGAGAGAGGAGGGGTAGGATGGGAGTATTTCATGGTGGGAAGGGGGAAGAGGATTATTGTAAGGAAGGGAAGAGAGGAAGTGAGAACTGTCTTTTTTGTGAGAAGAGAGAAGAGAGAGAAATTTGTATTCTTGAGAAGAACAAGAAAGGAGTATGAGAAAGACTACGCCCGCCTCCTTCTTACTCGAAGCGTCGCCGTCGCAGGTGGCATCCCCGTTCCTCCCATTTCTCGATTCGCCGGTCTTTCGGGCAATTCTTCCACTTCGTAGTACATGACCAGATATGAAATCAACAATTTCAATTCCTGCTGCGCGAAAAATCTCCCAGGACAACTATGTCGTCCCATCCCAAAGCTCAAATTATCCTTTCCCACACTCGTCATGCTCAGATTTTGCAATCGAAGCCATTCTTCTCTCTCCTCTTTTTCCTCTTCTTCCCTTCTCTTCTCATCCTCCCCCTCTTTTTTCCCCTCCAATTCTCTCTGCATCCTCCTCTCCCCCCTCCTTCGCTCAAACTCCTCCCTCGGCCTCGCAAACCTCCACGCATCAAATTTCTCCGGATCCGGAAACACTTCGGCATCATGATGACGATTCCACGAACATATTCCTATCGTCGCTCCCATTGGTACAGAGAAATTTTCTATGGGATCGAAAAACCCCGAGGGGTGGATGACTTGGCGGGTTGTGAGGGAGGAGAAATTTCCTTTGCGCATGCTTTCGCGGAGGATGGAGTCGGTTAGGAGGAGGGTGTTTAGGAGGGGTTTGGTGGGGGGTTGAGGAGGGGTTGTGGTTTGGGAGGGGGGGAAGATTTTTGAGGCTTCGGAGCGGAGGTGGGATTGGATTGTTGTTGGGGTGGGGGGGTTGGAGGAGGAGGAGGAGGAAGAGGAGGAGGAAGAGGAAGAGGAGAAAATGTCCAAGAGGGCATTACTGCCTGTGATGAGTGTCGTGTGAATGGTGGCGAATTCGAGAGCGAGAAGACATCGTACTGTCCAGGAAATGTCTAGAGCCCAAGGTTTATTTTCTGTTAATGCGGTGCGGATGTGCCAGGTGATGTAGTCGTCTGGAATGACTTTTCTCTGATGTTTGTTTTTGGATGGTTGCTGTTTTTCGTCGTCGGCTTCATGATGAGAAGAAGAGTCTTGTTTTTCTTCTTCAAGAATGTCTGCAAGACGTTGTTCAATAACAGGTTTCATCACCCGACGAACCTGCAAATAATGATACCAATTCGGCAAAGCAACAATATTCATCACCGGTTCCAACAGCGCCGGAAGGAACGTATTCGCAATAATGCACCGAATACAATCTTCCGCAAACGAAACCATATGCCCCAAAAGTCGAGAATCTCGACACAGAGGCAAACCGATCAAAGTCCGATTACTGACCCGACAAGCAATCGTCGTCATCATCGCGAGAACATTCACCTCTTTCCACTCGCTCGTCACTTCACTTCCCAGAAGTTCATCCATCGTCACGCGAAGTTCATCAAAACTCGTCGGTAAAATGTCTTGAAGTTTGCGTGGTAAATTCGTAACGAGAACGTGTTCGTGGAATCGGATTTTGACGAGTTCGGGGTCTGTAAAGGTGTATTTGCACGCGAGAGAATCATAGTGTGCTTTCCAGGCACTTAGGATGGTTTCGGGTTGGTCGTTGTAGAGGGTGAGGCGGGAGTTGGGGATGATGATTTGGGGTTTGCCCGTGATGGAGGGCATGAGGAAGGATTTGTTGTGTTTGGTGTACTGTTGCGATACCCGTCAGCTCATCATTCATTCATTCAGTTTCTTCCCTCCCCCAAACAAAAAAAAACCAACAGAACAAAACTAACCTTATTATACCCCTCCGTCAACCACTCACGCGTATGCGAAGCACTCATCCAATTCGCATACGTCGTCGCACCAAATTTATTCGATGTCCTCCCTACCCACGGCAAATCCGGATAATCTTTCAGACTTCTCGCTCGAGCAGATGATACGACCAGCGCGACCACCAAGCCCATCACCGTGACTAAGACGGGATGTTGGAGGAAGAGAAAATCCAATAGAGCCATTTTTTTTTGTCTTTTTCCGATAAAATGGAGGTTGGGATGCGATGGAAAAAGAAGAAGAAGAAGTGTATGTACACGACTACCACGCAACAGCGGTATACTTTGTTATATATATCTTAAAGGTAGTCCCGGATCGATTCCCTTCCATGAAAAGCCCCACGAAACCTTCCACATGCAGGAAAATGTCTTGTTTCGGAACGGAGGCTTGCCGGGACTAATCGGCAAAAGCTTCTTTCTCTTTCTCTCTTCTCTCCTATTGATTGGTTAGCATCTTGGTACGCTTATTCGCCTAACCTTTCCTATATGTACTATAGATATACTACTAACTTTACTATAAGGTACAGGTTTGCAGGTTGCGCAGGTAGTTATCAGCTGTAGGATGATCTTTACTTGATTGTAGCGGAGGAGGGAGGAGATACTATCTTACCTTACCTTACCTACCGTACCGTACTACCTGTATCTATACCATACTGTATCGATTTTGAAAGGGATACAAACAGACCTGTATACAAGGTATCAAGTGTGATGCTTTAAAAATGTTGAAATGTCGTGCTTGAGTTATATGTATTACATGTATTACATGTATTACGGGTAAGGTAGTACTACTTGTGTTACTCTACTTGTGTTGCTCTACTTATGTTACTCTACTTGTGTTACTTATTACAGTAATTACCTCCTCCTCCTCCTCCTCCTCCCCCTCTTCTAACAAGGTGAGTTGAGGAGAGGCACGCGTGACCGATCCTTTGGATTCGGCTTGCATCGGATAGGTAGTCTATCCTATCCTATCTAGGTAGGTAGGTAGGTAGGTAGGTAGGTAGCTTCCTTCATTACAGCTCGATAAATGGCTGTCTCTAGTATTCAGTATCCACAGCTCCATACCATACCAAACTCTCCATCCCCATACTAAAACTCCCTCTCCTCCCCAATCCCACAAACCTCAAACACTCCCTCCTCCAACCCCTTCCACTGAATCGCCTCCCTCAACAATCTCGGCGGCTCCATAACCTCCTCATCCGTCAAAACCCACGTCCCCCAATGCATTCCCAACGCTCTGCGACACTTTGTTTCGACAAAAATTTCCACGGCGTCGAAGGGGTTCGCGTGCATGGGTGACATGATCCATCGCGGGGAATAGGCTCCGATGGGAATGAGACCGAGATCGAAGGGGCCTCGATAGGAACCGATTTCGTGGAAGGCGGGACAGTGGGGGAGGTGAGAGAATTTTTGGGCTTCGGAGGTGGGGGTGAGTGGTGAGGAGGGTTTGGGGATGGAGCGATAGCCTGTGTCGCCGGCAAACCAGACTTTTTTGTTGCCGGAGGTGATGGACCAGGAGGACCAGAGGGTTTGGGCTTTGTCGAAGGGCGTGCGGGCGGCCATGTGTTGACTGGGGAGACAGGAGATTGTTGCGGAGATTTTGTGTTGTTGTTCTCTTTCTTCTTCAGCAGCAGTAGCAGCAGTAACATTATCAACATTCTCATCAACATAATCCCTCTCCACCCCCAACGAAATCTCCACATCCCTCTCCTCCCACCAATCCAACTCCAGCACCCTCGCCTCCTCAAATCCATTCTTCACAAACCACTCTCGCACCCCCAACGGCACACAAAACACCACATCGCCCTTCCACCGCTCCCGAATCTCCACCAACGTCGGATACGACAGATGATCATAATGACAATGACTAATCACCACCACATCCACACGCGGCAAATCTCGCACCCCGCACGCTGGAGGCGTATATCGTTTTGGCCCGAGAAAACTCAACGGCGAACAACGCGGTGTGAAAACAGGATCGAACAAAACTCGTAGCCCGCCTGGGAATTCCACGTAGAAACTTGCGTGACCGAGCCAAGTTGTACGCAGGTTTTTCCCTTTTCCTCCTCCTCCTCCTCCTGCTCTTGAAGATATCATCCCCTTTTTTACCCTCTCATCCCCCCCAGACCCCGGCTTCAACACATTCAGCAACCCCCCCGGATCCGCAGGAGAAGTTTCCACAAATTTCCTCTCGCCCGTCAAACGTCCCAAAACTCCCCATTTGAAAATCTCCCACATGTTCATGTCGCGCCATGAAGGCCATGGGTTGATGAAGCCTTTGCCTTGGGGGTTGTGGTGGGCTTTGAGGTGTGCGGTCGGAGGTTGCGGGGAAGGGTGGGGAGGTTGGGAGATGGAGATTGTTCGTGGTGGTGGGGGCGGCATGGGCGGTGGTTTTGGGGAGAGGCGGTTGAGGTGGATGGTAGAGGAAGAATGATATCGTGGAATAAGCTGGAGCTGGAGCTGGAGCTGGAACTGGAACTGTGATGACTGTCGCTGTCGTTGTAGGATTTGTGGGAAAAGCCGCATGTGCCTCGAAGAGGCGAAAAGGTTCATGACAGGAGGAAAAGGAAAAGGAAGAGGCTTGGAAAGCGTAGTATTGGGATTAGAGACATGAGAGAACAAAAAACAAAAATTGTACTGTACTGTATGTACTTTCGACGCGACTCTCAATGGTAAGATGCCAAATGATTCGGGTTTTGGGAATCGGTCAAGCTCCGGGGATGGGATCACGCGTCGTCATTCACTTCATTTAGCGTGTTTTTTTTTTGGTTCGGATCTTGGCGAACAACTCTGGTTCAAGAGCATTGTACCTCCTAGTTAACAACAGACAAAGACAGAAAGACTGGAGTTTTTTTAGAAAAAGAAAATGACGAAGAGTATACAAGAGGACAGCAAACTGTACAAACAGATAATATCACGCAACACCTCTCGCAGTCAAAAAATCAAAATCAGCCCCCTCCTCAGCCTGATTCACAGATTTTTCATATAACCCTCTATACCCTCTCTGCGGCTTCACCATTTTCTTACCCTGCAAAACCTTCCCACCACCACCACCAGTAGCCTCCAACGACGTCTTTCGTCTCTCCTCGATTCTCTCCGCAATGACTTGATCGCTCACATCCATCTCTAATAATCTCTTCTCCAGACTTAATCGAATGATATCGCCCTCTTGCACGATCCCCAATGGAGAATCTATAAGGGCGGATTCGGGCGAGATGTGGAGAACAATTGTTCCACCGGCTGTGCCACTCATTCGCCCATCTGATAATCGCAACATGTCGGAAATACCTTTGAGTTTGCGAGGGATGGGGATGACTCCTGCTTCGGGCATACCGGGATGACCGATGGGACCTATATGGAGTGTGGTCAGCAGATTAACATGATAACACGCTTTTTCTTCTTTTTCTTCTTTTTCTTCTTCTTCTTCTCCCAAGGGCTTGATTTTCTTACCGATTCCTTTCAACACCAAAACAGAATCCTTAGTCACCTGCAGCTCTTCACTATCGATTCGGTTCGCCAAATCAACCGTATTCTCAAAAACGACTGCAGGACCAGAGAATTCGACGAGTCTTCGATCTTTCGAGGCAGATGCTTTCATGACTGCGCCATTGGGAGCAAGATTGCCATAGAGGACCACGAGAGCCGAGTGAGGATATAGAGGAGCCTCCAGCGAGCGGATCAATTCCCTCGAGTAGGGAAATGTCTTGAAGGGCGTCGCGTCGAGAGTCTCGCCTAACGTCTTGCCTGTGATGGTTTTGGCTTCGAGGTGGAGAAGGGGACGTAGCGTGTGCAAGAGTGCGAACATTCCGCCTGCGTTGTGGAAGTCGTTCATGTAGTTGTCGCCACTCGGTTTGAGGTCCACCAGTAAGGGGGTTTTGCGACCGACTTCGTCAAAGCTCTTGAGGGTGAGTTGGCCGGCGACGTCGGGATGACGGTTGATGATTGCCATGAGATGGACTACTGCGTTGGTGGAGCCTCCTATGGCTTGCAGAACCGTGATGGCATTGAGGAAGGACTCCTTCGAAAGAATGGCTTGTGGTCTTCGCGAGGATAGATTCGCAGCCACTGATACTGCCATTGCCCCAGTCTCTTCTGCTATCCGCATTCGAGCTGCAGAGACGGCTGGTGCTGATGCTCCACCCAGAGGCATCAAACCTAGAGCCGCAGCAACACAGGCCATGGTGCTGGTATATTGTTAGCATCACGCAAAAGCTTCTCACATGGCAAGATTCACCTCGCAGTGCCCATAACGCCGCAAGTGCCGGCCTATAAACAGTCAACTTCAGCTTTGGTGTTGTCCATGTGCTTAGTCTCACGGTCGGTGCCAGCTCCTCATTGATATCTTTGATGTCCTCGATATCCATATCTCCTCGCCGATATGCGGCCCACGAAGATCGACAGTCTGTACATGCGCCCACTCGTTGACCTCGAAAGGAGCCCGGCATCATCGGTCCTGTGGCGAGAGAAATGACAGGCTTATTGGCAGAGATGCTTCCCATCAACTGTGCGGGAATCGTCTTGTCACAGCCTCCTATCATGACGCCTTGTATTTACAGTCAGTTTGCTTTGCTTTCCCATGACCAGATGCATTTGTCTCACATGCATCCAGGGGCTGGGCCTTGATCATTTCCTCGGTGTCCATGGCCATCAAATTCCGTAAAAACATGCTTGTCGGAGCTGCAAACATTTCATGGAGACTGATGGTCGGGAAATCAATTGCAAGCCCGCCATGGAGTTGGATGCCTCTCTTGACAGCTTCGATCAGCTGAGGGACGTTTGCATGGCATGGATTGAAACCCGATCCGGTGTTGATGATGCCAATGAGTGGCCTTGCTAACGCGTCCTCGCCATATCCCGCGGCTTTGATGAATACTTTCCGTAAGAAGAGGGAGAAGTGCGTATCGCCATAACTGACAGCAGGAGGCAGCAGGTCGGTCGTGTCAGTTCTGGTGTCATGGAGGGGGCACGAAATACTGTGAGTAGGTAGATATACCTGGTGAGGCCGCTTCGCAAGCCTTTACTGGTGTCGATGGGCTCGTTCAGATCAAAGTCTCTCAAGTCGTCTGCAGCGTCGCCCGCATCCTGCTCCGCCATGTTGATAATCAGATGACTTGGGGAAGCTACCTATCGACGAGGCCGACGAGGGGCTCAAATTGCGCCATTGAGAGCTCAGACATTGGTCATACTGTCATCAGATGTGCCCGGTGGCATTAGGTACCTCCTCTTGCCGGTATAGACATGGGCACCTCCGCCGGCTGTCGTGAGAGTGAGTACCGAGAGATGGATACAATTCCGCTCGCTTGGACGACACGCGTGTTAGCATAGGTACATGTACCTTACCTACCTCACCTACATTGGTGCACATCAGCTGTAGCATCAATACCAACAATTCACAGGAGACTGGACAGAAGATATCGAGTGGCACGTTGAGATGGCAGCCAAGTGAAAAGGCAACAACTCTGTACCGAGGTGTGAACTGACTCTCCAACACGAAGCTTTCGTGCTGCACCTCGCGTGGCTACCTCCTACCAAGCTACCTTACCACAGTTACCAAACTACCTTCTTCCAACTTCGCTTCCATGATTCGCCTCTGATCGTTTATCTTCTTGGCACACCTCATGGCGAGAAGGGTCAGGCGTACGCGAAGGATCCAAAAAAGCCTCTCGCGTAGGAGGTACCGTTTTGTAGGGGAGGGCCAGACCATATATTTCTCCCCGCCAAAAGGATTCGGAAGAACGAAAAGGGTGTCGGAAGGAGTAGCGCCTATCGCCCTCAAGTGACGACGGCCTCTTGCTCATTTTCGTGTACAACAACGTACCTGGGTATGGACTCTGTTCCACCACTCCAACAGTGAGCACTCAGCAGGTACTGCAATACACGACAGCAACTATGAATAGGTAATATCCAATTTCTGCCCGGGCATACAGCAGGACCAGGGACCAAGTCTCGCCGGTCTGGGCCATATACAAGCAGTACTTAGGGTGGCGGTGGCATAGGAACAATGAAGGTCACCTACCTTACCTTAGGTACTTGTAGCCTCATGACCTCAGCCTCCTATACCTCCAGACCCGAGCGAGGCGCTTTCTACTACCTCCAACCACTACCTCGTAGGAGGTGAGGTAGGTACCACCTCCCTCCTTAGTCGTGATTGACCTCCCATCAAAGGGTGAGTTGCCGGTCGGCGCTCATGTCCGTCTTGGCCGTTTCGCAGTCCGGCCGCCACGCCCGCTGCGGCCAACGGCTTTCTTGGCACTGTTGGCAGCACTTCTACGCACGTGCTCTGCTTCTGCCCAGTGCTCGCTCTCACCCAATGAGAATGTCACGGCATGTCTTCCAGGAAAAGATGGTTGCCTTTCTCGAATCAGTCGAATGCTTGCTTCCTTTGCCTCTTTGCTTGTTGCAAATCCTGCCATGTGGATAATTTCCGTGACTACTGGCTCCCTTCTCCGGTCTCCTTATCGCTGAGATCCGCCTAATGATGGAAGATGTCAACTCTCAACGTTTGCCAGCGAGACATTCGTCGGGGTTATGTCCGGACGACTTCTCATAGGATGGAAGGACGGGAGGAGGTACCTCGGTGAGAGATTTGATGTCGGCCCACACACATAGAGGTACAACATACATCCACCCAGGACCCTCTGTGGGATCTATCATGCTCCATGCAGTTCGGGTGGAGAGAGGCTGCGCCGAGCCGAGCTGTGGCTCCTGCACCTGCATCATCTATCTTGGCCGGAGATGCCTTTTGGTGAAACGAGGCGGGAGGCGAACAATATCAAGCAAATCTCAATCACCTTCCAATCTGTAGGAGGTACCCACCCCGTGAGTATGCCAACCACCCGCCACCCACTACGCTGGCACCAGCTCATATGCTACAGCTGCCAGTGCTGCCAGTGCACACTCATTCTCTCATAGGTATGGCGAGCTGCGCCTCTATGTCCCACACCCGTCTCCAACTTTGATTAGGAACTTGATTAACATGGCCACTCGGGGGCCACCTCACTCCCCTGCCACGGTTGAGACCTGGAATTTCTGTGAGTGCATAGAACTAGCGGAGCCACTGCTTGGCAGAGTGGATCCGGCGGCTGCAAGTGGCCAACGGGTCAGGAAGTGTGCCCGGAAACCTTGACTAGGCACGCGGTGGGTGCTTAGCATTGTGGAGTGGAGTCTATGCCACCTTGTTGTTTGTTGTAGTACCTCCTACCTAACTCCAGTCGTCTTTCTCTCTTTCGATTTCAATGTTGCAATACACAGGTCGACTTTGGGGGGGCTGTGTACTCCTCAGAAGCCTCGTTCCTCACGCCATGTGGTGAGCAGCAGCAGCAGCAGCAGCATCAACAGTCATTCCTACCTATTTCCGCTACCTAGTCGCTATGGCCTGGACTTCTTCCATCAGATATCTCCGAGCGGCGGTGATATGCCTCCTCATCACATTATCACTCCTAGCAACCCTCTATCTGGTTCATCAGCTCGTTCTTCCAGTGATTGCCTTCCTCATCCCGAGCCTGGATCCGACTTTTTTCGACATTGGAGTTTTTGGTGCTTTTCCCCTGGAACAGTACAATTCCTTTCACCTGGGAGGACCGCGGGCGAGACAACTACGATGGCACCCCAGTTGTGAGGCAGGATTGGTTCTTCTGACCCCGAATGGACCTTCCGTGCCTCGATCGGGCCCCATGATACTCGATTCGAATGGGAAGCTGGTCTGGATGTCCGACGATTTCGGTGCGGCGGCGAATCTCAAGGTCCAGAGTTACAAGGGTCAAGACTTTCTCACTCTGTGGTCGGGTGAGAAAGCTGCAACTTCTGGCAAAGGCGTGTACTTTCTGCTCGATCAGTCGTATCAGGTCGTGAAAATGGTCACTGCTGTTGGAGACGGTCTGCATGGCGATTTGCATGAGTTCAAGATCACCAACAACGACACTGCACTCTTGACCGTCTACGACACCACCAATGCTAATCTGACTCGAATGGGCATGGGGAGAGGCGAGCATGGCTGGGTTGTCAACAATATGTTTCAAGAAGTCGACATTGAAACCGGCGAGCTGCTGTTCCAATGGAGCGCACTGGATCACTTTGAACCGGCAGACACCTACATGACCAACCCTTTCGGTGGCTACCGTGAGAGCATTCCCTTCGACTTCTACCATTTGAACAGTGTAGACAAGGATTCGAAAGGCAACTACATCATCTCCTCACGACATTTCCACCATGTTATGTGCATCAGTCCCACCGGCGAAACACTCTGGATTCTTGGCGGTCGTGAAAACCAGTTCGAAGATCTCTCCGATGGACAAGCGACCAACTTCAAGTGGCAACACGACGCTCGCTGGATCTCCGAAGAGGAAGGTATCTTGTCATTGTTCGATAATAGCAAAGCTGGTCCCATGCATCGCGATGCGCCTGAAAGTCGAGTTCTCATGATACAGCTTGATCTGGAGAAGAAGACTGCGAAGCTGGTGCACGCCATGACCTCCTTGCAAGGCATTCTCGCGTCGTCGCAGGGCTCGGCCCAGCAGCTCCCGGGTACCAAGAACATGTTCGTGGGATGGGGCTCTGCCGCAGCCTATTCCGAGTACTCGCCTGATGGAGAATTGTTATGCGAAACCCACCTGGGTGCTTCGTGGTACTACTATTTCGAGCGCATGAAGTCTTATCGATCGACCAAAACTTTTGTCTGGCATGGCAGGCCCCAGGACCCGCCTCAGATTGCGATGAATGGCAATGCACTTTCTGTGAGCTGGAACGGCGCCACGGACGTGGCATTCTGGTCCTTGGAGGGAACTGCCGACTTGGATGTAGATGGTGTCGAGGAGCTGCGCAGCAAGAGCGAGGATTCTGCTGTGCCGCACGAACAGCCCTTCTGGACGGCCCTCGATGTCATCCCCAAGACGGGTTTCGAAGATACATTTGACCTTTCCCAGCTCTCGCTGAATAAGTTTTTTACGCGTTTTCGAGTGGCTGCATTGGACAGTGACCACAACGTACTCCGCGTCTCCGAGTCCGTGACAGCAGTCGTCACGAAAACCTCGTATCTCATGACAAGCTTCAAATTATCCATGATTATTGGCTTCCTCATTGGCGTGCGTTTCGTGTTCAAGCACTTCCGATCTCATGGGCACTTTCGCTATTGGAATGCGCCGAGTACACCAGCTTGGATGAGCTGGCAAGGCCCCTCGGGACGAGAACGGAGCCATAGTCCTGCTGTCTATGAATGGATCCAGATGAAGTGGGCAGCTGCTCAGTCGAGACCTGGTTGAGATGAGCTACTGGAGCACTTAGCAACCTGACTTTGAACCAAAAGACTCATACCAAGCAATTCGCAAGACTGGATATTCAATCATGCGTATTGGCAGTATCTAATACTGTTGGTAGCAGAGCTGATTTGCTCTATCAGAAAGGGATGCCATTCAGGCCGATCTGCAAGAAGCCGATCTCCAAACTCCTGTTACAGCAGTACACTGAGTGCGGGTCCAACGAAGTACAATGCTGCTCGCGCGACACACGAAGCAATGCGAGCTCACCATGAGTTGCCCCGCACAGGACTGGCGGAGCTCTGCCACATACACCCGTCATCTCCGCCGCAACCAGTCCTATCGTGTAGTAGCGCAGACGTCTTCTTTCGTCTTCTCCATGCTGTCGGGCACTTCTCGAACCCCATTGAAAAGTCCTCATCGTACAGAGGAGGGGAGTACCGAACAACGGGGGCGCGGTTATATCATACGACCATGGGAGTACGGAGCTCCCCGTACCACGCGTACCGAAGTACGGAAACTCGACAGCAATGAGACAGCAGTCTTCGCCAGGTCTTTTCACAGCAAGACCAGAGACTTTCGTACCTTCTAACTGCCAGAGTTGACCTCGACTTTTTTTTTCAATCCTGTTGCCACTTGGCTACCTATGTGGTAGATTAGCGATTCCACATCTTCGACCTCTCATCGGTCATGAAGCTAGCCAGCCAGCCGGCCGGCCAGTATCATATCATACCTGATCATATCTTTTATCATATGTCATTGTAATCATCACGATTTCAAAATTCCTTTTCGTCCTCGATATCTCATATCTCTTCTATCTCTCTCTGTCTCTCTCTCTGTCTCTCCTCAGCCTTTTTTTTTTCGTTATTTCTTCCTCTCTAAACACCTTGTCCTAGAGGTACATGTAGGTAAGGTAGTAAAGAACAATAGCCTAGTCTGTTGAGTAAGGTAGGAGGTACCTATAAGGCACACTTCCTACTCACTTATTATAGGGATAGGTATGGTGTGGTTACGGGCAAGTTTCTTGTAGACGGTGGCAAGTGGGTAGTGGAGAAGATGGCGTTATAGCGCAGCTCGCAGTCTGAACGCCAAGATATGGGATCGGTGAATACCTACAGATCTTAAGGCCTTCTTCTTCTTCTTCTTCGCTCGCTCGATACAGCATCAATGCGGAAATATCACCCGAGATCCTTCTCTTGACCTTGAAAATGCAATTCGCCTCGAGCATAATCTGCTGCACGTTGAACATCCCCATCTCGGCACGTCAGTTGAACGTCATGGAGTCAGGTATTTCCATCTCAGTCACCGCATGCACTCTACCGCACGGGCATGCATCGGGGCATGTATCGAGAATGCACTTCCCATATGCGTCTTTTTCGTCTTTTGCTATCCTGTACTGTCCCTCGTACCATCATTAACCTACAAGTAGGACCTCCTAGCCCTGCTCCGCGGGCGACTCGCAACGATATCGACATCGACATCGAAACCAAAAATTGGTAGTTGGATGGCATACATCTCACGCCCCGGAAACTGCTGCCGGCGGCTAATCGGCCCCACCATTCGAGTAAGAAGAAATCACCAGCAGCCGTCCATGTTGAGTCGCAATGGAAAGTGGGAAAGTCGTCACTGTCGTCGTGAGTCGTGACGTGTCGGTGACCACTACATGTATGCATTACAACTCAACGCTATACCCGCTTGGGGTCTGCAGATGTCACTAGGCCTGCGAGACTCGATGGAGCTGGTGCAGGTACAGAAACTCTCCCCAAAATTCTCAACACCTCATGGCAAAGGAGGATTATTAATTCATCTGATTTTTTTTATTTTTTTTTTAAATTCGAACAAAAAAATAAATGCAAATGGAAAATGCATCTTGCGTAATACTGTACCTAATCCCCACGCATGTCCGTCGATGTCACCCGTGGAGGTACACGTACACGATCGGGACAGGGCAGCATACTGTAGATGGCTGATGGCATGGCACCAACCGCCTGCCCGGCAAACAGCCAACGAGCTTCTTCCATCAGCGCATCTGGTGGCGGCCACACAATTGTTCTACTCTAGTAGGAGATATGTCGTATCTCCCTGTCCAGTAGTGCACTTCCGACCTCGCTACAAGAGAAGCACTGATGATGCACAAAACTATCAGACATGCCATGAATCTATCCATGACGCTGACCTTGCTACACGGTCCAAGCACCGACCATGCTGTCATTGTCTATATACCACTCGCGTCTCGCCCCATTCTGCCTTGTTGGTTCATCATCCTCCCTTCGTCTCATTCCCTTTGAGAGAGCAATCGGTTGATCAACATGTTGCGCTCACTCATTACTCTGGCTGGCGTTGCCGCTGCCATTCCGGCTCCCCAAGTCAGCCAATTGCCTGATGGACAAGTGCAAGCTCGTGAGTACATACCGAGCTTTTATATCGATCCTCAGAGAGCTTAGCATTAACCTCATATTATAGCAGCATACGGAGCGGCAAGCAGTGCGACTGCTATTGCACAGACAACAGCAGCAGCAGTATCCACGGCACCCACTCCTGCTGCATACAGTGGCAGTACCCGTGGCAGTGACAGTGGCAGTGGCAGTGGCGATGGCAATGGCAATGCCGCCGATCAATCGGGCAATGTTGACGGCTACATCAATGCCGATGCCCCATACGCGAGCGAGCAGCCCACTCCGCTCACCGTCGTCCCCAGCGTGTTTGGACCAGACTCGCAGATTCCTGCTGTGGCCACCTCTGTCACCGGTCCACTGAACGGTGCTCCTCAGAGATCCCGCTATGTGACTGGTACAACCACTCACGGACCATTCGAGGGTACCGCCACTGTCACCGGCGCTGTTTCCAACAGTGTCCTCGCATCGAGCGTCGGCACTTTGCCACCGAACCCAACAGCCACCTACTACAACACGAATGGCTTGCTGCAGAACCCTCAGCCAGCACCCTACACTCCCGCAGGTGGTCTCGGCACCAATGGCTCTCTTCCACGCTACATGGTGGAGAGCGACTTCGATTACGAGTCCATCACTCTGGGCCTCTACCAGGAGTGGATCGAGCTGGATACCTTCAACAACGCCGTGGCAACCTTCTCCGAGGAGGACTTCGCTGCTGCTGGTCTCGGACCAGAGGACATCTCCTTGATCCAGTTCATGGCACAGCAAGAGCAAGGACACGCCACACTCTTGAGCAACATGCTGGGTGAGACCGCTCCCCCACAATGCACCTACAATTACCCATACACCAACGTGCGTGAGTTCGTCGACTTCAACCAGCAATTGACCCGCTGGGGAGAGAGTGGTGTCTGGGGTTTCATCAACCACCTCGACTCTCGTGAGGTCGGACAGCTGCTCGCTCAGTCCATCGCCACCGAGGCTCGTCAGGAGATGATTTTCCGCCAGATGAGTGGTCTGCACCCCATGCCGGTCTGGTTCGAGACTGGTATCCCACAATCTTGGGCCTGGACCTTCCTCGCACAGTACATCTCCAGCTGTCCCGAGGGAACCACCCGTCTCGCATGGCAAAACTTCCCCAACCTGCACGTCGTCAACCAGGCCAACATCAACCGCTTCTCACCCAACGACACCGCCGACTACGAGCGCGTGGACAACCGCACCTCCAGCCCTGCGACCATTCCCGCACAAAAGGACTCCTGCATTAACGTCAACGCCACCGAACACCCAGGCTACGGCTGCGGTCCTGCTATCACCCACAACCGTTCCGAGCCTCTCTCCTTCCCCGGCAAGCAAGTCCGCTTCCTATGGGACGCTCCCGGTATGGCTGTCGGTCCCAACAACAGCTACACCACCTCTACCAGCGCAGGTGAACCCAAGTTTGTCGCTTGGGCCGCTCAGCTCAACTTGACCTACACCCCTCTGACCATTACCGGACCCAACGAGGGTTACACCTACCAGCCCGCCGGCACTGTCTATGAGGGTGGACAAGGCATCGTCAACGATACCATGTTTGTCGCGTTGACGGATACGGATATGTTCCTTACTCCGTTCAACCTGTCGATGATTAACCCACATGTGGTGGCTTTGGGTGTCTACCAGGCTGGATAGATGCGTTTGTATAGAGTAAAAGAGGATGATGATGATGTATATATGTATGAATGTGCACGACTATGGTGTATTTTGTACACATGACAACATGAGGTAGTGGGACGAAAATTATGAAATTAGAGTTAATAATTAGAGATTTTCATCGCAGTTCAATTTCATCGCAGTTACGCAGTAACAATAACGTCTGATAATCCCGAGATGTGTTTCGTGACTTCGTCACCAATGTCCAAGGTACATCAATACATGTAGTCTATTGAGTCTTCCCATACGAGCGTACCTCCTAGCCCACTGGGAGAGGCTCAGGTACGTTGTAATTAATTAGACCTTACCTCCTAAAAGGTTTGCAGGTACCTAAGGTAAGGACCCAGGTATCATCTCAAATCAAACGGCCACAACTTCTCCGCATTCTTTCGCGCGTCTGCTTCACTTTCGTCCCCTTCCCGACTAGCGATGCAAGCACTCACAAACCCAGCATATTGCTCTCGATAGACAGAAATGAGATCCTCGTTCCATTTTTCTTCTTCGATCCAGCCATCTGTTTCACAGCGTAATAATCTGGAGAGATACGCGCGCAGGCGTTGCGTGGATTCTTGGTGGTCGAGTTGTATATTCAGGGATTTTGTTTCTGAGGGGGTGGGTTGGTAGGGACATTGTATGTCCTCTGGAACGTCAAGCTCGCTCCACTCATGGCTCGTATTGGTCAGTAACGAACGAAGAACAGTCGCATCATCAGAACATCCTGAAATCACGCCGGCAAGATAGCGGCAGAGATTAGGGTTGAAAGTTGAAGTTTTGCCCAATTTGGGACAAATAGAAGCCATGACGCCCCAAGTTTTTTTGCAGCGTTGAGCGTGGGTTTGGATCTCGTGGGAGGACTCATCACCGAGGGCGTCGGCGTCGAGTGTCTTGTCTAATACTGGCTCCGAGGCGAAATCCGGCGGGTCGACAGCATGAACAAAAGCAGGCTCAATGGCAGCGGACTGCCAGTCAATGATACCCAAAATCTTGGTCGGATCGTCCGGGTCGACGAAGATGTTGCGTGCGTTTAAGTCGGGGTGTAGCAGTGCAGGACTGCAGAACTCCTCCTGGAAGGTTGTAGTGTTCCCAACGACTTCTAACATCTTCCTACTCGTCTCCAGAAGCCGCAGATGATCTTCCACAACCACTTTTTCTTCTTGGGAAGAAGAAGAAGAAGAAGAAGATCCACGCTGCTGGACAGTTACCTCGCTGATACTGGTGAGATCTGCGAACAAGGTAGACAAGGCTTGCCCTGCAAGAGTTCAGCTGACATAGACGAAAAAGCGAAGCTGAATGCAAACTCACATGGACCTTGACACCCCAGAGGGATCGCGACTTGAGTTGCGAGGTCATCATTATACCCCCAGAATTGTCGACCACAATGTGGACCAATGCAATACTCATCATCAATGGCGTGCGCCTCTGAGGGCTTCTCTGCTGCTGTATTGAGGTAAAGCGAGCCATATGCTGTAAAGTTGAGAGCGCAAAGTTCTTTCACAAGTATCCCTATGGATTCGATGACCTGAATTTGCTGTAGCTCGGTCATCTGGCTCCAGTTGTCTTTCAGAGCGACGCCAGACATGTGTTCCATGATGATATATTCGGTGCCCACGGATCCGCTTTCAGATTTCGAGCTCCATGCGAGGATCTGAGGGACAGGCACAGATGTCTTGTCCTTCACTTTGTCGCACACAGTATGTCAGCTTATGGAATTGTTTATCGGGTGGGTGGTTAGGGATGCCGAATAACAATCATCATACCATATCTCAAGGTCGCCACTTCCGACATTGTCGTCAAAGCAGTTGGACCAGCGTATTGCATGGGCACTTTGGCAACAACCTTTGCTCCATTGTCAAACTCGATGACAAACACACGATTGAATCCGCCTTCTCTTTTCTCACAGGCCACAACTTGACGAGCACCGACACTGCATTTCACCGCCACGTCCAGCAAAGCGTCAAAGTTGAATTCCCGTCTTCTGGCCTTCTGTCGTTGTTCGTCTCGGTCTAGCCAGCGTCCTCGCGAGTAAGAGTAGGGGTCGAAAGCTAGGTATGAAATCCGCGTTAGTCGATAGGTAGGTCTCTGCGCTTACGCGAGAAAGAGAGGGAAAAACATACTCGGGACAAAACGACGTGCGCGATGTTGTATTGCAAAGCTCCGGACCAGATGCGGTTGTCTCAGAGATGTGTTGATAATTCGTGTGAATCGTGAGATGTGCATCGTCTGGGTCTTTTGGATGGGGGCATTGGCCGAGCTGCTTTGATCTGTACTTGAAGTAGGAGGGAGGTAAGCTGGGTGAGTAAAGGTAAGGTACCTACTAAGGTAAACGCTATCCTTCGTTGCCAAGCTCAAAGCCCCGTCCTTGGTCTCTGATTGGCTCCAGGAGAAAACTACAGGTACCTATTTCGTCCTTAAGTTTCCTGAAGAGCGATCGAACATAAGTCGTGGCACTAGGAGCATTTGCATGAACAGTTGGATAAGATTGTACATTGCAGATAGTTGTCGTGTCCAGTTGGAGAATTCTGATTTGGCTCGATTCGGCAGCGGTCATCTACAAATCGAAATACTCAATGAACAATTCTTCAGACACGGTCACACGGGTATACAATATCGTTAACTTACTGTAACTTTATCGTTTTTGTTTCTATCATCTACACATGCAACACTTTATCATTTGTGGAGTGCTCATCATTCATTTCATTTCGTATCATTTCCTCGCTTCCGCTCGTGTAGGCGCCCAATTCTTGAGCCAGGCTCGTGCAGCATCGACATCACCAGCATCGACTGCTTCAAGTGCTCCCACACACCACTCGAAGCCAAAGCCACCTTTCCCAGTGGGCCCTCCATCTTCTGCGGCAAGCATTGCAGCCAGGTTCCGTCTCCTCTGGCTACCCTCGTCGACGCAAAAGTGCAGAGGTGTCGCGTGGCCTGCTTCGGTGAGACCAGCAAGGAAAGGCTTAATCATGGGCAGAGCATCTTTGGTAGTGATGCTATTGTGGAGATCCATCTTCTTCCGACCACTCTTACAGAATTCGTTCTGACACCAAGATTTGCCACAGCCTGTGAGTAGCTGCTGGAGGTACCGTCTTTCGATCCGACGGCGGAGAGCTTTATTCTCAGGGTCATGAAGACTCACGTAGAGGGGGCCAAAGCAGACTGAACAGAGGCCTACATCGTTGCCAGGCCCTTGTCCCATGCGTGAGCCAGCTCGTGTGTCACCGCTTTTCGAGCACGTGTCTAGAGTCCGGCCACAATTGACGTTACGGCATGGCACCGGCGCTGGTCGGTCGAACCGATCGAGGTCGTGGTTCTTCAAGTGTGTTTCCATATCTCGAAGGCGCACAATCTTCTGACAGAGATGGCACTCTGTGGTACGCGCTCCGTCAGCGAGTTCGTGAACCGTCATGCCAGACAGCAGAGCTTCTGCATTTGGTACGTCAGGGTCGCCTTCCTGTGGTACCTCGAGATGACAGAAGCGACATAAAATGAGCTTCCCAGGGCATGTCGAGGTTCGGTGGTGAGCGAGAGCCGGAAAGGTAGAGAATGTCTCGGCAGTACTGCAGCACTCACAGCGGAGAACTTCTGTCGGATGTATGATGGTTTCGTGCTGTTGACGTGATGACTGAGTATTGCCGAATGAGGAACATGTTTCATAGGGACAATGCCAGTGTCGCTCAAACTCTGGCGAACGCATTTGAAATACTTGCCCGCAGCCTTTGGGACACAGGAGATTATTGCGTAGGCAGAAGTTCTCATGCAGCATCAATCGCGCTTGGGGTACCCACTGTTTGCAATTCTTACACTGAACATCACCATCATTTGGGGATGCCTGTGGCTTAGTATCTGCTAGTATCGCATTGGCTGGCACATTGATGTGCCTGGCACGAAGCGTAAAGTGCCGCGGCTCTACTGTCGATGCGGTGTTCGGAGCATGGACATTGCTTTCGCGGCTGGGCGTGAATGCCCAGACAGACACTTGTATCTCCTCTGCATGCTCAAGCTCTGCGTTCGTAGGTTCGAGGCGAATACGCTTAGTTGGCCGAGGATCGAGATCTCCGAATACATACTCATCGACCCGTGGCTTTGCTCGTTGTGTAGCAGACAAAGGACTGACAAGCAAATTGACATCCTCCTCATCGTCATCAACGTCCAGCTCGAGCTCCAGCGCCTGCGTGCGATTCCATGACGGCAGCTGATAGTCAACATATTCTCCAGGCAGAACTTGGCCATAGTGCTCCTTGAATAGATCGAGCTCCCCACCAGGAGAGCTACCATGTTCCGTGCCTGGCTGCTTTGCCATCTTCGCCGCTATACGTTTCATCGTTTCACGAGCTTGTTCTTCATTTAGCGCCTCAATGTCCACTTCGAGATCTGTATCCACGACGCAAATGCCGTCTACTTCTGGTTTGAAGCCATCGATCAGAAACCTGAATTCTTCTCTCTTGCCTCCATTGCCTCGACCACCTGGCACTACTAACACTTCGCCGTTGGTAAGCGTCGTATAGTTGGCGCGTAGGTGTTGCTCCAAGAGCGCTTTCCAGTCCTCGGGATCGTAGCCGGGCTCTAGAGGTCTCAGCTTCACGAAGGTGCCTTTGGGTAACTGTCGAGCGTGGACTGTGATAGAGGGAGTCGCCGCTACGCTGGTATTCGGATCACGTTCCATGCCATATTGCTGGTCTCCAACAGCTACACTACTAATGCCCAGCGTCTCGAGCAGAAATGGACTCAGCACCGCCTGTCCATCCTCAGCTGAAAACTCGCGGATACCAGCATAAACCACCCTGCCGTTATCGGGATTGACTAAGCGGAATGTCAGCGGGTGCGGCAGCTGCTGTCTCTGATCCTGATACTGCGATTCGGCCTGGCGGTAGGCCGAGAACGTCGAGGAGTTGTACGGGTCGTACTGGGGCAGACTTCGACGCGCACTCTCGGCAGCAGCGCTAGACGATGCACTGAGCAGCTGTTCCAGTGCTGACGGCGGCAGCAAGATCTTGTCGCCCAGTAGTTTCTGTCCAGGAGCCGGCGCCGAAATAGTGTACTGTGATGTCCACTGGAGCGCAGGCGTCGTGACTTCATCCATGGCGGTGGATGATCAGGTCTGGGTCTGGTTCGAGGATGGTATACGGTATCGTTGCAGACAGGACATAGTGGCGCATCACACTGCCTCCTAGAACGATTCACAACAATGTGTAATGCGTGCCGTCGACGCTACTGACCTGGGAAGAGTGCTTCTAGAATGCCACCGAACAGTCTATTGGAAACAGGCCGCCAAGTCTCATGTTCGTCATTTCTGCAATCTAGGCCTTTTACGGCCTAGTACCAAAGTCAACCTCGAACCTGAGGTGGAATACAACCTCAGCTTCATCTGACTTCACCGTCACCACATATCACACGACCGGCGACGCAAATCAGTCACGGAACGACAATGCGTTCTGCGTGCGTACAACTTCACTCGCTATTTTGGGTCATCCGAACACCTCTGAGCTCGCACTGAAGCCCACCGTCTAAACCACCACGAAGTGGTGCCAGATCTACGCTTGTTTAGCCTAACTTCTCCACCACTATTGACTATGCAGTGGTGCAACCATGTTCAGAACAAGCAGAAAAAACTGCGACTATTCTCGCTCTACCCCTGCTCCCCATATGCTCCACGTCGCGACGAACTCTCAGCATGGTATAGACTTACGGACCAGTGATACCGTTCCAACAAGTAGTTCATCTCGACGAATATAACAGGCTCCCAAGCATCGGTCTGGCTCTGATCTAGCTTGACCGGTGGCACCCCGATTATCAGGCACATTTTCTACTAAAGTCTTGCACACTCCCAGTCTGCCACACTGGCGGTCTCGGTTGTGGTCTTATCGTCTGCGTAACGAGTACGAAGAACTCATGCAATCAGAGGAATCAAGCATCTTGCTATTCACTTCCACGTGGAGTCATACCCGCATGCTACTATTGTGATTGGCGTCTCAAGATCTGCTCCATCATGCTGTTCATAGTGATAGAAATTCATCGATCTAGGGACGACGGCTCACTGCTTGAGCAGTTGTTGCAGGTCTCTTGGCGAGCACTGACAAGTGCAACAATTCTACAACCGGCACCGTCTATAGCAGAGGCTGATTTTGGGTACATCGGCGTCACGTAAGGTGCGCTAAATCGCGTCGTTGCCTCTGCTCGCCGCTCTGAACGCCATCGACAAGGAGCTGCACGTGTGAACACAAGCACAAACACAAACACCACCCCGACGCTTGGACCCCTGGGTCGGACGACACTCCTCGCGTATTCACGATAGCGTGAGACAAAATAGGTTTCCGAACATCTTCCAGTGTTCGCAAGTGTAGTCACTCGTGGGCTCCATATTGCGCATCGTCAAGCGGACTAGAGATGGCTAGAGATGTCGCACTTCTAATCATGTTCCTGGAAGCCCTTAATAAATATCCTCCCCAAAGCCCGCTCGTCACAACGATATCTAGCAAACAGACATTTCCACCACTTCCACCACTTCCACCTCTACAACAACTCGATACCAATCATGCTGTTTAGGAGCATCATCATCACCCTTGCATCAGTTGCTGGAATCGTCGAGGCCGCCAAATATAAGAGATGCAAATGCCACGACAGCAACACCGGCGTGAGTTCACTTTCCCCAACATAGATACGAGTCCCCATACTCACCTCATGTCTCCAGCTTCAAGTCGATTGGGCTACTGAAAAAGCCTGCAACGACTACAGGGATGATATCCCAGCCCGTGTCCGGTTCAGCTATTATGATAATCGCGCATGCATGCCAAACGAGTTGGATTATATCGACGGTGACACGATTGTAAGTCACAACCCTTGCAGAAACCTCGGAAACTAGAAGGCATCCATTTACTAATTGTCGTGTAGAACAACGAACTCTTCACTCTCAAGTGTTACCGATATGGTGACACTTACGGTCAATATTGCTGGTTCAAGGCGTAGATTTGCGGCTGGTGACGCGAGGAGATGGATTTGGAAATTGTACACTGCTTTTTGGACTTTAGATTTTATGATTAAGATGTGGGCGCCTAACGAGAGACAAGAGGACAGAGTGAGAGAGCCGAGATGGTATCGTGATTGGAACACGGACTTCACAACGTCAGAAAGCCTGCAGAGCAAACTGGCGAAGGGGGTGTGTCTCCTGCATAATTCCCTCGTACTTGGACTACCTATGTATCAAAATATTTTCACAGTTGGAAGGTTGTGCTGGCATTGGCTCCTCGTTCCATCTTCTTGTCTGTTCTGCCCTTTTGCTCGCTCTAAGGCGTTGCGGCGATTGTCGTCAGCAAGTCACGGCAACGAGAGTATATCTCGCTACTATATGGTCCTGTGCTGCCCTCGAGCCAGCCTTGGCTTTGCTCCGAGCCTGATAATCGACTGATGCGCACGCGTCAACCTCGCGAGATGAGATGCCGCCCACGCGAGATGCTACGCGTGAGCAGACGCGGTTCACGTAGGCAGACGTGTCTTGAAGGTAATATTTTCGCGAGTGCTTGAGTACATGATATCGTGCAGCTGCAAGAGGTGAAGTCAAAGGTGACTCACAGGATGGCGCACATCCGAAACACTCGAGAGCTGTCCACTGCATGAGTGCATGTTGGGCCCTGGAGGGAAGCTTCTTGATGCAGAAGAGTTCGAATGCAACCTCGAAACTCTGTGGGGGAAGCCCGACCAATCAAGACTCTGGAATGAGCCAAGACTCTCTACGCGCTCTTTTCTCCATTGCACGCGCCGAGCTCCACCTCCAACCTCTTCTCATCCTCTCAACCTCTCTTTAACCGCCAACATCTCCCCATCCACGTACCTCGCTGCGAGTGTTGCATAATGCATCTACCGGACCGGGTCACGGTGGAGGCTGTTTCATCTTGCTAACCGCCTTCTCCAGCGTTTGCTTGTCGGCCAAAGTTAGCAACGGACTTCGATGCAGCCACTCGGCTTCCTTCTTTCAAGACCACAATGATGGCATTTCGCCATGTCGCCCCATGGCTGACCCAGCAGACCGCCTTCTGGTGAAACCCAGGAGGATCCTCGTCCACGCTGCGAGCCGTTTCAACGGCCTTTTCCGGGCATTAGCCTCTTGCATCAATTGCTCGACATGCCCCAAATGGAGCACAGCAGGATGCTAGGCTTGCGCACGGATGTCTGCTGTTGTCCGTTTCAGAGCTGGTGAGCTGATGGTCATACTACTCGGTCTGGATCAATCTTTCGTGCATATAGGAATCACCTATACCCGCGCGCCATCTTGCTCTTTTTTTTTCTTCGACAGATACCACTGACTGTTGCACTTGCATTGCTGACGCTGGTGACGAGCTCGACGACTCTCCTTGTTTCTTTCTGACCTTGGTGCGATTTTCTTATTGTATCCGTTCGGAGCTGGACTCCTGCCCACGCTAGTCTATTGCATTACTGTCTAATAGCACCACACCCTTTACGGCCAATCGAGAGCGGCTCTGGAAGCCACTTCATAACCAAGATGGACTATCGAGACTTGACGCCACCTGCTGAATTCGATCTCTATGGCCACGATAATCTGCAATGTCCCGGTGGCAGTGTGGGTCCCCATGGAGCATATTTTCCGCAGGACTGGTCTCCACCAACAGACTTCGTAGCGAATATTACACCACCTCGATCGCCCATGATTGCTCGCGAATATGGCTCACGACTACTGCCCAAGCCACGATACCAAGATCAGCTGACTGAGTCTGGCTGTAATCACCCTTCACAGCTTCACTCGCACAATCGAACAGCCTCATTGCCCGCCAATGTCCTTTCTGGCAAATTTGGGCCAGCCTTGCCGCACTCTGCAACGGATCGGAGGTCAACAAGTCCATATGGCCATGACAGGATCCTCTCGCCTGCACCGGCGCACCAACAAGGGATGAGCCGTCCTGACATGAACAACATGCGCTCAATCTCCTCTTCTCATATATCGAATATTCGATCACACTCTCGTAATGTGTCCTCTAGCAGCATCGATGCGGCCATGCTCAGCCGCTATGGCTATCCTACCTATCGACAAAGTCCAAGCTCTCAAGCACTACCTGTGTCAAACTACATCTCGAGGACACCGTCAGCAATGAGCTTCCTAGCACCTATTGCCACTCCAAGCGGACAGATGCAGTCTTATCCCAATCATCGTCGAACAGCCAGTCCACCCGCAAGACCGTCACGGTTATCAGTCGAGGCTGATCTGCATGTGCAGTCCGATGTCCCTAGCCCCACTTCAACAGTCATGGACTACCTCACTGAACCAAATCCGGCCCCGTCGCTTATTCAAAAGGTCGCTAAACCAGACACAAGCCAAGTGAGCCATTTCTGGTTCGATATTCGCAACCTCAGGACCTGGTCCGATTTTACAGTCGACACAATCTCTTCGATCCCAGGTCTACTCGACCTCCTCAATATCGACGTGTCCATGAAGGCTCTTCCAAATCCGGCCCCGGTCAACCTGTCACCCGAGTCCTCCGCCCAGCTGACCGAAATATGCGCCTTGCACCACGCAACTAAAGTCAATGCGGCACTCAAAGTCGCCCAAGGTGAGAAGCACATTGCCATGCGAACTTTGCGCCCAGGTCTCAGTACACGACAACAGCCAGAATTTATTGCCAACTACCAGTCTGATGGCGAAAAGACGATTTACGGAGATGGAAGAGGTCGTGTGGTGGGGATTGTCAAATCCTACAACCAATGGAATTCCGGCTATCGCAACGGGTCTCCCATCGACAAGATCAGATATCTCGAACACTTGGCTCACCTACATCGTTTTATGCGAGAGCACGGCACGCGATATGGCTTCATCATGACAGAAATCGAAGTCGTTTGTGTCCGAATGGGTGGACCTGCATCTCCATCGCACTCCGACCATACTGCTGACAACAATGTCCCCTTCTTCGGCTACCTCGAAGTCTCCCCTCCCGTGCAAGTCTCCGCTTCAAACTCTCCCGACGAGAATGGACAGTGCGACAGCTTGAAAATGACAGCTGGACTGGCGTTATGGTATCTTCACATGTTAGCGAAAGAACAACCTTTTCCAGGACAATTCCATTGGAAAGCTGAAGTGGGCGGGCCGACTGCGATGACAAGACGCAAACATTTGCCCCGAGATGATTGGATGCCGAAAGTGAATTTGCAGGATAAGAGGGTCAGTAAACGAGCGAGAGGTTGGACTTGGCCGGATGAGCCGTTGCATCGGAGGGAGTGTGGGAATCTGAAGGGGAGTGGGAGGAGGAAGTGATAGCGATGATGACCATCATCATCATGATCATGTTGGTGGTGGTGGACCAGATGCCTATTGGTTAGATGTGAGGAGGCATCTGGATTGGGAGGAATTATAATAGCACGTGGCAGGTCTGTGTGTGTAAAAGTACCTACGGTAGGGTAGTGGTACTGTCTGAACTTGTGAAGCTAGAGGGCGAATGAGTGAGAGTGAGTGAGGTTGTTGTACCTTTACTCTCTCCGTGCCGTTCTTGCACCAGCAGAAAAACAGCATAGCTTCAGCGCCACCCCAAATAATTTCTTATTTAAAAAGTTCCAACTCTATACTTTTCTTACACATAAAGAACATCTCTTTCCCCATCCCATCTTACCCATCTACTCAAAACAAACGTCCACTCTCCCCGCTCCTCCATCACAACAACAACAACACCACCACCACCACCTCAAATTTCACCTAAAACTTCCCCCTCCCCAAATTCCCCACCATCTCCCTCCCCGTAACCACCGTCGTCCTCCACAACGTCCCAAAATCCAACGTACTACTAAACGTATCCGCATACCCAAATCCCATCATAGGCGGAATCCAACCTCGCGCATACTCGAGCGCAAAACACGAACTTTCCATTTTGTACTGTTTGACCTCCCCTCGTCGCAAATGATGTACACTTCCCGGAGAGTAGATTTCTGGTTCGTAGGGGTTTGTGGAAGGGTCGTAGGCCAGTTGAGTGCCTGTGAGAATGTGGAAGTAGTCGTCTGCTGTGTGTCGGCCGGTGTGGCCTTCGGTTCCGATGGATGTGCCGAAGATGATGAGGTATTCGGTTATGCCTGTGGGTGGGGGGTTTTGGTTAGGGGAGAATAGATGTATGTATATGGAAAGAAAATTGGGGGTTGGTTTATTTCTTTTTGGTTGATTTTTTTTTCCTCTCTCTCTCTTTGGGGGTTTGAAAGGAGAAAAAAGAAAAGCAGACTAGGGAAAAGATAGATAACTGGAGGGGGTTGGGGGGAAACTCACTGGCGTGAATAATATACATAGCACCCATTGCACCTCCAGCATTATTGAAAATCCATTCTTCTTGAAAATTGAGATGGGGTTTGATAGAGTCGATAGCGGAGAGTTGCGAGATGATATCGGAGACAATGGCTTGCGTATTATTGCCATGTTGGTCGATGGCACTGAGGGCAATCTTGTGTAATTGGGGTGGATTGAAAATATAAAACGATTCGAGATTGGCTTCGAGGATGGTGTAGATTCCGTACAAGGCGGCGAAGAGCAGGACTGCCAGGGAGAGTTTTTGGTAATCCATGTTCTTTTTTTTTTGTTTTACCCTTCTCTCCGGCCCCTTGCGGTCTTGGGTATCTTGAATGGGTTGGCTCTGTTGGTGGGCTGGACGAAGGAGTGTAATGGGAAGGAAAAGGAGCGTGTCGTGGTCCAGCAGTGAGCGTGTTACGTGAGCTAATTGTTTACCGGGTTCTGCTGACATTGACCGCCCCGCCAAGACGTAGGAGTAAGGGTCAGGTTTATCGTACGAGGCCTTGGCTTCTCCTTTCACGATGCAGCATGCATCCCGTCTCTTCTGTCATCATCGGCCTGCCAGCCCTACAGCATGCCCAGAACTGGAAGACAGGTCTGTTTCAATCATGTGCGACAAGGGTCTTGACGAATATGATGTGCATACAATGCGGTCTCGACTATGACAATCGGCAAGCACCATGAAGGTGCATAATTCGACAGACAGATAACATCTGTCATTGGACCTCTCTAGCACTAATTGCCATCATCGTCAATCGTTGGCCTTGAATCTCTGTAAAACGCTCTCAAAACACCAAACTCGCTCGCTCGCTCGCCGCAATCAGAAGCTCCGAATCACAATCAATCCCTTGCAAAGTAGCTCACTTTCTCACAGTACACGCTCACAACACAAACACAACATGGGTCTGGGCCCAGTATCACAGCTCAACCCGTCACTCGTCTCACCCACAGTCCTTCCTCCTCGCCATATCCTTCCTTCCTCCGCGCCCGCGCAATAGCGATACCGATTTCCCGCTCCTCTAGCCGAATCTCCTCCAACCTCACACGTAAGATCTCGAGCTCTTTCTTCGCCTGGCGAACTTCGGAGAAAGCAACATCCATGGGACTCGCGGTTTCGATCTTGGAGTTCTCCACGATAGCCTTCTCGATGTTCCTACGCTGCAAGCTCATGTCTTGCTCTCTGGCGAGCAGAATTTCCAAGTGGCTCATCGGGCTGGCGGGGGACATCATAACTGGTGGGAGTGGTAAAGACTTCTTCGCTGAGCCAGGACTTTCCTTTGTCGCGGAACGGAGCTGGTCGGCAACGACGATGTTCAGCTTTGTCTTGGCCGCAGAAGCTGGAGTGTCGGCTGTTCTCTCCCCAGTGGAAGATGATTTGCGTGGCGGTAGAGTCCACTCTTCGCGCTCTTGATGTCGTTGGATGGGTCGATGGCGGGAGAGGATGGACTGGACTGGAGGGGTTTTGTACCTGGTAGGAACCATAGCACGCGGGCTCGGCGGCGGCGAGTCTGCATGATTCTGGTTGTTTGGCGGCATGCTTGTGTTCACTGTGCTCCAGCTGAAACGACTCACAGCTGCCTCTGCGCCTAGCCGAGACATTGGATGGCCGTTTCGTGGCCCTCCAGAGTCGAACGAGCGGCCAGTCGATGGTCTCTCCACGGATGAGCGACTGGCAAGATCAAAAGAAGGTCGCGCTGGTGTTGCTCCTCCGTATGTCGTCCAGCTGAAGCGACTGTCTAAGTCGTGCTCGCCTCGCACAATCTCAGCAACGCTATCGCAATCGGTGCCGCATGAGGGTGGGGGGCTCAGACTTTGTCGCGGTGGTAGAGATGCGAATTTCTGACTTTGGGACATCAAGTGTGGCGCAGGCTTACGCTTTATCTCCATCAGCCTGGCCGTTGCGCAGTGTGTTTCAGGCATAGTATTATTGGCACGAGCATTAGCTGAAACCTGACTTGGAGCGTTTTGTCCGTGGTATGCAAAGTCGGCGACATCCGAGTCAGGTGTACATTCATATTCGTCGATGGTCTGCCAATCACTTCCGGGTGGTATTGCTCTTTCCATGTCACTGTCCCTCAGCGCAGAGATGGGAGAGGTTTCCTTGGAACTCGAGCTATCCTGCTCCGGCCAATGTCTGCGGACCTCATATGTATCTCGAGAGGGCTGTCGAGAAGGATGCTTCACATCTGGGACTTCTGACGTGCTGCTCTGGCTGCTTTCCCGAGGACGACCGATGCGCGACATGTCCAACTTCGATGGCTTGTGGAGCATGGACCGGACCTGCTTGAAAAGAGGAAGCCTCGAGTGCCGGACTTGTTGCGGGCCATGATCGGGGATTTCCTGTGTGGTCGAGTAGTGGGGGTGCTTATCCTTGTAGAGCCTCAGAGGTAGGATATCTTGCATGGCAGAGTCTCTGGGGATGGTCTGGTAGTCGTCCTCACTGTAAATGGAGGCGGAAGGAGCTGATGATTTACGTGCTGGCTGCTCAGCCCAAGGGCGGTCCGCCATCAGCGAGTACTGCGGCATGGGCATGGGCATGGCATGTGTGCTGTACGCGGAGGAGGTGTTGACCTGGTCGCGCATGATGAAGCAAACATTAGTATCACAGCGGTGCGCGTGCTGCTCGCCGGTGGTAGTAGTAAGGTCAGGTACAGGTAGTGCTCGTGGAGAAGGCAAAACAATCACTGGACAGAATGGGCCGTGCTGGGCAGGTGGTGGAAGAGGGTCGTTGTGTCGTCGTGTCGTGGGGGTGGGAATATGAGCAGATGAAAGATGTTTGTGTCACTCAGTTACAGGTAGTTAACGCTCAGGTCGCAGAATCGGCTTGCTTCGAGCCCGTGTAGGTGCATCACCGGTCATCACCACCACGACCCATCGCATTGTATCGTGCGCGCATTATAATGAATATGGGAGGCACAGTGGGGCGAACAGGAGGCTATGGATGGTCCCTGCGACGTGCGCGCCCCGCCAATGGCTCTCGATAGGCCAATGGCCAATGCCTTCCAGCTGCGAGTCAACGGCTGTCGCATCCAGCGTGGTTCGCAGCGAGAAATTGCATGTCGCGTATCGCATCTCAGCCTTTCGTCAGCGTTCATCTCTGAAACAAGCACGTGCTGTCCGCTAGCGCCAACCGTCTGATCACAGCCGGCAACCACCAGTGCTCGCGCGTTTCAGATCTCAGATGTGACGGCCGAGCCGCGCGGACCGCCTCGGGTCGCTGGGTGTGGACGCCAAGCGTGCTGCGTACCGGCTTCCACCTGACCTGCACCTGCACCTGTGCACTCTCTCCACTCTGCACCCACGCTCGTACGTTGCAAGCAGAAAAAGTCTCCTGCGACTGGACTGAATAGTCCCGAACTACCGATCGAATGGCAGACAGTAAGCCCAGGACTCCTTCATATCCCTCTATTCGTACTCTGACAGACCGTGTGGCAGGTGCAACCATGGCCGACCCGCCCGTCGGCGGAGCGTACGTCTCACCTCTCCGACACACCAGCAAGGCAAACTGCTGCTGTCACATTATCCCCTCCTACATCCCCGGCATCTTTACGCCTATATCAACCTGCTAACGTCTGACTTGCCTTCCCAGAGCGTCCATCGCAACTCCAATCAACCTTATCCTCCTCTCCCTCTTCTTGGTTCTTGTTTACATGCGCCTGCGCCCAAACAAGACCGCGCCGACCCTGCCCGCTGCGCCTCCGCCGACTGTCTTTAAAGTCTTTACGCCTCCTCAGCTCGAACCTTTCAATGGGAACAATGGCATGCCAATCTACTTTGCCGTCAAAGGCAAAGTGTTTGATGTCTCATCTGGTCGCAACTTCTATGGCCCGGGTGGACCATACCAGAACTTCGCGGGCAGGGATGCCTCGAGAGGTCTGGCATGTGGTAGTTTCGACCCAGACATGTTGACAGAGGATCTTCATGGGCCGTTGGATAAGCTGGAGGATCTTGGCGCAGAAGAGATGGAGGCACTGAGAGGCTGGGAGGAGCGCTTCAACGAGAAGTATCTCGTGGTGGGAAAACTGGTGCCTGTGGGACATCCCGAGGCGGAGCCGGACGAGTGATGCCACGGCTCATTCACGTGAGTGTGGAATCGTGGTCACTGTAGCGTTAAGCGTTTACGAATTCATGACGAGGCTTTGGCATATGAGAATATGAGTGTATCCACGCGCAAAGGAGAGGCATGAGGTATAGACATCCACGAATTCACGGGTAGGCTTGATTCCGATTCCAGCTTCACAACTGTGCCTGGCCGAGATTTTCCGACCACTGCAACCGCATGCAGAGAGCACTTCTCCTACCTAGAGCCGTGGTGCTTTTCCTTCATGATGGAGCATGCGCTTGCACATTTCTTCAAGGCATAACACTCCCATCACAGCGCTGACGATCCTTTGACAGCAAGTCCAGCTTCTACCTACTTACTTTGCTAGGACCAGGGTATATCTACTAGGCTGGGATTGCGATCGCTCGATCTGGAGAATTAAGCGATGACGCTGATGGAAGGAAGCTGTCACGACTTCAAAACAGGGCGGCTTCGTTTAATTGACACCGATCTACTACCTACCTGTCTGTATGTACCAGCCATACTGTATTACCTGAGGGTACTAATACAATCCTCTCACGTCCCAATTTCGACAAGATTTTATACATAAGGCTTCGCAAGGAGTTTATTATTATTCAGGGGATCTGTCTGGACCTTCAGCAGGCAGATTTGATTCTGTGAATGTTTTAGGAGATTGCAATTCCTGATGATGCTGGCTTATCAGGTACATGTACATGTATGTATTGACTTTATATGGAAGATGCAGCGCTGTGTTGGTTTGAAAGATTTACAGTTGGCGATCACACTTGAGGATTACTTATTCTACTTGGATGAATATATCGTTTTGGGCCCACACTTCTGGAGAGGGGGCTTGTCCGACAAGTCGGTGGGACATACCTTATCAATATCCCCGTTGTTCAATAATGGGTAGTGAGTGTTTGGGTCTTGTTCTTTCGGTGGTCGGTGAGGGCCTTGGGTATTGAATAGGTATATGCAACATCCCAGTTTGGTGTACGGCTGTCTGTGGAGATGGAGCGTTGCAAACTTGCGACTTCACTTCAATTCTTCTACAAAATTTCCACAATTTGCTCATCTTCATCCTCTTCAATTTCCTGTACTCTCCCCGCACCTCCTCCCTGGGCCGCTTCCTCTGCCTCCTGTGCCATTGCCATCTTTCTTGCTTCCTCCTCCGGATCCGGATCGCCTTCCTCACCTCTCTGCAAGACTTGCACCAATCGATCCACACTCTCCCTTACACCCTCATCTTCATTCTTTTCGTGAAGTTCTCGAACAATCGGATAGACTTTGACATTTCGCAAAACTTTCCTCCCCTCGGCCGTCGTCGTCAACAGTAAGAGCGTTTCCAAATGAGTACAAATAATATCATTCTGCGGCTCGCGTTCTTTATCCGGAGGTAAGAGTTGACATTCATCTAACATTCCCTCGGTATCTTCATCGGCATACTCTTCACTGCCCATGAGTGGCAGGAGAATGTATGGAAGCAAACCCACACCACCGTCTTCTGGCGCCGCGAGAAGGGTTTGATGGGAATCGATATCGAAGCAGACGTTTTTGATGGTACTCGCTACCCCTCGTCTGCGAATAGTGGAAGCATGTTCAGTGAAAACGACGAGTTTGGATATTGGTAAAACTTTTTCCGCTGTCGCATCTGTGGTGCTGCCCTCGGTGCGAGGCGTGAGGAAATGTTTCCGTCCTTCGGCGTGTTTGGATAGGTCGGCGAAGACGTAGCAGAGATAGTCGTAGTCTGCTTTGGGATTGTAGGAGCCTGAAGCCCCCTTGACGAAGCAGTCGAGGAGTTGGTCGATGGCGATGGGTGACGTGGAGAGTGATTTGGGAATTTCGCGCTTGAGGGATGAGAGCTTTGCGATTGCGTCGGACTTTGCGAGATTGGCGAGCAGCATGCAGTGTTCGTTTGCATTGGGTTCTTTGGCATCCTGAAGATTATGGTTAGCGTTTGGTGCAAGTCTCGACTCGTAGGTAGTATTGAGTTTTCGTTTTGCTTTGAACTTGGACGTACTGTCACACGCCGCAGTATAGATTCCAGACAAGCTTCATCCTCGATCAATTTCTTCACAATTTCTTCATCATCTGTAAGGTTGACGAGAATGGTGAGAGCGTTTTTTGCTATAGGCGCATAATCTTTAATCAGAAGTTTCAGATCGGTAACAGGCTCGAGTTGGTTCCGCTTGAAGAGTGATGGCTGTGAAGTTGAATAGCCAACGAGGTTTTCCGCGGCTGGTATTCTTGTCAGACGAAATCTTTGTGCAATACGAATTATTCCATCTCTACAGGTAGTCGCTTACCGATTTGTCGAATCTGGGTATTTCCGTGGTGTAGGAACTACGGTCAATTAGCAGAAGATCACCGATGTTCTACATTAATAACACATACCTCTACCAGCTCTTCCAGTTCAGTCGGCATGATGACTGTGGAACGTGAGGTCTCGCTATGCTACCATTAGAGTCAAATCGATGCAATAACTTTTAATGTTTCACTCATATGCCATGTGGAGTTTTAGCGCGGTCTTGGCATCGATGATCGGCGCTACTTGCGGTGGGCCTCACGGGTCTTCTTCCCATTGACAACCAGACGCGACAATCCATCTCCCGCTGCGCGCGCTGGCTACGGTGCCGACTTTGTTATTGCAACGCGTGTGCAGGGTACTGGGAATAATTCTCTGACGCATGAGGTCCATACCATGAGAAGCGTTCGCGATCCGCGAAGACCGAAGCCGGCGCAACAATGTCCAAGTACTTCAAGAGCCTGCAGACTAACTTCAGCCTCGACTTCCTGGATAATAAGATAGCAGAAGAGCAGGAGAAACAGAAACAGCAGCAAGGTCAGGGACAGAAGGCAGGCGCACCAGGCCTCAAGCGCAGTCTCAGCAGTGCGAGGAGAGGCAGTAGCAGAATCGAGCCGCCAGGCAATCGATCCGGCAGCAGATTGAGAGCTCCCGACGCGTCAGATGGCGCGCCCGCGATCAAAGGTCCGGACCCAGACGATTTCGTTATTGGGGATGACGAGTCGAGCGCGAGCATCAGCCGGACGGCCACACCACAGCCAGCAATAAACGAGGGAAAAGATGCAGGATCATCGGCAGCGACAGCACCAGCACCAGCATCGACAGAGAGCGAACGCTCTAGAGACAAGGATGGCGGCAGTCAAGAGGGCGATAAGGGCAAGGGGAAGATGGCTCCCGAGGAAGAGCTCCCAGAGCTCGTGCAAAAGAAGCTGGCGCATCTGGAGAAGCTCACTGCAAGATATCAAGGTATGGTTACGTCCAAACCACTTCATCGTGATTGGCATCTGTTGTTTTACTCACAGAACTTGACGTGTACAGACTTGCTGCGCAATTACAGGACAGCGCACGCACGAGTATCCATGATCGATCCATTCGAAGCAGCCTTGCGCGAGCATACCCCGTTGACGTCCATCGGCGACCCTGGAACTTTGGTGGAGTGGCTGAATCAACGCAGCATGCAAAGTGATATGGTATTGCAGGAGCTCAAGAAGATTGCAGGCGAGAAAAACGAGGCTGAAAAGGAGCGTGATGAGCTGAAGACTAAGCTCGAAGATGCCGAGAAGAAGGTCAAGGATGCCTTTGACGAAGCTGCTGGGTTGCGGAAAGAGCGTGATGAGGCCAAGGCTGAGTCTGCGAAACACGGAGACTCTAGTGCACATTCCCTGGGTGTATCCAAGGCTGAGCGCAAGTCGACCGAGGACGACGCTTTCTTCTCGTACGAGGACGAGGTGTCTCGCGATGGCGAGCTAAGCAAGCAACTTGCAGAGAAAGATGTGACTCTCAAACAAAAGACCGAAGAGCTGCAGGCGTACGAGGTGAGGGAGAAAGAACACACGGCTTATATCAACGAGCTTTCTGTGGAGAACGCGTCCTTGCGCAAAGATTCGGAAACATTCCGAAACGAACTGGACGTCAAGAAGGTTGACCTCGATGCTGCGAACAAGCAACTTGAGCAAAAGGATGCTGAAATCGCATCGATCAAGCAAGAACTTGCCGAAGTCATCGCTGCTCGTGACGCTTCGAAGGAGCACCAAGATGAAGCGACCCTCAGCTTGGTTCAGACTGAAGCCCAGCTTGTCAACATCCAAAAGGAAATGAAAGATTCCCAGGAGGCTCTCAAAAAGAAGGCCGCAGAGGCTGAAGCAAGGAAGTCAGAGGCTGAGGACAAGTTGCAGAAATATCAGCGTGAGCACGCCAAGAACCTCAAGGAGGGCAAGTACTCTCCAGACGCTCAGAAGGGGGTGGAAAATGTCCGCAACCTCGTCAAGACATTGCAGGCCAATTTGGAGGCCAAAACTAATGAGGTGCTTATTGCAAGAGCTCAAGCCAGCGATATGCACAGCGCCATGAAGATCATGGAAGCTGAAAGTGCTCAAACGGAGAGTACTATGAAATACCTTCGTGATATCGAAACCACCGCGAAGAGCGACAAACAGAGATTACACGAAGCCGAGCAACAACGTGACGCTCTCCAGAAGGTGGTTGACTCCAAGAGGGGCCACGAGCAGAAAATTGTGACGCTACAGATGCAGCTCAAGCAGGCCATGGAAGACCGCGACAGAGCATATCAGAACATCATCAACTGCGGCAAATGTGTGATCCCGGTCAAGCAGGATGAGGTTACAACGCCGTCAGAGGTAGCCAGTTCATCTAAGTCACGCCTTGGCTCCGAAACGACAAACGTCAGCACCCAGCCCACCGAGCTTGGTAGCGAGGCTTCAACCCCTGGGACTCCGCCGGCGCTCGAAGACGAGGATTTACAAACTCCGACTGGTGCGGCAAAGAAGAAGAGCAAGAAGAAGTCCAAGAAGGGCAAGAAAAAGCCGGAATCTGCGACCGGTCCTGAAGGTGCAGACAAGACTGAACACGCATCCGCCGATGTCACCGTCGACGATCTTATTCGGGACCAGACTGGGACTGCGGCAAAACTTAGGCATCAATTTGAAGGCAACCCACTAATCCCACTGTTGGAAAATATGCACGACTATGTGAAGAAGCGAACCGAAGCAGACAGCGACAATCACGATAATCTGATTATGCACCTTGAAGAACGTATCGAGGTTGCCGTACAGAACCTCAAAAACAAGGATGTCGTCCTCCGAGCCAAAGACGATGAGATTCTCGAACTTCGGCAGAATATGCTCAACACAATCTCGTCCGATGCTAAGACGATACTTCAAGGCCAGATCGACGATCTGACAAAGGAGATCGCAATCGTGAAAGAAGAGAGGGATGCTAAGAACGCCAAACTCTTGCTCCTCGAAGAGCAACGTGAGGAAGCCGGCGATGCAATTCGGAGAGATGACAGCCAAGCTTGGCAAGATCTGGCTGAAGAGCACCAGAAACGCATCGATCATCTAGAAGCAGATCTCAAAGAAAGAGAAAGTACCATCGAGGCACTAAGGACCGAGATCGATGCGCTAGGGACTGACATTACTGACAAGAACACGACTATGGCGAAGCTCACTGAAGATATGGCTGCCAGCGAGGTCAAAGTTGCTAAATTGCAAGAAAGCATCAAGAGCCAGATTGAGAACGAAGAGCTGATCGAAATCCTGAAAGAGGAAAAAGATGAACTGCAAGATTCGATGCTTGAGCTTGGGAAAGAGGCCACAGAGGCTAAGCACGAGCTGAAATTGGTGAAGGAGATGCGAGACGAGCTTCAACGCGAGTTTGATGAGCTGGAACAAGATGTGGCTAAGTACCGCAAACAAGTAAAAGATGCCGAGGGGCGAGAGACTGATCTCAAGGAGCGTGCCAACGAGCTTGAAGTCAGGCTGCAGGAGGTGACAGACAAAGCGGGATCCAGCACCGAGCTTGAAGGAATCAAGGGCCAAATGGAAAGTCTGAAACGGGAACGGGAATCTTTGCAAGACGCCAAAGATGCAAGTGAGGCGCAGATCAAAGATCTCACAGCGAAACACACTGCCAGCAGCACTGAGCGAGATGCGCAACATCAGACTGTCTTGACGGAGCTAGAAGCACTCAAGAGTCGTGCTAGTGAACTGGAGAAAGACCTGGCGGCATCGGAAAATTTGGCACAGCAGCGCTTCAAGGATCTGACTTCTACTAAGGAGTTGAATGAAAAATTCCAGCAGCAGTTGAAGAAGCTGAAACAGGAGAGCGATGAATTAAGAGCAGTCAAGGCTGAGCTGGAAAAGTCGAGCGCGCTTGTCAAGAAGCTTGAAGGCAAGGCTAAAGATCTGCGGTCCGAAATCACTGAGTACAAGTCCCAGGCGGCCGATAGAGATATAGAGATTGCGTCGCTGAGAGGAAAGGCAAAGACGAGTGAGGATCGCGGAAAGGCACTTGAGGAGTCGTACGAGACGGCTAGGAGGGACCTCGAAAAGACTCAGAGTGCTCGGGACGAGGCTATTGATGCCCGCGAAAAGCTCCAAGCCGATTGCAGAAAGCTCGAGGACGAGCTCAAGAAGCAGAAGCCCAGAATTGAAGAGCTGGAAAAGCAAGTGCAGAAGCTCACCGAGGAGAACAACAGCCTCAAGGAGGAGCTGCAGTTGAAGGCAACGTCGCAAGCCAGCGCGGAGAGCTTTGTGCAGAGTGCGCAAGACCAAAATCGTGAGCTTGCTACCCGCACCAAGGAAATGCAAGAGCGGGTGGAAAGTCTAGAGGAGGAGCTCGAGGATACGCGGAGATCACTGTCTGAGCGCAGCAGAGAAGGTGATACTATGCGTAGGCTCCTCGCCGATGCCGAGAGCAGAGCCGACACCAAGGTCAAAGAGCTTCGCGAGCAACGAGATTTGGCCATCGAAGAGCGAGATCGCGCTGAGTCTGATGCTAGCACAGTTGGCCGTAAGAGAGCACGTGAGATTGAGGACCTGAGGAACAAGCTCCGCGAAGCTGAACAGGAGGCTTCTCGCGCCAGTGAAGTACGCAAAGACGTTGAAAAGCGTGAACGGGACTTCAGGAATTCTCGAATCGATCTTGAACGACGCTTAGCGCAAGCACAAGAGGATGCTGATGCAGCTCGAAATGCCATGACACAGCTACAGAACAGTCTCGACGAAGGCGAGCGGCAAGTGACACAACTCGAAAAGGACAAGCAAAACCTCAAGAAGCAGGTGGAAGAACGCGAGAGTCGGCTGGAAAGATTGCAAAAGTCCTCGAAAACCATGGCTGAAGAGTTACAGCAATTGAAGAACTCTGCAAAGCTCAGACACCAGCAACAACAACAGCAACAGATACACACTGGGTCTGGTTCCTCGAGGACCTCAATGGAGAGCGTCAATCGCTCACGAATCGCTTCCCCAGGGCCAGGTCGGCCGAGTACCAGTAATGGCAGTGTCACAGGCTCTCCCGGCGACGTCAATTACGTGTACCTCCGACAGGTCCTATTGCAGTTCCTAGAGCAGAAGGAGAAGAAGTTCCAACTTGCACTTGTACCTGTGTTGGGCCAGCTGTTGCATTTTGACAAGGCCGAGGAGCAGAAGTGGACCTCTGCGATTGCTGCCAAGTAAGTAGATACGGTACCTATGATTGATTTCTCGTCGCGATCTTGTGTAAAGTACCTTATCTACATAGCATAGCATAGCGTAGCATAGTTCTCTGTCTCTGTGACGATTGATGATGATCATGGGCGGATCTCGCTCCTGCGCCAGGAGTGGTGTTCCTATATGTGTGTACAGTACAGTATATATCATGATATACAGTATCTAGCGTTGCATAGCGAGAGGAATCAATGTCCCTTAGAACGTGTGTGTCTCGATCGCCTTCGTCAAAATGGTTTGTCTTCCTGCCCGTTCATCTGTAGGTAAGGTACCTTAGGTAGGTAGGTAGAACGGCACTTGGGAGGAGAGAGCGGAGAGGTTTCAGAGATATTTACCTGATGTCTCACCCCCATTTTACTGTTGTTTTTGTTTTTGTTTCTGTTCTTCTTCTCGTACCTGCATTTCGTGGAGGCACAAAAGAAAATAGCTTCCAGAGTATGGTAAGCTGGAATCTATGGAGTAGGTAGGTACCTATGTGGGAGATAGGGTACATAGATAGCGTTGTCGTCTGGATAGATTGTCGGTCGAATTAAGCCTAATACTAAGGTGTTGCTGGTAGGAGGTAGTGACGAAGTAGGTACCTGACTCGTGTATGGCCGAAGCTCCCAGCCACTGCCATCACTTACCTACCTCCTTGGAGGCCCAACATTGGGAGAAGGCTGGTCTTGTAACAGGAGGATGTTTTTGGTTCGGTATTGATCGGAGGTAATGTAGTCTGCTGCTGCTGCTGCTCTCGTTCGCATGTTCGATTCTTGATGGTAAAGTATGTACATGTACGTGATGCCCACGACCGTCTGGTCCGTCGAACTGCGTGGCTGAAGCAATATACTGGAGGAAGAGGGGGAGGGTGGAGTGGTGTGGTTCAATACCTCCTACATGTAATTAGAGTCCGCCAAAGCGCCAACGAGTTCGGGCCTTGGGTCGGTGGCTCGATCGTTATCGACACTTGGGGGAAGAAGGAGGTGGAGGTACCTCCTACTGGTCCTGTGCTGGACTTGCGTCTACCATTCCTCCTTGTACTCGTATCTCATATCAATCAATGCTACATGTACCTTACTACCTGTACCTACCTCCACCTCCACCTTTACTCCAGTAGCCACGCCACGCCACGGCATCCATCCGTTGTTGCTCCTCTGCTTGCTTCAACCCGAGCCCGTGCGCCTCGAACAGCTCCGACAGCTTGACAGCTCTCTGCCCTGCCACCTCCAGCTCATCCCACCACGACGTCAGCACGCTTGCAAGAGCCTTGCAGTCCCGGGCAGTCTTGGGCCTCTCTCGACACCTCAGTAGTTCACTCAGCGATCGCATTTGCCTTTCTGCGCTCTCCAGGAGATTTGCACTGTGTCGACTGGTCCCTCCGCTTGATATAGGTGCAGCTGCCCGCGAACTCGGGCCAGAGTCGCTCCCCCAACATTAATCAGTGCCATCATCATCATCATCATCATCTCCCAGCGTCCCAATTGGTGTATATGCACTCGGTTCATGCACCCCCTTCCAGTACAGGCACCGCTACAGCACAGCAGGCACAGCAGTGGAATCGACCACCACGCAGGCATCGTCATCAACCACGGCTAGACAGCACGAGTCGCATCTGAAGCAACCAACCGTATCCACCTGCACCGACGCACCCTCGTCCTAGCGCATCGTCCGCGTGCAGCTTCGAGAAGCCAAGTGCTGCCAGGTTTATATCCCTCACCGCCGCCCCCACTACCACCTCTCCTCGCCATGAACAACAGCGGCGAGGGTCTGAAGAAGGCTGCGATCAACAAAGCGAAACAGAGCGCGACCAACGCCAACGGCAACGGGCAGAAGCGACGGAAGCAGGACCTAAAGCCGATCCTGACAACGAGCGAGCAGCAGCAGGCCGCCGGCGGAACAACCAACAGGTGAGTTGAGCGCGTGTATTGTGAATGTGGTGGGTGGATCGACGAGCGCGCAAAGAGATGGAGAGATGTCGTATCTGACGCCGTTGCGACACGTCGGATGCTTGTTGGCCTGCTCTTGTCTTGCGCGCTCTCTCGCTCACCTCATCTTCGTACCTGCCCCGCCGAGACACTTCCATCAATTCCCCCCCGAAGCATACTTGGCCCACCACCACCACTACCACCACCACCACCTTTGCCACTTCCCATCACGCGTGCACGGATATCTCTCCGCTGCATTGATCACATTCTCCACAGCTTCAGTTTCCGCTCCGCAATGCACATACCCGCGAACATGCCCCGTGCGCCGCAACCACAGTAACCGAACAGACCATGCTGATGCCGAACGCAAACAGTGCCCAGAGCAATCAGTCGCCGCTCAAGCACAACAAAGCTGCGCCGCAGCACGGGAAGGACCATCACGATTCACCTAGCGGGTCAGAGTCCTCCGGCGAAGAGGGCACCGAAAACACGGCGGACGAAGAGGATTCCGAGGACTACTGCAAGGGTGGCTATCACCCTGTGCAAGTAGGCGAACAGTACAAAGATGGCAAGTACACAATAGTGCGGAAACTCGGCTGGGGCCACTTCAGTACAGTATGGCTGTCCAAAGACAATACCACTGGCAAGCACGTCGCCCTCAAGGTCGTTCGGTCTGCCGCCCACTACACAGAGACGGCTCTCGACGAGATCAAACTCCTGAACAAAGTGGTGGCAGCCAACAAGGACCATCCGGGCAGGCAACATGTGGTCAGCCTGCTGGACTCTTTCAATCACAAGGGCCCTCACGGTATGCATGTATGCATGGTATTCGAAGTGCTGGGCGAGAACCTGCTCGGCTTGATCAAGAGGTGGAATCACAGAGGCATTCCCATGCCACTCGTCAAGCAGATCACGAAGCAAGTGCTGCTTGGGCTCGACTATCTACATCGAGAGTGCGGCATAATACACACAGATCTGAAGCCCGAGAACGTCTTGATCGAGATTGGTGACGTCGAACAAATTGTCAAAACATACGTCAAAGAGGACCCCAAGGAAAAGGATGACCACCGCAACGGCCGACGCAGGAGGCGCACTCTGATCACGGGCTCGCAACCACTTCCCAGTCCACTGAACGCCACATTCTCACAAGCCGACCTGGCCAACTTTCCGGGCAGCACCTCCAGCCTCAACAAGATCGTGAACGAGAGCAAAGGTAATTCGCCAATCACAGGTTCGTCGCCAACTGCCCCGGACGGTGCTGAGATGAGTGGTGCTCTAGGAACAGAATCCAGGTCAATGCTCGAAAGCTTGGGCATCAAATCGGAAGGCGGCGACGGCAAAGAGGGCGTCACACAAAAAGAGCGCGAGAAGACCGCGTAAGTATTGCGCACCTGATTTATTTGGCTTTGCTGAGCCTGGGACTAACGACAGACGCAGCGAGATACTCGCCAACAACGTGTCGGACATGGACCTTGGCGGCTCACACGCGGTGAAGCCCAAAGAGATGGAGAAGGCAGACGACGGCATCGAGATCATTTCCGTCAAGATTGCGGACCTTGGCAATGCATGCTGGGTCGGACACCATTTCACAAATGACATTCAAACACGACAATATCGATCACCCGAAGTCATACTAGGTGCCAAATGGGGAGCCAGTACTGATGTGTGGAGTATGGCATGCATGGTGAGAAGCAAGCAGCGTCCAGCTACGCTACAGTCATGACTAACAAGTTCCAGGTCTTCGAGCTGATTACCGGCGACTACTTATTCGACCCGCAATCAGGTACCAAGTACGGGAAGGACGACGACCACATTGCGCAGATCATCGAATTGCTCGGTACATTCCCTAAAAGTTTATGCATCAGTGGCAAATGGTCACAGGAGATCTTCAACCGCAAGGGAGAGTTGCGAAACATTCATAGGCTGAGGCATTGGGCTCTTCCGGATGTCTTGCGAGAAAAGTACCACTTCTCGGTGGAGGAGGCCAAACGAATTGGGGAATTTCTATTACCCATGCTCGAATTGCAACCGGCCGATCGAGCCAACGCTGGCGGCATGGCCAATCACCCGTTCCTGGACGAGACGAAAGGCATGAGTGGCGTCAGAACGAATGTCGAGGTCGGTAGCAAAGGCGAGGGTATCGAAGGGTGGGCTACGGAGGTCAAGAAGGCGCGGTAGAAAGCATCGGCATCGATCCGGACCGCAGTCCGAATGCTCGCAGTCATTAGAGGTGGGCTTTGACCGTCTAAAGAATCAAACCCTTGTGAGCCATATACGGGCGCTGCGACGCAGTACCAAATACCAATGGGTGGACTAGCGCTGCCTGCGACGGATCTCAGCATGGCGTGCTGGGACTTGCTTATGCAGGGTAGACAAGACCTGCCAAAAAAACGTCAATATCAGAAACCTCGTGTACAATCAGTGTCAGTCACTAAGCACAGTCACTCATTCAGCGGGCAGCCAGCTACTGCTGCCGCGCGATTAATACGACTCACGACGAGGTTGCCCCTTGGGCCTGAAAAGGATCGTGGCGACATATTCACCGTTGGCGACCAAGAAGGCGATCAAGCAGGCATACATTGTTAGTGAGAGCATGCGGTGCAGCTGTCGAATCCTTTGCCTTCTGATACCAACATCGCGTCAAATTATTCGCGGAGTTTCCTGGTCGTGAGCGGCAACCTCGTGGGATTGGATGAGCAGGCGTCACTTCGGCTAAGATGAAGACGAGAATCAGTATACATGATGAATGTGATGTTGTTTCGCTGTGCTCGTTAGTATCCATATATTTTCAGAGGCGATGTACCGTTTAGTCCTCCTTATGGTACGAATCTTTGGTTGCTGTTTGTCTTTATGAGATGTACGGTACCTTATGAGTATGACAATTACATGTATGTCCTTATTAGGCTGATTATGAGACCGCGTCTCAGCACGTGACTAGCCGAAGAAATAGCTGGGATGGGCAATTGACTTTGATGCCTTGCCCATGCAACGTTGGTTTCTTTCGGCAATTTGCGCTTCGTTCTAGGTAAGGTACCTTACATACATGCTGCCTTCCTCTCTAGCTTGTATACAAAGCAATCTGCCGAAAGCTCGAGAATTGAAGATGTACACATGGCCGACAATGCGAGACCAAATAATGCACCATTGCTGATGGGCTACATGTACTTAACGAAGAAAAGCGTCACAGTGTCGTACTCGTGGCAAGGCAAGGCTGCGATTTTGACATTGGAGAGAGTTCTACGACGCATGAGGGAACAGCCGTGTGGGACGGTGGATGGCGCTAAGTGGTCCCTTGAATTAACAATGGGCGAAAGTCATACGATAATGGCGGGAGTCTGCTGCGAGCCTGCGAACCTAACCTTAAAGAGTTCTCCTTGGGGGCACACATAACATTCCTCCCCTCTCTTCCTACCAGATACACTCTGCTACGACTGCTGCACTGGCACACTGACATTCACTGCTGTCGGACTGCAAGCGACCATGTCGACGACGTTTGGGATGGATTACTTTTCGAGCTTGTAAGTGCCGTGCCTGGCTTCGCCCCCCTGAGGATCTGGAGATCGTTCCTGCGTCAGATTCGCCTGTCAACAAAGAAGTTTGTTGGCTGGCTGACTCTTGGTGTTGCCACACCGCAGTGCTTCTACTGTCGTACTAATGTTCTCGCGGCACAGTAATAATGTCACGACCAAGACCATCGCCGATGCCATGCTGCCGCACACGACGAATACCTACTGGCACGAGTTTGACGAGATTTCAAAATACAATGTTGGGTTGAACTACTTTGAGAAGTTGTGGGCCGCGTGGTATGCCTTCATGGGTAACGATGTTCTCGCGACGGGCATCATGAGCTTTGTCATGCACGAGACGGTGTACTTCGGGCGTAGTCTGCCTTGGATCATTATTGATCGGATACCATACTTCAATCGGTACAAGATTCAGCACGTATGTGGAATGAGCTAGGGATAGATTATACAACAATGGATACTGACAGCAGGCGCAGAACAAGATTCCTTCGGCAAAGGAGCAGTGGGACTGTGCGATGCTCGTGCTTTTGAGCCATTTTACGGTCGAGCTACCTCAAATCTGGCTCTTCCACCCAATGGCTCAGTGGTTCGGTCTTTCGACGACGGTTCCGTTCCCCTCGCTATGGACAATGGCATACCAAATCGCAATCTTTTTCGTGCTCGAGGATACATGGCACTACTGGACACATCGCGCAATGCATTGGGGACCGTTGTACAAAAACATTCACAAGATCCATCACCAATACTCTGCTCCTTTCGGTCTTGCTGCAGAATATGCTTCGCCAATCGAGGTCATGGTTCTCGGGCTGGGAACGGTTGGCTCGCCAATTCTGTGGTGCGCTTTCACCCAGGATCTTCACATTTTGACCATGTACCTCTGGATCTTGCTTCGCCTGTTCCAAGCCATTGACGCTCACTCTGGATATGAGTTCCCATGGAGTCTGCACCACTTTTTGCCATTCTGGGCTGGCGCCGACCACCACGATACGCATCACGAGAAGTTTATTGGCAACTACTCGAGCTCTTTCAGATGGTGGGACTTGCTTCTCGACACTGAAAGTGGCCCGGAAGCTGCAAAGAGGCGCAGAGAGAAGCGCGTGGCGAAGATGAAGTCTCACAAGGCGCAGTGATTGTAATGTTTGTCTCGATTCAAGATCAAGTTTGTGATGATATTGGGCATTGGGTACCTCGTTTAGCGGGAGTTCAGGTGCCGGGTCCGCCGTTTGGCTGGCCCGAGGGACAGAATTTTTTCAGTAAACACACAACAGTGGACTGTAGAGTCGCCAGTACTCTAGGTCAACCGTAGCCATAGTATCGAGCCTCAGGCATGATCATGGGTTCACTTGGAACGAGCTCACCTGTCCGACAAATCGGAAGCTTTCTCGTGCTACGTCACTTTTTCCAGAGTCAACAGCGACGCGTTCTTACCTTGGGTACATGTATAAGGCACGGCACCCACGTTTACTTTATAACATTGCCGCTCTTGGAGCTTGTACACTCCGTGACTCAGTACATGTAGTTGGTTAGGCAATGCGGTGATACCCAGCCACCACGAACAAGGAGCAGCCATCATGTCCTTCGTCCTCGACCAGGTCCGCCGGATCGATGCGCATTTCGATCGCTTACAACTCGCCAATCTAGACTCAGCAACACGTGTGAGTGATAGTCTACCAGCGATCCAGTCGACCGACGATGACTTTTCACCATCACAACCGTCTCGAGATGTCCCAGCGAGTTTACCGAGCAAGCGAGTTGCAGCTCTGCAAACGGCAATTCGAGGTCTCTCACCTGGCAGCGCGGACAGTACAAGTCGTGCTCTGCTCAAGCCATCCCAGATCCAAGCACTGCTTTCTGCTTTGAGTCCCCAGCCGCAAACACAGGCAGCGATATCCCTGGGAGAAGGAGGTGCTGCCATAGATGGACAGGAGAAAGAATTCTTTGAGCAGGAGCTCGAATGGCTGCTTGTTTCAAAGGCTTCGACGCAAGTATACGGACACGTTCTCAGTTCTATACTCGACGAGGCAGTTCGACTGAGTGATGATGTATGGTACTGGGACGAAGTGCTCGGTAGTCAGAGATACACAGCCTTGTACAGCATACAAGTTTCACCACTGCGATTGTGGGCGTTCGGTAGCGCTGTTTGGGCTGACGCGAAAGAAAGAGCAGAACAGAAAGGTTTTGGAATTGCAGGTGCGGGAAAGGACGTGAAGGACTCTGCGACGGAACAGTGGAAGCAATTCTATGGACTTGTGAGGCAGGTAGTCCAGGAAAAAAGCGTCAAAGAGGTGCATAAACAGATTCTGTCGCCTGTCACTAGGATCAGGTCAGAAGTGAGGGCAAAACAGAGTGCGTTGAAGAAGGTCAGACTGAGAAATGCGAATGCTTTGGGAATCTTGCTGGGAGAAGGGCTGGCAAATGAGAGTGGTCACGCAGATGGGGCAGCGAGCCCTGCTAAGCAGGACGTACACCACAAAACCAAGGCATCGGTTTCGAGGAACGTTGCGTTGATGGAAGCTGTACTTGCCAAAGTCAACGATCTGGAGACACCCATTGCCAAGTTCTTCGACGCCATTGCGGCTCTCACGAATGACGATCCTCTGTACACTGCCGACTCCGACGACGTAGTAGCACCACAGGCTGTTGCTGAGAGGCTGTCCAGAGTGCTTACGCTTGGTATGGGAGAGTACGCGGAATCAATAAACGCACTCAAGCAGCAGCATGGCAAGCCGTCTCGTCTGGTTCGCTATTGGTTACCCATCACGGCCAGCATTCTATCCTCGACTACAGTCCTTCGCATACTGGTCAACCGGCAAGCGGAGATACTGCAGTGGATCCAAAATCTCGGGGCGACTGTTGTTGATTTCTGGCAGAATTGGGTTGTCGAGCCGACTCGGAATGTAATTCGCACGATACGACATGACGAAGGCAGCGAGATCAGCATCGTGTCTAAACGCTCCCTCGAAGGCGACCGCGATAGTCTCGAACGTATGGTCGTCGACTTCGCCATTGACGTACCCGCTACAGCAACTGAGACCGGTGCACCACTAACAGAAGCTGAAATCTCCAGCATTCGAGCCAAAGTCCGTGAGGGAGACTTGACGCCTGTCCTCAAAGCTTACGAGAAAGACCTCTCCAGCCCGCTCAGAGGAGCTATCACGGGAAACTTGATCCGAGCACTACTGATCCAGGTTCAAAAAACCAAAGTCGACGTTGAAATCGCCATGGGCGGCATTGATTCTCTTCTCAAGTCACAAGAGCTTCTGATTGGATTCATCTCCCTCACTCCAGGTCTGCTCGTAGCGTACGCTGTCTCTCGTTGGGTTCGAACGTCTTTCACAGAGAAGCGAGGCACGAAGGCTGAGAGGAAGCATGGAGTGATGCTCAGGCAACTAAGAAATATTGACAGGATTCTGACGTCTGCGAGTCCTACGTACGAGGGAGAGTTGCCATATAAGGATCAAGGGCTGTTGTTGTGTGAGATTCATGTGCTCCGTCAAGCTGCCGTGAAAGTCATGCCGTGGCAGATCTATAGAGAGTTTTCTGAGGAGGCGGAGGAGCTTTGCGATGTGAGGAAGGGAGTGCAGAGGCAAAAGGCTGTTTTAGGGAGGGTCAGGTGGGCTTATATGAGGTGGTTGAAGTAATGATAGAAGAGGCGTGGTGACGAGGCTCGGGCCATGAATGCTTCCACTTGAGAAGCATGTGCGGCGCCGAAGTACCACGGAAGTACTTGTACTCCTCAGCTTCCGAGATCTTGGCTGCGGTCATTTGTGAGGAATACATTGTGACTGTCTTGCGGTGATGCCGGTACAGTACGCCGAGATCAGCTTGGTTCAGTTGGCAGGCAACAGAATGCCGACTTCAGCCTCGCTTGTGGTCGCTGCGAAGGACAGCTACGTAGAATCATAGTGCCGCCGAAACTGCTCACATATAGTCCACTTCTCCTCATATCCGCTACATACTTTCCTATGAGGTCGACGCTGACACTTTTGTGGCTCAGATCTTGCACGTGCGATGTTCACTTGGCGCTAGTTACAAGGATCACATCATAGCCCGACCCCGTGGTTGCAGCCAGCACCGTCACAAGTTGCAATAGTGCACGAACCTCCCTGCCCTACCGGAAATACCAATCTCGCGCTGAATATCTCACGTTCGCCATTCCACTCTCCGCCGTCCCCGCCGCACGTCTCGACAACCGCCGCGTCAGAACCACGAGCGCAAGCAGCTTCCGCCCTTTGTGACCCGTGGCTCGGCGCTTCAAGAACCATCACAGGGTCTTGTCTCTTAGACAAAGGAAACTAGACATCTTCCGGGCTTACGAGGCGACGCACGCTTGCACGACACCTTACGATACGCTGTGCTCATCATGGCTGGCACTCGGAATTATGATTTCCTAGTACGTTGAGCCCAGCCCTGCGCGCGATTGCCCCTTGAGTACTGCGAGAGGACCTGCAACTGGAGAGCATGAGATGGTCATACGGGCGGTGGCTAGTTGACGGACGCCATGCCTCTCATCTCTCCACTGGTGAAGCACCAGGCAGGCAGTGTGGGCAAGGAGAAGCAGTGGCGCATAAGCTGACCGTGATGATCGCAACAGATCAAACTACTTCTCATCGGCGACTCGGGCGTAGGCAAGTCCTGCTGCCTACTGCGCTTCTCTGAAGACTCCTTTACGCCGTCGTTCATTACCACCATCGGTATCGACTTCAAGATTCGAACGATCGAGTTGGACGGAAAGAGAGTGAAGCTGCAAATATGGGATACTGCGGGCCAGGAACGCTTCAGGACAATCACGACTGCATATTACAGAGGCGCCATGGGTATCTTGCTGGTGTACGATGTTACAGATGAACGCAGTTTCAATAGTATGTACCACCTCCATCCTTCGCACTCATTCGCGGGAGACGAGAGCGCAGGGCGGTGTACTAATACTATATTCTTCTACCTAGACATTCGAACGTGGTTCTCCAACGTCGAGCAGCATGCGACTGAAGGCGTCAACAAGATCCTGATAGGCAACAAATGCGATTGGGAAGAGAAACGTGCCGTTTCCACTGAACAAGGACAAGCCCTTGCAGACGAGCTGGGCATACCATTCATGGAAGTATCAGCAAAGAGCAACATCAACGTCGACAAGGCTTTCTACAGCTTGGCAGGCGATATCAAGAAACGTATTGTCGACACGCAACAACCACAGCAAGGAAACCAGCAGGGTGTTAGCGTGGGAGGCCAACAGAGCGCTGCAGGTGGACTGGGCAAGAACTGCTGCTAAACCAACGGGTCAATGAGAGAGCAGGCATATGATGTGCAAAGTGAGAGCAGCAGCAGCAGCTATGAAACGAATGCAGACACGCAGCAACGGGAGTAAGCAGCTTGGGAGTCCACGATTTTTTCTCTCTTGGGAACACATCACTGCTGTAAAGGAAGGAAGGTATATCCGCATGGATAGCGAGATTCGGCGTTTTTCTTTTTGGAAGGAGCAATAGAGACAGCCAAGTTTTTTTATTGTTGTCGTTGTTGTTTTTTAATCTGCTTGAGGACAAGGCATTCCAGGGCAACAGCAGCATCGGATACCGATAAGTATTTACCTGTTGAAATTCGTGAGTTTAAAACCTGTTTTGATTTCTCTTGTTTCACTCTCGGGCTTGGCATTTTGGTTCTTGTTGGTTTGGTAGTGGGCATGCAGGCAAGTCCATGTAAGCAAGTTAAAGAAGCAGAGCAGAGCAAAGCAGAGCATTATACGAGAGAGAATTTTGACTCCATCTGACAGATTAGGACGACGATTGGTAAAAGTATGTACGTATTCGACCGAATATAAAACTCTTGCTCGTTCTCTCAGCAACATCTCTTTTGCTTTTACATAGGTACACATTCTATTAGACCGGACATCGATAAATGTATGAACTTTGCCCCTCAGCTAGCATCAACATTTCCACAAAACCTCCCCCCTTCAAGTCCCCATTACCTTACTTCACCTCCCCCCATCTCCGTCATCTCCTTACACCCCAACACCCTCTGACCCCCCCACAACGTGAAAGTCGTCACCTCACTCCCCACCTCACACGTACTCGTCGCTTCCACACTCGTCCACGACGTTCTCGGCGGAAGAGTATTCTTCATCTCACACGTGAATTTTGTCGTTGCAATTCCTATCAGGCCTGCGCAGGGTGCCGCGATGCAGCCCCAGGGACAGCCGGAGCGTGCGGAGACGGGCGTTGTTGGGCAGGTGATGTTGTTGGTGGAGGAGGAGGAGTTGGTGGTGGTGGATGAGAGGAGAGGGAGGGGGGTTATGGTTGTGTAGATGTATTCTTGTTGGATGGCGCGGGGGTGGTTTTGTTGATTTTGATTTTGTTGTTGGTCGTGGGGGTAGAATGGAGAGGCTTGGGTTACTGCGCATAGGGCGAGGAGGGCTGTGAGGAGGTGGTGAAGGGTCGACATTTTGTAGATTGATATAGGACGTGTTGTGTGGTATTTTGTTGTTGGATTTTGATGCGATCGATGGTCAATGGAACGATGTCATGTCAGGATTAAATAAACACTAGATAGATATATTGCGGCGTCGATGCTGCTAATGTATCTCCTAGCACTCTTCTCTTCCTCGAACCTACTAATCCGTTCAAGAACTATTGCTTCGTATACGTCCAGTCTCATAGGTGTGCCATCAAGGACCTACATCACTAGTTGCAGATGCTGTCGGCCGGGAATGTTATAGCAGGGGTCGCATTTTCTGCTATGTTCCGGCGCTCGGGTCCCCACGAGGCTACCTGGGTAGTTCTATTGTCGTGCTCCTATGCCGCATGAATCAATTCTCTCGGAGAGCAGTAGTAGATTCTTCGCCGAACGATTCCTTGGGTTCCAGCGACTCATGTACGTACGTAGTAGTTGTATTCTGGAGTGCCCAGTCATGATAGGAGAGCACAAGCACAACAGAGAGTCATCGTAAAGTGCCGACGACTGTCTCAGAGATCCTGAAAACGAGACATCAAAAGGATCCCCAGTTCGCATCGAAGTCGTGGTTAGCAGCTTCCGTAATACGATGCTGTGTCTCCCTCTCCAGTGCGACTTGGAACATGCGCTCGAGAGCTGACGACAACGTCCGTTCGCGGCTTCGATAACACGGCGGATCGGAATTTTGGGATCTGTCGTGTTCACTGCGCGTCGAGTCTTGCGAGACTTTGGTGGCATACATACTCGTCACTCTAGCTGCAGGAGCATGCTGACTTAGAGAGCCTCAGGAACAGGAACGTGGTCGAACACGAGGCTGCTGGGGTTGCTTGCAGGTCCCCAAGTCTTGTCAAAAATCCTTCGTTGTGTAGCTTGTCTGTGCTGTTGAAGAGTCCGCATCTTGGCAAGCTGGAGTCGTTCGGATGTGTTCTGGAGCGCTCGCCGTTGTGTAAGTATGTACTTGTGAGATTCCAATACTTCCGTCGTTGGTGGGAGTCTTTAGTCGCTTCTCCAGTCTCTTATGAATTGTCGAGGAGAGATAGAGAGGATATAATCAGCCACGCGAACAAGTCTTCTCCAAGCAGCGTCAAGCATACCAAGGCGAGCAGACTATTCGTCCACATCCTCGCGGAACGTGCAAGTAGCGGACATCCTTGTTTTCGGAGTTCAGAATAGCAACCTCCGTCTGCGTCGTGCTGCAAGCCACCTATTGTTCGTGTTCATCCTCTTACAAACCATTCAGCTACCAACGCGTTGAGCAGACATGTTCTATCTGAAACACCACTGCCGTTCGCTTACACTAGACCTAGTCAGTACAGTGCTTGGTAAGTGCATAAAAGATACCTGTAGAGAGCCGGAGTACAGCCAATTCATGCAGCCCAGGAGAAACTGGATGACATTGATGTGTATCATGATTCTTTCTCGTATGTAGCAATCTACGCTTCGAGTGGATGGTCTACTTACACCTATAAGTCAGGATCAACGACAGTGAGGCCTCGATGCTGACCAGGACAATTTCCACATAAGTAGCATATACCACCACGTCAGTGGTATTACTTCGTCCACGAGAATGCACTCGGCTCTACATGTTTCGTATCTGATATCCTCTGCTGCGTCTTTTCTGGGGCATTTGCATAGTTCGATACATGCTGAGCACCTCTACGCCAGAGCTTGTACTTCACTATCTGATAGGATATGCTAGTGAATGCAATCAATGCCTAAGAAGCATGGAAACACTGCGTCATCATAGTGTGCTCATTCTTATACGTCTGGTGAATGCGGACCTCACTCGAAGTGAGAATTAAACAGATCCGTCTGTATATCAGCTCAGTCCACGCCCAATCAGTCCTGGATATTTGGCATGACCCAAGAATGTAGCGCCGGCCCGTGTAAGATGTGGTGCTGCGCCAAATTAGGGCTAGGCCTGAGCCCGACCTGTCCACGCTTAAAAAGCTGGCCTACTTTCTGGACAAGCCGAATGAACTCGACAGTCCGGCGGCCAACCCGGCTCGAAAACATGCCTACCAACGCCTTCATGGGTATGCCGGCAGCAGGAATTGCAGCACGAATTTCGTCTAATGTCGGCATTGGTGCGTGCGCCTTCTAAACGCCAGGCTTGAGCTCGATCAGGCCAACCTTTGCTGGGTCCTTGGAAAGCTGGCCTGCTTTCTTAACAAGCTGGATGAATTCGGCAGTTCGAGTTCCGACCCTGCTCTTGAACTTGGCCACCAAGGCTTTCATGGCTATACCAGCAGCAGGAATTGCAGCGCGGACCTCCTCCAGTGTCGGGAAGGATGTGCCACCGATTGGCGTCGCGGTGCCACTAGCAGTAGGAGAGCCAGGCCGTGAGCCGTTCGGAGTAGCGGCTGCAGGTGAGCCAGTTGGGCTGTTCTTCAATTTGAGCTTGACACGACCCGTGCGAGAGGTGTCGGTGTCGCTACCGGAGCCTGAACCACCAGCTCGTGAAGCCTTCGTCTTGGGCACATTAGTGGAAGAAGCTCCTCGTGCGACACTTGGCGTTGCGGATACTGGACGTCCGTTGATGCTCTTGACCTTCTTCCGACTTGACTCGTTGCCACTAAGGTCTGAGGCGTCGGGCGAGCCAGGTCGTTTCAAACTCGCACCGAGTCGCGAGGGATCGCGCTGCTCCGGTCTTCCAGTAGGAGCATTGGTTGCCTTTGTAGATGTACCGGACTTATCGCCGTTCGAAATGGTCTTCTTAGCTTCTTCGGCTTTCTTGGCCTCTTCAGCTTTCTTGCGCTCCTCTTCAGCTTCCTCCTCGGAGTCCATGGAATCACTCGACTCTGCGTAAGGGTCACTATCAGAATCATCGCTGTACTGGCCCTGGTGCTCTCTTTTCCTGAGCTGCTTTCGCAGCTTCTTCTGTTTCTTCTTCTCTTCCAATCGTTCCAGCTGCTCGCGATGATGTTCTGCTTCCACATCCTGATCTTCGTTCTTCACCCCCGTGCCACCCAATCCTGCGTCACGCATTTCCAAATAGATGCGGCGCTCAATCTCGTCGCCATCCTCACCATCTTCGCCCTGAAATAGCATGCCCTCGTCATCGTCCTGGAACTCGTCCTTGACATCAAGATCCAGCATGTCTCGATCGGCATCGAAATCCCCAGTGGAATCTCGCTTTCGATCATCATCGTCGTCACGAGAAGCTCTGAGGGCCGCGACTCGTGAATGCCGATCATCTGCGCGCTGCTGCTCGCCAGCCTTGTGAGTTCCGAGGGCCCATCGCCCAGGTGCATGCTTCAACAACATGAATTTCTCCACCTCGTCCGATGTCATTACATTGACTTTGTTCGTCTGCTGGAACCTGTACCACTTCTCGATAGGAACCATCTCGAACGTCCCTTCATTACTAACGACGAGCATAATACTCCGCGCAGAGAGCGCTTCTTCGTAACTCCCCACCCAGACGTTCTTGGCCTCGTAATCCTCAAGATGCCATGGCCGCGCTTCTTCGTAGCGAAGCTGCGAGCGCTTTTGGCGAATAGGGTTGCTCTCATCTCTACCCTCCTCAACCTTTTTCTGCATCTTCTTCTTCTGTTGTGGCTTGTTTGATTCACCTCCAGTCGGGGCAATCAGCTTCTGATTCTCTTCGCGCTCAGCTTGGCGCTCAGCACGGCGTGCGTTCATCTGCTCGCGCTCCTTGTCGTCGGGGCCAGATACGGCTTCTGTCGGCTCTAAAGATGCCATCCGATCTCGTGCAAATCGACGATGTAAGCGAGCTGGTCGTGGAAACTGCTGCTGATCGTAGGGGTTTACTTCGATCGGCTGACCATCGTCACCCGCCCGACTCTGCAATTTCATCGCGTGGTACCGCAGCCCTTTACTGAGTTGGCTCTTCGTAATCACAATGGGAAATTCGCTGTATGTGCTCGGGTCTGGCTCATTGCTCGGCGCAGCCGATTGAGGCATATTGTGCGTGGTGCCCTGGGTGGGCTGCTGTTGCCCATTAGAGCTCTGTGATGTCTTTGTTGCGGGCGCAGGCGTAGGTCGCTTTCCGACTGCAGCTGGTTTCTTGATCGGTTTCTTCTTGGATGAAGTGTTAAAGATGTTGACGGCGGGTCGCTTGCGCACAATGGGAGCCACAGGACCGCCGGCCGTGGGCGTGACCGAGTTGGGCCCCGATGGCGGCTGCGCAGGCGAGTTGCTCATCGTGGGCGTGTGCGGCGGTGTGGGCGTGAAGGTGTGTGAGGAACGGTAAGGTCAGGTAGGTATGTAGCGACTCCCGGATGCTCTGTCCTGCGACGCGACTCATGCGCTGGTGACGGGCTCTGGTGTCGCGGCTTGGGAGGAGCGCTGAGGGAGAGATGGAATGGATGATGGAAAGAGGTTGCAATTGAGGAGTTGGGAGATGCTGATTTAGTCAAGAATGCGGAGTCAATGAACAGTGTGTGTAGGCTATTGTTGCAGCTTCTCATTGTCCTTTGTTCGTGGTGTTGGCGAACGTGCGGCGGCACGTCAGAAGCGGCGGGCCAGGGCTGGCTCGTGCGGCGGCCCGGGCCCGGGCCCGCAACGAAAGAGCCACGCCAAGATGCGCTAGTGCAGCTCTGTTGACTTCCATGTCTTCCTTTGCTTGTTGCTCGGCCAGCCCATTTCATTTCATCGCACTTCACTTCACTTCTACGCTCCATGGTTTTCCTTGAGAAGGTCCTTCAATTCAGGACCGCTTTGTCTACAGCGTGTGTTTGATGCGATTCACTTCGGCGCGCTGTCGTTGCAGGACAAGCCGCACTTGGTTGCTTTCGTCAACTGTTTGTCAAATTGACCTCCCAGGCTCGCGATCACGACCATCCGGTCGCACCAGTCATCTCCAGCACCATGAACGGCGCTACTAGTCCGAAAGATGGCGCAAGTGTGGGTTTGGAAGACAAGATTCGCAGGATGATCCTGTTCAATGGGTCGGTTCCCGACGATGGAGCTGTCGATGCACGACCACGAGTGCGCCTGCCTCCTTCTGCGCCTGGCTATGGCCAACAACCACCATCTCCAGGCTCACACATCAATGGCACCTTTCACCACCAACGCTCGATGAATGGCTGCGGTCCCGCTAGTCCTAGCTCGCCGCTAAATCAAGGATTGCCACCTCCAACTACTGGGCTTTCAATGTTCGCGCCTCATATGGCTGCTCCCAGTCCTCCTATGGCGCCCCCTGGATTTATACCACCACATGCTAGACATGCTGGACCACACACATACCCTCAACCTCAGCCTCTCCTAGCACCTCCCGCCGCACTGCCACCAAACTTGCGCCAGAACAGAGGTGCATACGCAGGGCCACCTACCACCCAGCGCGGCAATGGTCGTGGACGTGGCATGCCTCGTCAACAGCGAAATCAACAGATTCAGCTGGACCCAGATGCTTTCCAGCGTGGTGGCGCCGCACAAGGTCAAGCGCGATCGCAAGCAGGAGCACGCAATTTGTACGATCCCAATGCACGTTATGCTCAATTAAATTTTGTCAACAGCAATACTGCGCACCAAAAACAAGCCGAGTATCTCGATCATCTGGTTGCAACTCAAGTTCCCAACGTCGAGATGAGTCAGTCCGAACGCGACGAAAAGGACGAACTACGGCTTGCTCTTCAAAAGGTGTGCCAGCAGGTGTGCGCATCCAATCCTAACCTTCCCAAGGTGTCATTGGAATGCTTTGGTAGCTTCCAATCAGGCTTTGCGAGCGCAGGATCTGATATGGACCTCGTGATTGTTGTGCAGGATCAAGGCCCAGCAGACGCTATCTTTTCAATGCTCGAAGATGGCTTGCCCAGATCGCTCGAGAAGGAACTCCTGCGAGCGGGCTTCGGCGCTCGCCTCCTTACGCGCACTCGAGTACCGATTATCAAGATCTGCCAGAGTCCAGGTGGCAGTCTACTGGACAAGCTTCGTGAGGAGCGCGAGAAGTGGGATTCTCTTCCGCACGAGCAGAAGTACCCTCACTTGTACAAAGAAGACGATACTCAAGTTGGTGAAAATGCCCTCGTGCAGGGCGAAGACGGCATAGTCTCCATCCCCCAGCCGGGTCCAGAGCCTACTGCATCGCCTGCAGCTCATGTTACTGTCCCGACGACGACAGCCTTGCACGGAGAACTGTCCGCGCCGGTTCAAGTCGCAAGTGTGGATGGTGTAACGCATGGGGCAAAATCGGTTGACGAAGTCGACATACACAACAACTCACATCCTGTACAAGCCCGGCGCGATCAGCAGAAGTCATGGACGCGAGAACGCAAGGCAGGCCCACTTGACTTTCCAAAAGACGGCATTGGAATACAATGCGACATCAACTTCTCCAACCCATTAGGTCTTCACAACACACAGATGCTGCGCTGCTACTCGAAGTGTGATCCTCGTGTCCGACCTATCGTCTTATTCATGAAGTCATGGGCGAAACAGCGCAAGATCAACAGCTCCTACTCCGGCACGCTTTCTAGCTATGGCTATGTGCTTATGGTACTCCACTACTTGATCAACGTGGTTCGACCGCCGGTTCTGCCAAACCTCCAAATGCAATGGCGCCCGCATACTCATTGCACTCCGCCTGGTCGCACAAGAATGGAAGTTGATGGCTGGGTTGTCGATTTCTGGCGCAACGAGAATGAGATTGAATCTGCACTGCGCAACGGACAAATGAGTGCAAACAGTGATTCCATTGGCTCTCTGCTGGCGGGCTTGTTTCAATACTACTCTTCAATGGGCAATGGCCCTCAATTCCGCTGGACACAACAAGTTTTATCGTTGCGTACACCGGGCGGAGTACTCACCAAAGGTGCAAAGGGATGGGTCAAAGCCACAACAGAGGAAGGTGAAGGCAAGAGGATTCAACACCGTTACCTGTTCTGCATCGAGGATCCATTCGAGCACAGCCATAACGTTGCTAGGACTGTGACGCATAACGGAATTGTTGCGATTCGAGACGAGTTCCGCCGCGCATACCGCATCCTCAATGCTGTGGCACAGAATGACCAGCTGAATGGAGCTCAGGGTCCCCCCTCCCCAGAGGGCGACCTGTTCGATAAGTTGCTTGAGGACGACGAAGAAATGATAGAAGTTGAGAAACGCGACATGGAGATTTTAGGCGTAAACAAGATCGTACGCGAGGACGAGGGAGATGTAGCGGATCAGAAAGACCCTCGTCATGGCTCCGCGTCTACGCGGCGCAAGAACGGCAAGCGAGACAATTCTCAGCAACGAAAGAACGGTCTGCCTCTGTCGCAGCCTAATAAGCAGCTTGACGTTGCGGACCAAGAGGCATTCCCAAGCCTGGGTGCAGCAAAAGGCAGTTCCAGGAGAAAGAAGAGCTCGAGTGCGAGCAACTTCAACGAGATTTCGGGCAACCAGGCACAAGAGTATCTCGAAGAGTTTCGTCGCAAGAAGGTAGAAGAACAGGCCGAGCGCACTGCGTATGGCGCTGCGGAGTCCGTGTTGAACGGACTTGACTGAGAGAACAGTTTGCACACAGACGCGTGTCGGGAAGTGCTGATGAGGAGTTCACAACCTTTGCGTGATGGCTACCATGATTGCTAAGTTAGCACAAGGCATGGTGGACAGAAAAATAAGCTTCGCTCATTCAGGATGGCGCGTGAGCCCTGCCCATCCCCGGCAGCGTGAGTAAGGTATATATAGAAAGGAAGCAGCTACAGAACTGATCACACCGGTCTAGGTCGCTGCAAAGTAGTACATACAGGTACACTGCCAGCTCGTTATCAGCCGAACAATCTCGTATTTGCCCACACGAGCTTTATTACTTTGTCGCAAATGCTGATATATTTGTCCAGTCGCCATCGGCCGTGTCCGAAGCACTCGAGACGACACCTCTTCGGTGCGAGCAAGAGAGGGGAAGGTGATCGGTTAGTGTGACGACTTCTCGGAAGCTACTCACGGTCTGGCGCGATATCCGTCTTGGAATTCTTGGTATAGTGCCAAGGTCAACCTGGGCTTGGGGCCTGCCCGAGTCGGCCTAGTGTTTCGCTCGCCTTCCACATCCCACTGGACTATTGTTTATCGACTTCACGTGCAAAGGCACAAGTCGATGCCACACACACTTTGTTATCAATCGCCTGTCCATCCACCTCCCTTAGTCTGTGCATCTCAAGCGGCATCAGTCACCTTCGAGCGTCCACGCTAGGACATTGCCAAGCAGAATATACACACATGGCGGCTCCAGACAGTATCGGAACTTCTAACTCTATACTAGCAGCATTTCGGTGGCGACCTTCTGCTATCTCAATCACGCATCCAACATCGTATTCCGTGGAATTGAGAGACAGTGTGCCGCGAGCATGCCAAGTTGATCATACCCAACGCGGCTGATGGTCCGCATATCTTTCAACTCAGGAGAGGACATACATACATATAAAAGAAGTGACCATTAGGTGCCTGGTAGGTCACAAACACTTTCACTCAGACACTCTTCCATTTGAGACCTTTCTACAGCATGCGGAACTCACACGTCGCAGCCCTGTCGGGCATGGTCCTTGGATCACTTGCTCTTCCTTACAACGGCCTCGCAGCTTCGGAAGCTCACACCCACCCACTGTCTAGGCGTCAGACGACCGATGCTCTGGAGCGTTTCAGACCTCAGCAACGAGCCGTGTACGTTGCTGGAGACAAAGAACCCGTCGTTGGCCTCGACTCTGCTCGGGCAAGAAGCCCAATTGAAGCTGCAGAGAGCCACCTCCGAAGTGTTCATCCAGAGGCCACGTTCCGCAGGGTCGATGATGCACATACCAGCAGCAATGGCATCACGCACGTCTACTTCAAGCAGACTCTCAACGGTTTGGACATCGACGACGCGGATTTCAATGTCAACGTATGCGTCCGGGACTGTCATATTCTCCTGCTTTTACTGATTACCATTACAGGTTCGCTCTGACGGTACCATCTTCTCATACGGAGACTCGTTTTACACTGGTCCCCTGCCCGAGGCGGCTCCAGCTCCAGCTACAGTTCTCGAGCCACAGCCATTGCTTGAGACAGTTGTTGGTGTTCTTGCACTCCCCATCGAGCCTGCAGCAGCCGATATTGTAGTGCAGGAGACTGCCAGATCATTCACTGTCCAAGGCTTGGGTGATGTAGTTGAGTCGCCGCCAGATGGTCAACTTGTCTACTATCGCAATGCAGCAGGCGAACTCGTCTCTGCTTGGCGCCTGGAAACAGACGTCAAGGACTCCTGGCTCACTACATATGTGGATGCCGAGAACGAGAATAACGTCCTAGCAATCACCGATTACGTCTCTGATGCCGAATCGTACCAAGTCTTTGCATGGCCGCAGAATGACCCGAGAGACAACACGCGAACAATTGAAGTGGATCCGCGCGATTTGAGAGGCAGTCCACAGGGCTGGCATCAAGATGATACCAGCACGTACCAAGAGACTCGGGGCAACAACGCCATTGCTCAGCCCAACACGGACGGAGATGCCAGCTACCTCGACGAGCCACGTCCTCAAGGCGGGAGTAACAACGAATACCTTGCCGAGTTTTCCGAGAGCCTCGAACCTGCAGAGTACATTGATGCGTCCACGATCCAACTCTTCTACACCTCCAACTACTTCCGCGATATGCTGTACGTCCTCGGCTTTACTGAGGCAGCCGGAAACTTCCAGACGGACAATTTCGGGCGTGGAGGGGTCGGCGATGACTCCGTGATCCTCAACACTCAAGATGGCTCGGGTGTCAACAACGCCAACTTCGCGGCGCCTCCCGATGGCCAAATGGGCAGAATGCGTATGTATCGCTTTGACTACACCACCCCCAACAGAGACAGTTCCTTCGACGCCGGCATCGTCATTCACGAATACACCCACGGTCTTACCATCCGCATGACGGGCGGACCAGCCAACAGTCGATGTCTCTCCACCTTGCAGGCCGGAGGCATGGGAGAAGGCTGGTCGGACTTCTACGCCACTGCCGTTCGATCCACGGGCAGTGATACCAGAAGCACAAACTACCCGATTGGAGATTATGCCATCAATGACGCCGGTGGAATTCGAGCCTATGTCTACTCGACCAGCATGCAAACCAACCCCTACACCTACTCATCCCTCAACTCATTGTCAGCTGTCCACCAATTCGGCACAGTCTGGTCCACCATGTTGTACGAAATGTACTGGAACCTCATTGACACTCACGGCAACACGGACGCTCTCACTCCCTCCTTGGACGCCAATGGAGTCCCCACGGATGGAAAATATTTGACCATGAAGCTCGTTTTGGACGCTTTGGCTTTGCAACCTTGCAACCCCACGTTTCTGCAGGCGAGAGATGCCATTTTGGACGCGGATCAGGCGTTGACGAGTGGAAGCAATCTGTGTGATATTTGGACGGCTTTTGCTAAACGTGGTTTGGGTGAGAATGCTGCGGCTCCTGGTGGGGTTTATACGGATGATTTTACGATTCCGGATGGGGTTTGTTAGATGTCTGGATGATGATGATGTTGATGATTTTGATGACGGGATGACGGGATGAAAGGATAAGGTAGAGGAAGGTTTGTTCTTCTTGTTTTTTGAGGATTGTTGTTGTTTGATGATATTTTACGAACAGGTACAGGTATAGGTACAGGTATAGGTACAGGTAGCTATTAGAGGTTAGAATTGGTACGAACCTGGAATATATGATGATGATGAATTTGATGATGAATTTGATGATGATGAATTTGTGCAACTCTACCTTACCTACATGTACTTACCTGAGCTTACCTCCTTACCATCTGAACACTCCGCAACATCCATTGTCGAGTGCGCACCTAATGCTGCTCGCTCGCTTTATTGTAAGGAAGGCTCTTGATGACATGGAAGGAAGGTTCTAAATTGTAAAGAAAGTACTCTTTTGTACCATAGATAGGGAAGGTGCTCTATAGCAAGAGATAGGTAGGAGGTAAAAACATCAGGTAAGGTACGGTAGGTATAGATCGAAGAAATAAGGTACATGTACCTACCGTGCCTAGGTAGAGGTGACTGCTATAGAAGACACTTCGTTACTGTTACCGGTACATCATTGACTTTTGGTAAAGAGGTTTGTGGTCTGACTACCTAGAAATCTACATGTACCTACCTGTAACTTTGGTGAGGTACAAAAAGTACCTTACCTCTAGTCAGTATAGGTAGTCAGTCGTCACATCACGATTTTACCTTACCTTACCTGTTATTGTTATGTGTACCTACCGAATGCACTGTACCTCCTACGTACGGCTTACAGAGTCAGAGTCGGAGGTTGGAGGTTGGAGGTTGGGTAGGAAGCAAGTACCTACCTAGAGCCAAAGAAAGAAGAAAAAGGCTTAAATGCATCGCTGCATCGATCTAGCAACGAGATCGGAGGAGAAAGCAGATACAATTTTACCTGGTAGAAGGTACCGTACCTACAGGTAGGTAGGTAGAATCGTGCATCGTATTTTTTTTTTGAAAAGCGAACCCAGGTACTTGGGAGGAACCACAGAACCTTTAGAACTCGGTTTGTCGGCTCCCCCCAACGACCGCGACCGCGTCGACCGCGTCGAGTTGCTGTTTGGGTGAAGCGGTTTTTTGGGGATGTTTCTTGTTTCTTGCTTCTATAGGTGGCATAGGTAGGGTGAGGTAAGGTATAGGTAAGGTAAGGTGAGGTAAGGTGAGGTAAGGTGTGCCTTGGGTACATGATTTAGAGAGAGAGAGGGAGAGAGAAAAAGCGGCTCAAATCCCGCCCTTGCGACTCGCCTCCAGACACAACTGGGTAACTGGGTCTGCGAGGACTTTTCAAGTTTTTTTTTCTTCTCGGCGTGCGGGCTTATAGCAGCTAGCTAGCCTTTGCTTGTCCTGTTGTTACGAGGTTTGTTGGATATAGATACCTCCCAGCAGGACATTCATACACCAAATCGAGGTCGTCGCGTCGCTCAACCATTTTGCAAGTCTTTGGTGCCGCGTGTGCCCGACGTCAACTCACAAAAAGAGTGTGACGAATGAGAAGCGAGAAGTGCGCTGATGCATGCCGTACCTCTACCAGCATCTGATAGCGCAACCGCACGTCTCCACAATAGCTGTCATTCTCCATCATCGCGACAATGGATGTTCATGGAACGACACCGGCGATAACGACACATTTTTTTTTGTGGAGGTATGTAGGTACTGTGGTGTAGGTACATGTAGGTAGGTACAGTAACGCAGCAGCTGAGGCCTGAGAGGTGCACAAATTACCTTACGCAAGGGATAGGGATGGGGCCCTGTTCCGTAAGGCAGAAATCCGGCTCGCGGAGTCGGCCCAGCAATGTAGCACAGTCGAACTATGCATAACGACGCGCGGTTGGCCGCAAAAGTACTAGGTAGTGGCGCCGACGCACAAACAGCCACACAAGCACATCCCATAACTGATACGTCGCGCGACGTGTTTGTCGCGTGCTTTTCTCATTATTATTCGCTCTTGACGCCCCCGGACGAGAATAGGATGCATGCATATGCCGGCTGCCTGTCGTACGTGCAGACCCAACGGCGACTGTTCGTCAGTCGTTTGCGCGCTTGGTGGTGGACTCACAGACTGCATGTGGTGGTGGTGATGATGCGCGGCGAGAGTAAGGTACACCAAGATGCGTGAGTCATACGTGTAGCGGCCGGGCTACCAACAAAAAGGCGAGGTGGCCACCGTGGCCACTCCTCCACTGACTGGGAAGGCGTGCAAAACCGCCCCAGGAAGCTTATCTTATGCCGCCCGATGCACATTCACGCGGCGCAGCAATACCATGAATCAGCTATCACCGCACAAACCTCGCTTCAGCAATCCTGCACTCGAAGAGATGCGTGCGCGCGCGCTGTATTGCAGTATGGTCAGTGGTACATGTTGATGGAATGCGTTGGAATGGAGAAGAACAATTGCGTGGGCGACGTCACCAAAAGACTTGGAAAAGAGGACGAATGCGGCCCCAGCGCGCGCGCGCGCCTTCTTCTCCTGAAAAAAAGTTTCTATTCGGAGCTAGTCTGATTTGGTCACGTGGGTCCCTCCTGTCAGGCAGCAGCGGAAAAGTACTTAAGAACAGCTTCCCCCCCCCACCAAAAAAAGTGCTCCGGCTCTCCTCCGCACAAAAGTCCGACGACACGGCTATCTCCTCAACCTCATCCCGTCGCCGTGCTTCATCTCCATAGCAGCCGTACTGAATACCAACTACCGAACTGCAGACAAGTCGCAAAGACTCACTTTTCTTAGTTCTTGCCGTTGCGTCGTCGCGTCATCGTCGTCGTCGTCGTCGTCGTCGGGCCATTCACTCTTTGGAAGTTGCGCTCGTCTCATTGGAGCGCAGAAGTAAAGTGCCAAGCCTGGTCTACCCAAACGACTTTTCTTCTCCACCAACTTCGACCTCACCACCAACATTTCCAGTTACGACGAGGATCTGCTGGCAGGCACCTCGCGACTTAATCCACCTCACCGCCGCGAGCGCATCAGCTCAGACACTTTGACTAGTCTGCTCTGATCTGAACCGCCGCACTGCACCGCTAGCGCATCACCGCTGCGACCTCACCACCACCACCACCACCCACCCACCGACCATCCACGAGCGCGTCGCACTTGCGACGTCCATCATCCCAACTGCACGACCTGATACTTCAGTGGGCGCACTCCGCGACGCAAACATGGAGTCACAAGCGTACATGACCCACCCGAGCACTGCCGCCGAGGCCAAGCAGTTCACTGCTCCCTCGTCGCTCTCCTTCCCTGGTGCCAACGGCCACCTGACCCCTCCATCGTCCGACGCTGGCCAAACGAGCAAGAACGGAACGAACGGGCAACAACAGGTCGTTGCGCAAGGCAATGGGGTGACTCCCGCTACGCCAGCTGCCACGCCAGGACAAGCGAATACGGGTGTCAGTGGTATCGTCCCAACTCTGCAGAATATTGTTGCTACAGTGAACTTGGACTGCCGCTTGGATCTGAAGACGATTGCGCTCCATGTAAGTACTCCATGTAGTCTACGCCTCATGTGCACACGTGAGCTCACATGTGCCAGGCACGTAACGCCGAGTACAATCCTAAGCGTTTCGCTGCCGTCATCATGCGCATTCGCGAACCTAAGACCACGGCACTCATCTTCGCTTCCGGCAAGATGGTCGTGACAGGTGCAAAGTCGGAAGATGATAGCAAGCTTGCCAGTCGCAAGTATGCGCGCATCATCCAGAAGCTCGGTTTCAACGCGTAGGTACCTTGGGACAGCTCATCTGCTGATGCGCTTCGCTAACACGCCTCATCAGGAAATTCACGGACTTTAAGATCCAGAACATTGTCGGCTCTTGCGATATCAAGTTCCCTATCCGCTTGGAGGGTCTTGCTAGCCGTCACCACATGTTCTCATCGTACGAGCCCGAACTCTTCCCTGGTCTGATCTACCGCATGATGAAGCCGAAGATTGTTCTTCTCATCTTCGTCTCGGGCAAAATCGTCCTGACCGGAGCCAAGGTTCGCGAAGAGATTTACCAGGCTTTTGAACTCATCTACCCTGTGCTCTCGGACTTCCGCAAGACCTAATTACTCACCCACCGGCATCCTGTACCAGTATTATGGTCTTCCTGTACCAACACTACTACTTACACCAGAGGTTTGATGCCAACCTCGATTCATCTGGTCGATACCCCCCGCCGTTCATCAGTCATACTGGTCCGTTCTTGGATTCCAGTTGACAGATGACGGCTCGACAGATGGCATTACTTTTTTCGTCTTTTTTTGCTTTAGACATGCATGGCGAGGTGTTACACGGCGTCCTATTCGACATACCAACCTGGAGCTGCTTATCCAGCTGCCACGACTACTTCTGGACTGGGGTTTAAGTCGAAATTTAGACTATTATGCGCTATGCGCTGGCAACAGACAGCCAGCATTGGCGCGCACGCGAGCTCACAAAAGAGCTCACAACTGAGACTGATGACACGAGAGCGCGAAAGTGCGAGAGTGCGAGAGAGAGGGAGGGAACGGGCGAGCGAGAGAAGAGGCCTGTCTGTGTGAGAGAGGGCGAGGACTGTGGCCAGATGCCTGCGAGGGCATCGGCAAGCGTGAGCTTGTCCATGAAGACACAAAAGCAAGTAGTGGGCCCGGCTTAAGGTAGTGCACCAATTGCCACCCTCATGCTTCACTTGAAAAGTTTCCTCTTTTTATCTCTTGTGCTCTGCTCTATTGCTCTGCCCTGTCCTGCCCTGCCCTGCCCTTTCCCGTCTTTGGCCCATTTCATCTCGTGTTTGTCCGCCAAACCCTACAATCCCATCGTTCATGTCGCCCTCTCTCTCTACCTACCTACCTGTACCTACCTACTTTCTCGATCAAGTTTGTAAGGAAAAGGAGAGGAAAAAGAGAGGTCGCGATGTGCCCGGAGGAGTTGACAATGAAAATGAAAATGAAAGAAATTAAAAGAAATGAGTTGGAAGCGGTTATAAGAGTTAGATAGGTAGGTAGGTAGGTAGGTGATGAAGTGATGAAGTGATGAAGTGATGAAGTGATGAAGTGATAAAGTAGAGTAAGAGTGGGAAAGGGATGCGTAGGTGTGGACGGGGAGTAGGATACGTACTTGTGTTCCTTGCATAAGGTACCTCCTATTAAAGTAAGGTACATATACCTCCTACCTCCTATTTCATACCTCCTAGGGAGTGCATAAGGTAGGTACCTATGCATACATGTAGATGTAGATGTATATCTAGATACCTTACGCATATGTACATCTGAGGTACCTGTACCTGTACCTTATCTACCTGATGCTTTTGTCGTGAAATGAGTAGAATGATATAATATAATACCTGGTAGAATTTTCATTTGTATACACGAAGCCTAGCTGCTGCTGCTGTTTGAAGGTCTACTTTTGATTTGGGCTTGCTCCCTCACCTCTGGTGTGTAAGTATAGTGTAGTAGATAGTATCCGTACTTCACTACTATTACTACTACTACTCACTGAGGTACTGAGGTGCATATATCCATCCATCCATCCACCTTTCCCCAAACGCCACGCTGTAATGATAATGATCAACAAGTTCCCCAATTCTTCTCTTCTCCCATCCCATGCAGATGGCCTGGACAGACAGGACCTAGACTTTGACCCATAGACTCAACACCCCTTTGAGATATTCGACAATTTCCTCTCCTCCCAACTTGGACTCTCCATAGACGCGATCCACAAAACTGATGGGGACCTCCGCAACACGGAATCCCATCCCTTTTGCGCGGACCATCATCTCCATCTGGAAAGTGTAACCCTTGGATTCGGTCCTGTTGATGACCTCTTGCAGCACCGCTTTCTTGTACAATCGGAAACTGCCCGTCAAATCACTCACTCCCGGTCGCAACACGGTATCCGCGAACAAATTCGCTCCGCGACTGACCATCTTTCTCTTCAAATCCCATCCAAACACTCCTCCGTCGCCGGCATATCGTGTGCCCGTGACAATATCCCAGTCGCCCTCTTTTTGCTTTTGGATCATCTGGGGAAGGAATTTGGGGTGGTGGGAGAAGTCTGCGTCCATGATGATGACAAAGTTTCCTTGGGCGAATTGGAGGCCATGGACGTAGGCGGTTCCCAGACCGAGTTTGCCCGTGCGGGTCTTGAGGACGATGCGTTGTTGGGATTTGGTGTTGTAGGCGGAGATGAGCTGTTTGGCGACATCTTGGGTTCCGTCGGGAGAGCCGTCGTCGATGATGATGACTTCCCAGTCGAGGGAGCTGTTGGGTGATGGTTAGTGTTCAGTGTATGTGACAGCAAATTGTAGGCATGTGTGCCGGCATACTTTTCCGTAAAGGTCTTGTTCAGCAGCCAGACGATGATGGGCAGGTTCTTGCGCTCATTGAAGGTGGGGAGAAGCACCGAGTACTTGTTTTTGACGGCCATTGCGGCTGCTGCTGTTGTGAGGGGAGAGGGGGTAATGGGCAATGGATGGGGTAACAATGAATGGCAACAGTTGGAGTTGCAGTGGGAGTAGATTGAAAGTGTAAGTTGACGCGACTGGAGGTACAACTGGCTTCTCCCGGACTCCAGGGGTTGTCTATGGGATCATCGCATTCGCGGGGACTTCATCTACTATTTTCTCTGACCACCACCTCCTCCTCTTCCTCCCCCTCTTCCTCCTCCTCCTCCTCCTACTTCCACTCGCCTGATGTCTCTCTCCCTCTCTCAGTCAACATGTCTCCTCCTCTATCAATGGGACATGGTGGCAGCATGTCTTCTACCTACCTAGATTAGGTATACCTACCTACTTGACATGACTGTATGGACACTGCCAGCGATTGAACCTTCAGAATCTGCTGTAGACTTGACTTTGGTTGAGAGTAAGAACGACATGAAGCCATCCAGCCAGACCTGACCTGACCAGACCTGACCTGCCTACCTGACCTGCCTACATGTTCATACCTGCCTCGCCTTACCTGTCTGCCTTCGTTCTTCCATCTTCGCGCGGGATGCTCCTTCGACCGCAGTCTCGAGCGGGACTGTCTGTCTGTCTGTCCCTGCTGCTCTTCCACTTTCAATCCATCCTCCCGTCGCCCTCCTCTTTTTCGGACATCTTCCCTACCTCTTCCTATTCTTCCTAAGCACCTTAGACTGACTGCACGCTCCGCGAACCTCATTGATTCTAGGCTGCGATCACTATCCCTACAGCACAACAGAGCACCTCCACAGACATGTTCCCCGACTTGTCTGGCTCGAGCACGCCGCCCTTTCACAATTCCAACCTAAGACGACGCCGGCAGGCTCGTCAGGACGTTACCTTTCACTACAATGGTCTTTTCGACTGCCCGTTTTCTGGCTTTGGCGATGTGGACGGAACGCTCGATCTGAGCATGCATCGTCCTAGGCTGCCTTCCAGTGGGTTCCACGCTACCAAGTTCGGCATTCGGAACATCGCTGATGAACTGCAGACAATCGATTCTCTGCCTTGGCCATCCCACCACCAACTCTGCCTCGCGATCGCGAGTACGCTGCATCCGCTCACAATCGCCGCTCAAGGCACAACAGAGGGACTCGAGAAGCCAAGAAGCGACGTGACCTGAGGCGCAACAGGCGGAAGTTCGCGGCTCAATTGTTGGACGAGCAGCTGTCCAGAGGCATTGACCAGGCCTTGACCACCCACAGACTTCCTCCTGTACCAGCGATCAATACATCGCCCGACCCACTCAAGGTCAACATCACTTTCCCGTGGCCGTCCTGGGCCGAATCCCCACCGACACCACCACAGCCATCACCGCCACCACTGCTACCGCAGCTACCTCTGCTCGACTTTGGCAATTTTGACTTTGGCGAGTTTCCATGCATCGCGCCTGGAAAGCCACACCTGCCACTGACATCGCCTTCTACGCTTTCGACCGTTCCAAGGTGGTGTCCTTACATCCCAGCATTGATGGCCACTGGAGCGGGCTGGAATGGAGAAGTGCCACGCTTCACCGATCTATCAGGTCTTCCCGAGCCCATGGAGCCACGAAAGTTTGACTCGGTGCAGCAGAATCGTGCCAAAGTGGGGACAGTGCTGAAGAAGCAGTCTCGCTTCTTTCCTACTCTGACCACGTCTGTCTCCAGTCCGATTGTCAGGCTTCCGCCCACAAGTTGCAAGCTTTATCGCACAGAAGAGGCTGTAACATACCCTCCTGTACCTGAAACATGGACCAATCCTGACAACAGGCCATCTCCATCATGCCCTGCTCGGAACGTCAACACGGAGTCGAGCCTCGACACCGAGTCTGTACAGCCCGAGAAGAGCGTCGAACACGTGCTGGAGCAGTCAGCCTCTGGAATTGCATCTGCCGCCAACTTGTGGCGAATCCTGAGCGAAGATGGCATCCTTACCGCAGAGCGAATCAAAGATGATGAGTGCAGGGCTGATAACCTCAGATCAACCTGGGAGAGCTCGGAAGACTCGGGCGGCGTGCCCATCTACGAGGCCACCGCACAGCCGAGCATGCCAGAGCTTGATAGCAAGGAGATCCCATACGTCCACCTCAATAGTCTCACTGGCCACGCGAACGAGACTGGTGGATACCACAGTGTTGCGGATCACGACACAGTCGAATCCGTGCTGTACCCTGCAGTATTCTTTGCCACGCCACGATCGATCACGCCTAGCTACGAGTTGACTGCCACTGCCCCAAGATACACTCCGTCCTCGCCATCGTTGCATATGCTGGAAGCTGGTTCCCTCTGTACACTCGACCAAGCCATCATCAAGGCTCGACCTGAGATTAGCGATGAAATGAAGAAGTCTGTCGACCACTTCAGCAGTGAACAGGATCTGTTCAGACCAGAGCAGGTCCAACTACCCATCAGCCGTCCTCGTACTCCTTGTGGTCTGGACGCGTTCCTGGCAATGGGTCATGTGGAGAATTGTTGGTGCCGCGACTGCAACGAAACTCCTGAGATGATCCAGAAAGACGAAATTCATGACGATGATGATGACTGGCTGGATTGGTCGACCTTGGGGGACGAGATTGATAATGTCTCTACGAATACTGTACCTCAGACCGCGACTGTCAGCGATGTCTCTGAGGAAGAAGAGCACAAATCTTCTTGCTTTCCCGGTGCCAGTACTCCCGAGTGGGACGAGCTGTATCCTTGCACATCGGGTCAGGAAGAGTCACAGCAGGAGTTTGAGGATGAGTTTCTCGGGTACTATGACGATGGAGCTGCATTCGCTCGTGTCAGTGATTGTAATTGGACGTGGACTGATTGTTGAAGACTTTGTGGTTTGAAGAAAGAACTGCGTGCGAGCAACGAGGGGTGGTTTCTTCTGTCAGAACGCAGTACATGTATGCGTGAGGCCATGATGGCGTAATGTGCGGCGAAAGAGGTTCCTTGGTGGTGGCGACTACAGTGGTTGTGTGTTCTTCCCCGTCGCGCTCTGTTGATGCACTCTTCGGTAGATTGAATTTCATTGGCTACGGTCTGTTTGTCCAATTGCTTGCTGTATTGGCAAGACAAACGGCTGGACTGAAGTCATCAATACATACTCCACACTTTAAACATCTTGTCCCTTCCCGTAATTATGCCGGGGATGGAGGTTGGGGGAGGGGGAGGGGGGCCATGTGTCGAGTCTAAAAGCGCCCATGTCATATTTGAAAACGAGTCCAAGGTAGGTGAAAAAAATCAAGAGCTTTGTGGACAAAGGTGAATTTGGGTATCTCTCGAACCATCTAGTATATACACATATGTATACACCCACACTGGAACAGCCCCGTGGGGACACTGCCGGAAAAAGAAAAAAAAAGATAAACCCCCCAAATCTGATCTAATCTGATCTGATATGTTTTCAAAATAACATATCCGCTTCCAACCTCCTCTCCACCCGATGTCCATTGATACCCATTTCAATCGGTTGGGCAATATCATCGAATTCCACCAACGCATTCGGACCCACGTCGGGCTCGAGTTGGTATTCGATTTTGGAATCCATTGTCCCGAGATAGGAGCCGATAGTGTGCGTGGCTTTCCGTTCGTGTTCGTCTTCGACGACGATGTCGAAGGAGGGTTGTTGGCGAGTCGCGCGGATACGGAGCTGAGCTTGGATTTGGCTGACGCGGAGGTTGCGTTCGTGGCGGCCGAAAGTGGAAGAAGAGTTGTGTTGGTGGAGATGTTCGAGGTCTTGCGCTGTGAGCTTCTCTCGGGGGATGGGGCGGCAGAGTTGTTGGATGAGGCCGTTATGGTCGCTGGGGACTTTGGCGGATTGGAGGCGGGGGAATTTGTTGGTTTTGATGGAGTCTGCGAGACAAGAGAGGGCGGAGCCGGGAATGAGACAGTCCCAGTGTAGATGTTGGAGGCTTGGTGAGGATAAAGTCAGGGTGCGACCGGTTGGTCTACCACCACTACTATTATTACTAGTGTCATCAGCGAGTTCCGGGGAGGCTTCCTGCAAGAGAGCGAAGCGCCTTAGACGTGTGAGATGAGAGAGAAGTGTGGCGATTGTTCGGAGAGACACCAGCTCGAGTCCGACAAGCGTGAGACGTTCCAACGAAGGTGCTAGGCGCGAGAACGCTATTTGTTCCACGCCCTCGTCTGTCAGGCCGGACAAGCACTCCAGGCGTAGGGACTTGACGGCCGGGAGCGTCAGCAGAGAAGTATTGTGGAAATCCGAGCGATGGAGCCCAAAGGCTGCAAAGTGCTTCAGTGATGGGAGTCTGTGAAGTACTGCCAAAATGGTGCCAATGCCAAGATCGACACCAGGATCTGCAGCTATTGCCAGAGTCTCCAAATTGACCCAATCATCGTGGCAGAAAATGAAGTGCTCTAGTCCTGGTAGTGCTCGAGTAGAGTCAAGACTCCAAGCGTGAGATTTGAGCCGGATGCGGCTCGCAAGAGCCTCCAGAACCGGTGTTGTAGATTCTGTAAAGGGCAGAACGAAACCACTGAGCTGCTCCAAGTTGTAGCAGTCTCGAATGATAAGCTGCAATGAGTCCAATGCAGAATCCTTCTTGAACGGAGCAAAAGCCTCAGCATCCAATTCGTGCGCCAACTCGGCCCCGATGCGTATGTGATGAACAAAAAAGCCTAAACCAGATGTCTTGCGCAGCAAATCAACCAGTAATTTGAGCCTGCTCTTCGGCTGTCGCGTGGAGAACCTCTTCTTTGCAGAAACCTTGTTCGTTGGTAGCCAGAGCTCGCGGAACAAGTGCTCTCTTGCAATGTGCTGCCACTTTTTGTCGACCAGACATAATGAGCGTAGATCGTGGCGCAACGCAAGCACATCCACCGTCCCCAGCTGGCTATGCACAGCTTCTAAGTTGTCCAAAACGCATTGATAAATCTCCCTCGGCAGTTGCACAAACATCTTTCGCGGCTGATTCTGCGCCCGATCCATGCTCCTTGACCACCTCGACCCCGGACTTCCTCGGTCTAGCTCCCAGGGTGTCTTGGTCAGTGTATGATTATTATTGAAATTGAAGCTCCCAAAGTTTTTTTCTGTGTTGGTCTGTGACCACGTCTGGCTCTTTTTGTGACCTTGCGACTCAAGGGAAGTTGTACGTTCGGGTATCACCGGTGGTCGCTCTCGCTGGTCTATCATCGAGGTGCGTTTGGGCTGTGGACGTCGCTGCGCGCTGGGAACATCGGTGGTGACGTGGTATTGAACCATCTTCGTCTTTGCAGGTCTGTAGGGCAGGACCTCTTCCTGCTCTGACTCCGATATTGACCGAACATGTGAGGAGCCTGAAAATCGTGCAAACATGCCGCGTATCGTCGAGACGTTGCTTCTCGTACTACGCGTAGTCGCTTGGCTCTTCACGCTCGGCGTCTGGCTTCGCACACTCGTTGTATGGCTCATCGCACTGGGAGTCTGGCGGCTCTGCATCTTCGGGAGGACGCTTTGTACGCTCATGGCCTGGCTGTTGATCGTAGATGTCACGCTTGTGATACTCGGCGTCCTTTGTGGTCTCGAGAAGTTCACGTAACGTCTCCCTGCACCATCGTCGGAGGCCATCTTGTACGATTCAATCCCTGCGTCTCGTGCGTCTCGTGCGTCTCCCTAGGTACAGGGCTCTGGCTGGCTGGCTGGCTGGCCGTGCGAGCCGAATAGATGGAGGCTCCGAGTCTTGTGGTATCAAGTGTAACAACCAGACACGAGGATGGCGGGTTGATTCGACGTGTGCCGGCCAGTACGCGAATCAGGAAGCACAACGTCCCAACGGGCAATGCCAGACCCAGATAGCACAAAGGGGGGTACGAAGGAGGGTATTATCGGTAAGACTTACGAGGCTTTTCTTGCAACGACTACCATTAGCCTAGCCAGCGCCTCCCACAGCTGCTTGCCATGCGCAGACGGATTAGCAAGCCATCCTCAACGGAGTGATAGGACAGGTGCTAGAGATCGCCATTGCCTACTTTCCCGATTAGAGCGAGAGTTTGGCGTTTGGAGCATAATCCCTCTGCGCACGACTCATGCACATGGTACTATCAGTTTCGGCCTGTTGGCGATGAATAATCTGGTCGCAAAATCAACTGCCTTGCCTTGCCTTTTGCTTCTCTGTGGCTATAAGTCGCCTGGTTATACTGCAAGACATGACTTGATGGCCACACGGTGTTCCCAGTACCTCTTTTGCATCGCGTTTGGTGGCTGGTACAAAGAAAGAATCCGAGTGTACAGCGCTGATCATCTTTTGCCTCGTTGGATTTGGTGTCGTGGCAACTAATCTTCTTTCGACGACATGCCTCTCACTGCCTGTCCTCCGATGGGACTGCGAACGGGGATGGTTCCAACATGGTCAGGTACGTGTATGGATGATGAATGATGGAAGATGAAGAATTGAAGATGAAGACATGCTTGGCTTGCACAATACTGTACATGCATCTAGGAAGGCACATGTGATTGAACTTGGGTATTCTCCGTAGCACTTCTCGTCCCACAACGCACACTTCAGAATGGCTACCAGCCAGTCACTGAGTTCCACGGGAGCCTCTCGGAGCTAGCCAGTTGTAATATGTATAAAACGTATACTTTAACTTGCATGAATAAAGTCGTCCATAGACGATGTATTTGTCTTTCGCTATGCCTTCCTTGCCTTCCTGCCAATGCAGATGCTAGAAAATCTTTCTGAAAAACGCCTTTTCTCTCCAACGAAATCCAGAGCTCGTGAGCTCGCTCATGAGTGCCTGCCCCAAAAAACCCCCCAATGCAAACAACAAAATCTTTGGATATGTTTACTCAATAGCAGCGGCAGCAGCGGCAACCTTGAGAGGGTTCACCTCGTCATCAGACCACTTGAACTTGAAATCTTGTCCGAGCTCCTTCTGCACAGCAGTGGTCACAGCCTCGAGGACGTTTTTGAAGACGCCAAAGTTGGCCGGGTTGTTCTCGTCATTGTCACCACCTTGGAAGACACCGGTGCGGACAAGGCATGTGTTCCATCCATAAAGGTTCTAGAGCAATCATGGTCAGCATGAGAACAAAATTCGCTGTTTGAGTGGGAGTGACTTACACCACCAACAATGTCCGAGGCGGGATTGTCACCAATCATGTAAATGTTCTTGGGCAACTTCTCCTCGTTGTGAATGGTCTCCATCCAGCTGGAGATGACTTCATCCGCGTACTTGTATGTGGCCAGTTCGGGCTTACCATACACAACACGCTCGAGGTCCTCACCCGTCAAAGCTTTGTACATGGCTTCTAGTCCAATGCGGAAAGCTCCTTGCGACATTCTTGGGTATGGGTGCTCGGTGGGGCATAGCAAGTCACCCTGCGAGAAGTAGATGGGAATACGCTGCGAAATCGGGTCCTTGGCCCGGGTATGGAAGAGACCGTTCTCGGATTGGAGCAGATCCATGATGATCTGCATATCTGTTGCGTAGTCGCGCGAGTCGGAGAAGACCATGATGGCTTCAATGCGCGTCTTTGAAAAGTCCCGAGGGCGAGATGTCGCGCGCTCTTCGGCAGTAAATACTCTGTAAGGAGCGATCGTTGGGTCCCAGGCGATGATGTCGTTGGGTACGACGATATCCTGGAATCCATACTGCTCTGCGACTTCTCGGCACTTGTAACCCTCTCCACCAACGACCAAAACGGTCTTGTAGTACTCGGAGAGAGCAGACATAGGCGTATGCGACTGGATGAACTGCTCGGTGCTGATGGGGTTGTGCAGAATTTTCGACAACTGGTCTACACGTGCTTGTTCAGGCTTACCAGAGCCGTTGGTGAGGAAGATGTGCGGAATCTTGATTCCAAGCTCGTTATCGCCGTTGAGGATTTCCAGAACCCGCTGGCCCTCTGGGATAAGTCTATCACCATGGACAAGAACACCATCGATATCGAAAACGAATGCCATATCCTTGGCTGCTGCCACCTTTTGCTGCGACATATCCTGAACCTGACCAGCCAAGATCTCTCGGGTTGGCTGGATCGGTGGCATCCCTGGTCGCTGAGGCCGGCCATCTGCGTACGCAACAGAAGAAAGCCGTGATTGACGCTTTGATCGTGGAATCGGTAGAGCAGCGCCGAAAGAGTTACGAGAGCCTCGTCGATCCCGCTGGGATGGTGATAGGGACAGCTGGTGCATATATGGTGCGGCATCAGCAATGCTGCTTCTCGTGGCTGGTACCTCTACAGCACCGAAATTGCCGCTCGCTCCTCGTCCATGTTGGCCCACGCCTTCTTCTGGTGCCATACTGTCCTGAGTGCTGTTGGCTGGAGCTGCCTCTGGCACGAAGTCTTGGTCGTCAAATCCGGGCATGATTGCGGTATTGATAAAGGTTGTGAGTGAATGTGTTCTAGATTGAAGATATGTAAAGGCTCAGGCTCAGGCTCAAGCGCTGTAGTCGATGAAGATGGTATAAGAAGAGGGCGGTGGTTCGATGGGAAAAGATACAGGAAGAAAAAGCAGTGGTCCTCGTCCAGGGTGCCTTCTGATTATATTCCAACTACGATCCGAGATGAGCAGCCGCAAGAGCTCTTGCAGTCCGTAGTAGCACCTTCCTTACCTCTCCTACCGTATCTCCCTCATTCTCGTGCTTTGCGGGCTTTTCGCCGCTTCGTCTCAACACCTTCCCTGTATGGTCTCTACGTCGTGTGCGGATCAAATGACTCCATCATCCGATGTCATAGTTCTCCATGGCCCACGGTATTCTCGTGCCCGTAAGAATACGATATGCGGCCATGCGAATCATCAGCTCCTAATTATTGTGGAACACGGCCAGCAGTCCAGCCACTTGCAGCCATAGCTCTCGAGCCTCCCTGCAATTGCTGCAGAAACAATCGCCATGCGTCGTCAGGAGGACCAATGAACGGCGCGGACGCGGCTGTCATATGCCAGTGGGCGCGACTGCAAGTGGAACTTGGGAAGTCGTTGAAAACAAGCCTTCAGCTCAAGCGTAATCAACGTGTTGCAGGGTGCTGGTAGTGCAGATGCGGACCGAAAGCATTCAGGGTCTTGCATTGGATCCTTCCGATCCGCTTATCGCTCTTTCTTCGGCGCCAGGCAGAACTGACATCACGGACCAAAAGAAGTTGCGCAATGTGTCCACAAAACGCACAAAACACCACCACCGTGACGGCCAATGTCGGAAGCGACAGAGCGAAAGAGCGGTGATGTCGGCCATGACATGACGTCGCTGCCGTCAACAGCGGAGGAAGCTACGACGGTGCAGTGTCGTGCCGACCGCGTGAAAAGTCTGATGATGAGCTGGGCGAGTATGGAGGAAGGAATGGTCAAACCGACCGGAGAGACAGCGAGGGTGGGTTCAGGTAGCATCAAATACCACCTTCTACGCTTCCGTTCCATCGTTCCTGTCGTGTTCTGTCCCAAGCCTAGAGCGATTTCACATTGCGTTCCAGAATTGCGACTTTTTTCCCCAGTCAGACAACTCCAACTATTGACCTCGTATACCAAAAAGCACGCACACACACACACACAGCACACACACAGCACATCATGTCCAGCGGCAAGACCTTCACCCTCAACAATGGAGTAACCATTCCTGCGGTGGGCTTCGGTACTTTCGCCAACGAAGGTGCCAAAGGCGAGACCTACACCGCCGTCACTCACGCCCTCAAAACCGGCTACCGACACCTGGACTGCGCCTGGTTCTATCAAAATGAAGGAGAAGTCGGCGATGCTGTTGCAGATTTCCTCAAAGACAACACGTCCGTAACACGCAGCGACATTTTCATCACCACAAAAGTCTGGAACCACCTCCACGAGCCTGAAGAGGTGAAGTGGTCTCTCCAAAACTCTCTGGAAAAGCTGAAGTTGGACTATGTCGATCTTTTCTTGATCCACTGGCCGATCGCAGCGGAGAAGGATGAGAAGAACATGCCAAAGTTGAACGAAAAAGGCCAGTATGTGATCAAGCAGGAGTTGACCAAGAACCCCAAGCCAACATGGCGGGCGATGGAAGAGCTGTATGAGGCCGGAAAGGCGAGAGCTATTGGCGTCTCGAACTGGACCATTCCTGGTCTGAAAGATCTCCTCAGCTGGGCCAAGGTCAAGCCTGCGGTCAACCAGGTTGAGATTCATCCTTTCCTGCCCAATGACGAGCTCGTAAAGTTCTGCTTCGAGAACGGCGTTCTGCCCGAGGCATACTCGCCGCTTGGATCGCAGAACCAGGTCCCTTCAACAGGAGAGAAGGTCAACACGAATGAGACCCTGAACAAGATTGCAGAGAAGGGCGGAAACTCGCTTGCACAAGTGTTGATCGCTTGGGGTATCAGGAGGGGATATGTTGTGCTGCCAAAGAGCTCGACACCCTCACGTATTGAGAGCAATTTCAAGAGCATCGACCTGAGCGACGAGGACTTTGAGGCCGTGAATCAGGTTGCCAAGGGTCGTCACACGCGCTTCGTGAACATGAAGGGTGATTTTGGTTACGACGTGTGGCCAGAGGATAGCAACATTGCCGAGGTTCAGAAGTGATGCAACAGAGATCGCAAATGTCTCTCGAAGAGCAACAGATGACACCAGAAATGGATCCCACGCATGTGGAAGACGGGTCAGTTCCAGCGCGGGGCTAACGGCAGGACTGTAGAATTAGCTTAGCAGATACCCACGCGTGCGATCACGAAGAAATGCGAGAACCTTTTATGAAGAGTAAATGCACGTACCTTGAAGACTCCGCCCCGGAGCTGCGACTATGTTGTTTGATGCTTGAAGGCTCATATGAGACCGTTCTTTCATGAGCTAACAGCGGACACATCTAGGAGGTAAGCAGACCAGCGAAAACATAGTGCCTTAAGATGAGATCCGCCCTTCTCCAAATTGGGCAATGTTCGCAACTAGATATATAGCTCACAGCAGAGCATATGTCCTGATGATATGTTGCATGTCTGCTAAGCACATGGAATTTGCTCCACGCGGTTCGCCGATGTGCAGATGCGCATGGCAATGGCCTCCTGTCTCAACTTGTGGCTGTCGGGATATGAACGCTTGCTTCTTCTTGGCGCTTGTGAGAAGCTACTTGTATCTCGTATAATAAACGTGTCGGGATTCCGAAAAAGATCACGCAAGACCGGGAAACAACGTATGGCGAGCTTCGTCATCTTCAGCAAGTGAAGACGGAGCCGTTCTCGCTCTCGAGGGCTCGCGCTCGGCGGTATCGTTGTCGTGTGCGAGCTCGGGAAAATATAATGGGATCCGCGCCCTTGTCCACTCGACGTCCTTGCGTCTGCCTTGGGTTTCAAGGACATGAGCGCACTTGAGGAGCGTAGTATGGTATAAATCACGCACATCCGCTGACTGGGCCATGTGCTCTTTAAAGATCGGAGGACACTTCGTGGTGTTGTCTGGCAGGACCACATGCAACATTTTCAGCATCGGGTCAGCCGAAGGTCTGGTCGGGTGGGTGAGGTGCAACGTGGCAGCACGCATCATCTTGAAGAACTCTTGCACCTGGGCCGCCTTGCCCCGCCGGAGGTCCTTGTTATCAAAGTCAAATGCGAAAGACACATATTTTATTAGCTTGTCGTACAGCTGCGGATCCAGAATATCGCCCTTCTGTAGCTCCACATCTCCCCTGGGATTGCTAGATCGTAGCCGTCTGGTCAAGAGTCTGACCAGAAAAGAGCTAGTTTTGGCTAGTGGCAACCAAGCCAGATGATGCCAGTTCTCTGGATGAGGGTCAACATCCATTGACGAAGTGCGGAGTTCGAGCGCAGTGACCAACGTGTTCAGCGCAGAATTCAAGTTGCTTGCACGAATGATGTGCAGCTTTCCCGATGAATCAGCAAGCCAAGGCACATCTACCTGAGCCTGTACAAGACTATCAAGTACGCATCCCCGCCAGCGATACTTGTAGAGCATGCGCTTCTTGACACTGACCTGAGTGTCCCAAGGCGCACCCTCAGTAGAGTCAGGTATCTGCACATCAAGCTTGAGCCACTTCCAGATGTTATCCTCGCGGCCTTCTCGAGCTAGAAAGAAGACCAAAAGATCCACAAACGGAAGATTGCTGGAGAAATCCGTTTGGTACATGCCGCGTTCTAGTAACCACATCAAGACTCTTCGCCCGGGTTGAATCTCTTCCAACAGCTTGGGCTTGCGGGCGTCGGGAACAGAGTCATACTTCTTTTTCAATGTCTCCATACAGAGCTGAGCGATGCGAACGGATGCTGCACCTTCACGGTCATAATCCTCGAGCAGTTGGATTGGATCTCTATAAGAATCCTTCTGAAGCTCGACTTTCGCACTGCCATAGCTCTTCGCACCTCTGACCAGCAATGGATTCGTTAGGACAGACGCCATGTGTTTCTGAGCAAAGATCGCCGACGAATGCATGCTGTTGATGTTGACATCCGGCGACAAGCCAGTGGCTTTGGAGCTATTCTTCCTGCCATCGTCGATAGTCGTAGGGTGTGCCGCATCCAGATGCTTCCGAAATGAACTTGTCAGAGCTGTCAAGAGGCCTTTCGACTCGCTGGTAGTTAGCGGCGCGTAGCCATTTGGATGTATCTTGTCCGCGAGACTCCTCAGACCTTGCACGGCACCGGTCTTCTTCATGCTCCTGGCATATGAGTGACAAGCAAACAGGGCCGAATTACCTGAGCCGCAGTCTGCATAGGTATGCCACGCCACAGTGGTGATGGATATCAGGTGATGATGATCTGGGCAGGTGGCACGTCAAACAGGCCAGGCCGTTTTAGAAATAGAGTTTCATCGCCAACCCTTGCTGCTGCGTGCTTGGCAAGGAAACCAGCGCGCGCGAAGCTGCTCTGTGCACCACCAGCTCTCTCATATGCACCCACCACTGCCAACCTCACCACCCGCTGCGACTGCTTGTTCATCATCACCCCAGGCCAGAGTCGCTCAACTGACGCTTTGCGCTCCTCTCTTTAGTTAGGTCTCCGGACATCGGCTCACCGCAGCCTTCTTTGTCCACCGAGACCTCGTTCACGCTCTTCGCCAGCAGTAGCCCAGCCTGACATCCGCCACGGCATCGAACGAGGCACGACCGCTATCTTCCATCTTCAGGTCTCACTCTACGGACCGCAAAGCACACTCACATTCACAATGTCGGAAATCGACACCAGAACTGTCCCCTCGAGGGGCAGAAGCTCCGTCCGAGGAGGCAGAGGTGGCACCAGCCGCGGAGGACCTCGCGGCGGCAGGAAAGTCAATGGAACATCAACCGAGGCAGCGACACTTGAAGAATCACTCGAAGATCAAGGAGAGATTGGCCAGATGAAGAAGAAGTATCAGCCAGAGCTCACTATGCTCAAAGACATGTTTCCTGACTGGACCGACACCGACCTTGTGTTCGCCCTCGAAGAGGCCGATGGCGACGTCGGCGCGACTGTCGACAAGATCACGCAGGGCGCAGTCTCACAATTTGCAGAGGTGAAAAAGCCCAAGGATCGCGCTCGCTCGAAGGTTCCAGCCGAGTCAACAGCTGCAGGTGCTACTGACCGTCCTCATTTCAGCGCTCGGGGCGCACGTGGCCGAGGCGGCTTTGAGGGCGCTCGCGGTGGTCGTGGCCGCGGTGCAGACCGTGGCAGAGGTGGTTTCCGTGGCAGTCGAGGCGGCCACGCAAGCACGAATGGCGTGGACAAGGATGCTAACGGCAGCACCTCTGTACCCACCACCGAATCGAATGCATGGGATACAACGGCGACGAGCGAAGCCACGGCGGCATGGGACAATACTCCCGCAGAGCCTGTCAAAGAATCCGTCGATACTGGCGACAATGTTCTTGGTACGGTCACTGCTGTCGACCCTGCTCCAGCTGCGAGCACTCAGCCTGCAAAGAGCAGTGTGATAGAGCAGGGCAGTGCGAAGAAGAGTTGGGCTAGCATGTTCGCGAAGCCAAAGCCTGCGCCAGCACCCGTACCACAGAAGCAGATACTGACTAGACAGCCACCGCCCGTGGAGCTGGACGCGACCGAGCAAGCGGTTCCAGAGCCGGCCGAAGCTGCAGTAGAACCAGTACATGAGACTTTTGAACAGCCAGAGCCGCCGGCAGAAGCTGCAGGTCCATCCGAGCCACAGGCCGTGGAGCCTGCCGCGACTCCAGAGACTGCCACTGCCCCGGTAAGGCTTCCTATGATATTAGACTCTCAGGCTCTCATGCTAACACCTTCCCAGGATCCTTTGACGGAAGAGAACGTGGAGCACTTGCCAGACGAGTCTCATGCGCCTGCGACGCAGACTGTGGCAAGCACTGCCGGCTCCATGGATTCGCGAAACCTCACCCCCCTCCATCCTCCGCAAGCACCAATCGGCAGACCACCAGTTGGAGGATATGCCACCGTTGCCGCTCGTCTTGCGGGCGCTGGTGGTAGGAGCGCAAGCTACCAACGTAGAGTGCAAGAGCAGCAGGAGGCGGTTGTTATGCCAGGGCACAACGCAGTAGACAGAGCTGCGGTACAGTTTGGCAGCATGGGATTGAATGGAGAAGCTGGTCCAGACGTGGACGAAGAGCGAGAAGAGCCAGAGACTCGCCACGCACCGCAACACTCTCCACCAGCGCAACCACGTACCTCGCTACCACCCGCTGCTCGTGCTGCACAAGAGTCACTACTGCCAGAAGCGCAGCCTCAAGCACCAGCGCAAGCACAGCCTACACCAAAGCAGGCCCCAGGTCTGCCACCCGCGTCCGTACAGAATCAGCAACAGATCCAGGATCCTTCGCTAGGACAACCTCCTTCGCAGGACCAGCAATACCCACAGTCGTACAACCAGTATGCCCGAGGCTACGTTCAGCCACAAAGTCTTCCCGGAGGACAACAGGACAATGTCGCGCAGCAGCAGAAGCCATACGACCCCTTCAGCCATCAGGCACAACAATCTCAGTACGATCAATACGGTCACAGCCAACAGCAGCACCAGCCCCAACCCCAGCACCAGTCTGGATTTGGTGGCTTGTCGTCTGCACCGGGCGACTACTCGTCGTACTATACCAGCGATGCGCCACGCAACAACTACCAACAGTACTACGGTGGCTCATACGGCGCCGGTCAGGATTCGAGGCAACAAGCTGGACAGTCTCAACCACACGATCCCACCATCGGGCAGCAGCGCTCAACCAGTGGATACGGCGCGAACGAGAACGCGTTTGCATCTCATGGTCATCAGCAGGCACAGTCGCGCTTCGCTGAAGCTCCTGGGTCTGGTCATAACACTCCAAACCCGGTCGCTGCCAGCCAGCAGCAGCCTTCGCAAACGGCTCAAAGTCAGCACTCGCTCCCACAGCAGCAACAAGGTCATGGACAGCAACATTTCCCCAATGCAGCTGCAGCTGCAGCTGCTGGCTACCCGTATGGTCATCCATACTATTCCAGCGCATACCCGACTGCATATGCCAATCAGTTTAATGGCTACACACAAGCATATGGAGCCGGGTCTGGGTATTCAGCGGGACAAGGCGGCTATCAAGGCAAGCAGCAGCCGCAGCAGCAGCAATCGCAGCAGGGAAACAGCTATGGCGCTCCGCACAGCTATGGATCCTCGTATGACCAACACTCCGCTTCGCCCGCGAACGTGCATGCATATGGTCAGAACCAGCGCAGCGCGAGCGGAATGGGCGCTTCGCTTGGAGGGCTCGATGACTATGGTCGCAGCTCTGCCCAGGCAGGCTCACACCAGCAAAGCAGCGCATTTGGCAGCGTCCATGATCCTTTTGCACGCTCCACTTCCGGATTTGGTGCTCAGGGCGGGTACGGACAGCAGAGCATTGGTGGCCAGGAAGATTCATTGAAGGCGTATGACAACGCCAAGAGTGGCCCATCGCCAGCGCTCGGTCAGCCAGGACGCCCAGGATCTGCCGCAAATAGCGCAGCTGGAAACGCTCAATCTGGCTTGCCTCCGCCACAGCATGGCCAGCATTCTGGCTTTGGCGGAGGTTATCCAGGATTCCAGGGTCAAGGAAATCCTTACAACGGCCTTGGAGGTCTTGGAGGTCACCAACAGGCTCAGCAAAGCCAACAAGGTCAGCAGAGCGGCCAGTATGGGTATGGTGGTTTCAACCAGACTTATGGCAGTTATGGCCAGAGCAGAGGTGGCTGGGCTCAGAATTACGGAGCGCACTAGGAGAATCCCAATGACGCCTCGCGACTAGGTGAAAGTGAGGCAGACGCTGCCGCCACACTGCTTATGATCCGCCACAATACGTCACAGGGGAAAAGAGATAGGGACGGCAAGATCCTTTCGTGCTTCATTAAACAATATGACGAATGGCAGCGTACCTCCTCTGATGAGCAGCAACAGCAGCATCCACGGAGGGGGTAGATTTGTATGATATTACCACTACTACTATCACCATTGTCCGAGGCTACTCGACAACTCGACTCTTTTTCACATTATGCTTGCGATGGAATTCCTCGGCGTACGGGACACGAAAGATTGGGAGGCATATTCTCGGCCAAAAGCTGGAACAGTACGACTTCTGAAAGCAAACCCCTTTGAATCAGGCGTATTCCTGGGCTAGGGAAGAGATAATCATGAAAAGGTGTATGTCTTTAATGAGGCGGTTCTGCCTCGTATATTACATAGCTGAACATGAACGGCTAGCGACAAGAGTCTTCTGGTTTTGCTATCGTTGCCCCCTATATGTATCTCGTACGGTAATGTCGTCCAGTGCCACGTGATGTGCTTACTAAACAACACATGTCCTCACCTGACTCTACCTCGACTCTGTTCTTCCAGTGCAAGGACGTGGTGCGAGGCCGCTGCGAAATGTAAATTACCGTCTGGTTGCGGTATCTTCTAGCAAGGCAAGTGCGAGACTCGTGTCTAGGTACAATATGTGCCCTCCAAGAAGTGCATTTCATCATTTCGACCCATATTTTAAAATCGACATTTTCACACCAATGCTCCCTCTCCTTCTCCTTCTCCTTCCCTCCCATTCACACACCTAATTGGCTTGTCTAAAACTCAACAGCAAACAGCAAAGAGAGAAGCAATGCCTTCCCGATCATTCAAACCAAAGCCCAAAGAGGCCGTCAAAGACCAGATCCCCACACCCTTCGTCAAAGCTCCATCGTCTCTCGCTCCCTTCCTCGAACGCCTCGACCCCAAACTCGTCCACATCACACATATTGACCGCACGAAAGCTGCCGTCAAGAAGAATATTTTTCTCATACCCGTTCTTCTCAACACGACCATCGCCGCTCTACTGCTCTGGCGCCTCTATCATGCTCTCCCCAAATACTTTATTCTCGCTAAGACGATTCTCGGATATGCCACTTCGGCGACAGTGGACAAGACGAGCACGACGAGGAAAGAGCAGATATGGATACTGATGAAAAGGACGCTCATGATGGCTTTGGACTTTTTGTTGTTTCGCTTCGTGGGTCCTTGGCCGTTGACGTTCTTCTTCGAGCAACCTGCCAATCCGTGTTCGTATCGTTGGGGCTTGGAAGGGCATTTTAGGGAGAAGGAGGTCGTGGTTCGGGTGAGTAGAAACTGGAGCGCAGAAGATCTGATGCAGGGCGTTAAGCAAGGAGAGGAGAATGCATTCTTCAAGACACGGGTTTTGCCTGCTATCAATCCAGAGGAGATGAGGAAGACGGGATACTTGATGATGAATGAGAGTTGGGATTTGGAGTTTGAGCTCATGTTGGACGCGCATACGTTGATTAAGCAGAAGATGCTGAGGGAGGAAGACGTGGACAAGATGGTCTTTGTGTACATGGAGGGGAACGGATGGGTCATGTGGAAGTGGGAGGGAGAAGATGTGATCGAGGGGCGGAGAAAGAAGGTGGTCATGTTCAAAGAGGTGTTGACGAAGCTTGGAAAGGAATCCCTGTTCTGGAGATGGACAGAGATTGTAGAGGAAGAACGAGATGCTGATGGAGGGTTCACGGCGAAGAGACAAGAGAGGGTTGTCGAGAGGGTCAAAAGCGAGTTTGAGAAGGAGGGGGTAGACTTTGAAGAGATTGTGAAAGGTATCGGTGGTCTGGATGAGGTGCCTGCTGGTCCTGCAAAGTAAGATTTGCTGGCATGCTTTCAACCTCGAAACCCCAAGTGCCTTCGCGTCGAGTGTATGGAGTGATGGTGCAAATCGGCCTGATGTATGGCACAGTGCCGCCCGTGGCCAGCTAAGCTCACCAACATCCTCTTATACCGCCCATGACATACTCACCGGTCCGACCCAGCGCACTGAAAAGTTCCGACTACAGACTTTGATTCCCTTCCTGGCTGTTGAAAACATGCCAATGCAGGGAACAACGGAGAAGTGGAGAGACCAGAAAGGATCGTCTCAGGTCTGCGCTTGTTTGCTCCTCCCACCAGTCCGAGTCTTAGATGTACATCGCGTTGCTCTTGGTCATCGATCCGTTCTGAACTCTGTAAGAGTGGGAATGAATCATCGTTCTCGCGGACGTACACCTGCTCGAATGTGGCTGCTGTTGTCTAGTCCATCCGTTGCGCAACGGTTCTGAGGAAATGCACTTTGTTCGAGGAATTCGCTCCTTTGAGTACAATCAAGAAGTAGCGATAAGTCATATGCTCCGTCCAGAAGATGTTTAGATGTTTGACCTGTCTGACTGACATTCTGATGTGCGTGGCTGCCATACTCTACCTATCTATCCATATGGCACATGCTCTTCGTCGTCGTCTCCGGGGTTCAAGGGCGAGGCGACTATCACTGATTTCCAACCGAAGACCTCGCTTAGATTCCTCCCTTTTGTGAATGCAATCATTTTTTTCGGACGGAGCGTAGACTACATACAGATCGGACTTCATCACAGCTTAAGGAGAGGGTCTCATCACCCTGGTTCATTGCCATGACGGGCAAATTTCGCATCTCTTGGCGAGAGGTTCAACCTTTTGAAAGCTTGATCTTGTCTATCTTGGAACTCCACCTCTCCTAACTAACTCATGACAATATGTCGTGGAACCGCGTTTGCGAGATACGTGTAGCGAGAATACTTTCACTCTGGCGATAGGACTACTCCCTTCCTTTCATCATCATCTTCTTCTTCTTCTTCAACTTCACACAGCCTCTTCTTCTTCTTTTTCATCCTGGGCATGGAATACATAACTGACATACTGCACTACGGTGCACTAGCCTTCTCGCTTATAGCTAGATTACTGCTGGTAGTATGTCGAGCTTCGACCTCAACTGTGTGATATCGTACTGACGAAGATACAGGGAATCGCCATATTGTTACTGAAATTCATATACAACATCTCCCCTTTCCATCCCCTGGCCAAATACCCAGGACCACTGCTATGGCGAGCAACCCGCCTCGTCAACTCCTACCATCATGCCACAGGAGATCTCTACATCCACATTGCAGCCATTCACGAAAAGTACGGACCAACAGTACGAATCGCTCCCGACGAGCTCTCTTTCACATCCCCAGACGCCTGGCCCGAGATCTACAACTCCCGCCCCCAATTGATGAAGTCTCGTTACCACTTTGGCCACGATGAATCCGGCAAAATGCCCATGAGCATGATCGCCGCACCTGACGCCGAACATAGTCGCGTACGCAGACTCGCCGGTCCAGCATTCCTCAACTCCAGCGTAGCAGAAGTCGAGCCCACGATGCAACACTACGCCGAACTTCTCTGTTCGCAACTCCGCGCCGCGAGCGAAGAAAACCCCCAACAAAGTCAAAATATGGTCGACTGGTTCCTCTGGACACTCAACGATGTCATTGGCCAACTCGCTCTCGGTCAAGAATTCGACTGTCTCCAAAACCGCCGTCTGCACGAATGGCCGAGCTATTTGCTTCACATTCTCAAATTGGCAGCCGTCATTAACCAGTTTAAACGCTTCGGCTTCAAAACCCAATGGTTGAAACCCATCCTTCCTGCCAAAGTCATAGAAAAACGAGACAAATTCTTCGAAACCGCACAAAAAGCCGTCGATGCTCGATTGGCACAAGAGAAATCATCATCAGAAACTCCCACCTCCCAACCCCTCAAACAAGACATCATCGGCCTCCTCCTCCGCCCCACCAAATCCGGCGAACTTCTCACTCCCAAAGAAATCCTCTCCAACTCCGTCCTCATCGTCGGCGGAGGAGCCGAAACCACCGCTACAACATTGACAGCTGCAATGTATCATCTCTGCAAAACCCCCCGCGTCATGAAAAAACTGCAAAAAGAAATTCGAGAGACGTTGCCTCTTCTCAACAATCCCAACAACAACACCACCACCAACAACATCACCCTCAAATCCCTCCCCCACCTCCCCTACCTCTCAGCAACCATCGACGAAACCCTCCGAATTTTCCCCACAGCGAGCTTCATCACTCCGCGCCAAACTCCTCCCGAAGGCCACACAATTCACGGACAAGTCGTTCCCGGAGGAACTTATGTTTCCATGGGTCAGTGGTTCATGGGACGATCGGATCGATTTTTTGAAGATGCGAGTGAATTTCGACCGGAACGGTGGTTGGATGATGATGATGATGATGGAAATTCAAACACGACGACGACGCCGTGTGGGAAACGAATCGAGGATATTCTGAAACCGTTTAGTATGGGTCCGAGGAATTGTGTGGGGAAAGTGTGAGTTTCATGGTTGGTTCTTGTTGATGCTAAAAAGAGCGAAAAGCAGAAAAAAAGAAAAAAAGTCCTCACGGTTGTTATGCTGACAAGATATTTTTCTGATAGTCTGGCTTTGGCGGAAGCTCGTTTGATTCTCGCCAAACTCATTTGGAATTTCGATTTTGAACTGGATGGAGACCATGAATCGTGGGTGGATGATGCCCGTTTCTACGTACGCTCCGCATCTATTACATACACATCTGTGTGTTACATGTATGGGCTTATTATACTAACAAGTCATCAGGTCTTGTGGGAACTTCAGCCGCTCAAGCTTCGTATTACACCAGTAGTACGGTAGTAGACTACGCAAGCCCCTTTCAGCATAGCCCCTGAACGCCACCTCTGTTGCTACTTCTCGTTCAGTGAATCTCTGCAGATGCACGACATTAAACTACCTTATAGATGCACACCCTCTGGGTTAAGCTCCAACCACTTTGCTCCACCCTCGTCTTTATCTGTGGTCTTCGCAGGCTTGCCAAACGACATCTGATACCCAGCGATCCCTTGAGGCCCCCGACACTCTCGCACAAAAGTCTTCGGGTGCACCCCTCCCCAGCTCATCTGACATTCCCGTATATACCGCAATTCATGTTCTGCAAAAGTCCAAGTCGGACCCGGAGTCTGCCAGATAACGAAGATATTGCAAATCCCAGCAGCCCTCTCTCCACCGAGCGAACGTACCCAGTCATACACATTGTTGAGTCCCGAAATATGGCTATAGCTCAAAAAGGTATTCTGGCCATAGAAAAGTTTAAGACCTGTATGTATATCGTCAGAGCCCATTATACATGTAGTAGCTACTCTATACTACTCTCTTCGTGTGACAGCGTGTTTATAATACCTTCACATCGGAATGCTCGAGAAACTCGCGTAATGGCTGGTTGAGCCAAGTGCAGTTCAGGTTCGGGCGGATCAGGTCTGCGTCCCTTGAGCACGGGGATGACGATGTCTTCTGAGCTGGTTACAACGGCGTGCTTGAGAACTTGGAGAATTAATTCGTCGGGCAGGTCAAGCAATGGAAATGACTTTGGGGCCACATGGTCGGTAACGGAAGTGGGAGTAGATGCGGACTGGGTGAGTGGGGTGGTGGAAGATGAAGACATAGTCGTGCGTGCAAGAGTAGTAGTAGTAATAGTAGTGACTGTCCGTCGAAAGATCTGTCTTGTTGGTATTTCAACGATGATATAAGATACAGTTCAATTGAGCTGTTGATGTTTGGATGGATGGTGGTAAAGAAGTCAGCGTTGACAGGAAGAGAGCCAGAGAGAGAACAGCACTTGCTCCATCCAACACCACATAGCCTCAACAATCGTGCCTCTCGTCTCCTACCGACTGTGGGTCGCGCCTACTAATCTTGCAGTCGCCATCGCCTCTACCATCACCCATCACTTCTCTACCTGCATTCACGACGAAGCCATGGGAAGGAACGTAGGCGACTCTTGACAAGACATCATGTCTGCCACAGTCGGCGAGATGGAGCAATAAGAGCACGCTCAGCGCAAAAGGTGAAGAGAGGACATGTGCAGGCGTGGCTGTCATCAATTCCCACTTGTACCATGGTATTGCCACGACTGAAGTGCGATTCGACGCATATGGGCTACAGGTTCCTGCACAAGAGGATCAGTATGGGACACAAGGGCACTCGAAGACAGGGCAAAGAGATGATACTGCATGTCATTTGTCCTGTTCAACCCATGTTTTTAACTCTTTACCAGTCTGATGTTACACTCTGGCTCGTGCTGACCATGCCAGTCAACGTGAATGCAACGCCACTGGCCATCTCCCGGAGTATATTACAATCTGAAGAGAACTCGCCATTCGCCCGCATTGTGACACAGCCACAGGGGATGCGTATGGACGATGCATGGAGAAGAGACGCACCAGCGTGAAGTGAATAAACATAACCGCCACTTTTCGCTGTTCGCCGATGCACCCAAAACGACCTTGTCAAAGTCCCCTCTCGAGTCCATCCATCAATCCCGTGAGAGTACAGTCTAGAGACGGGACTACTCGTGTGATTTCCCTCCCTTTTACGTTGCAAACCAGGTAAAAGACTCGTATGTGCTGGTGTGAAAGCGCTCGGTCCTAGCACGTGCATCTAATTCCATTAGTACTCATAGGCCAGGTGAAGGTGATAGTAATCACCAGTAAGGCCGCTCCGCATATGGCTCGCGACCTCCGCCGCTACCACCGCCGTAGCCTCTGCCGCCGTCTCTCGGCGGACTGCGCGGACGCCCAGCGTATGGCTCACGGCCGTGTCCGTTCGCGTACGGCTCTGGCTCGTATCCTCCACGACGTGGTGGTGGAGGATAGTCATCCACTGGTGGGCGTCCGCCGCGAGGTGGACCATAGTAGTCATCAACCGGGGGACGACCGCCGCGTGGTGGGCCATAGCGGTCATCGCGAGGATCACCGCCATAGTAGTCGCGCGGCGGTGGAGTGCGACGACGGTAGTCGTCACGGCGTGGGCTGTAGCCACGAGGTGGACCACGACGATCGTAGTAATCGTCAGGTGGTGGGCCATAGCCGCCGCGACCACCGCCGCGGAAGCCAGGCGAACGAGATCGAAAGCGCTCGCGCGGTCGTGGAACATCCGCTTGGGGCTGTATGAGGTCAGTATGGAAACATCTGGCAAAGACATTGTTGAAACTTACATCAGAGATGCAGCGGACAGTGGCACCCTTGAACTCGGAGTTGTCGAGCTTTTCGACCGCAGACGCTAGGTCGGCAGCAGTCTCGTACTCGACAAATCCTTTGCCAGTGCCGGCAGGGTCACGCTCGCGGTTGACCTCGCTGTAGACAACATCGAGTCCGGATTGACGAGCGAAATCCTTGAGGTCCTGTAGCGAATGGTAAGTTCAGGTTCAAAAGCATACCTCCAAGCTGTCAAAGCTAGAATCAAGGATCGTGCCGCCCCAAGCATGCCCTAGGACAGCATAAGGGGACGGTAATAGTATTCAGGAGTCAGGGGACTGCTTGTTACTGACCTGCCAGCTAGTCTCAAAGGGAAGACCGGTAATGGTCATGCGATGGACAGTACGCCTTGGTCGGGGAGCCATCCGCGGTTGGTGCTCGAAGCCTTCACGAGGACGAGTGGAGCCTCGAGCGAACTGGACCACAAGTCGTTCACCCATAAACTCCGATCCATCTAGCCAGCGAAAGATGTCAGCAGTCGAGAGCATTACCAGAACGACAAGGGGAGGTAATGAGGGAGCCCAACGGCGTGTGAGGCATTGAGGAGGGTGAAGTGGGTGGGTTGGTTGTACATACGGAAAGCTAGATGGCGGGTTAGCAAGTCCAGCATTATGATGATGCGACACACTAGCAGACACTTACCTGGAACGACATCACGCGCATCCATGGCATCTTTGTACTCGATGAAGCCAAAGCCATTCATCAGCTTGATCTCGGTAATCTCGCCGGTGCCATGGGTGTTGAAGTGGTTCTCAACATCGGCCTTGGTAGCTGTATCACGAATTCCGGTCAGCGTTGCCAGGTCAGGACTCTCGGTCGGCTGGCTGGCTGGATGGTGCGAAGGCCAATAAAGCGCCAGCTCCGGCTCCAGTCCGACACGAAGCGCAGAAAATGGGGCACAGAACATAAGGAGCAAGGCAGCGGCAGAGATGGCCAGTTCCTCCTTCCATGCTCACGATGTATATTGCGCGGGGCCACACGAGTGTCCAACCAGAACAGGCCATCCTGCTTATCCATTGAAAGTCCACAGGAGAGAGAGCGTACCATTGCGTGGGAGGTTCCCTGTAGCGAGACACCGTTAGCCATGTGTTGTGTCGCATGTCGTCCGCCCTGCCATTACAGCAGAGGTGCAGGCGCAGAAAGTATGCACGCGCGCGTGCGCGTGTCAGCGCGGCGCAGCGCAGCGCAGCGCCAATGAGGCAATGGGCGAGGAGGTTCGATTGTTACTTACCCAGATAGAGCCGGGTGTTGCTGACGCCAGACTCGGCCATGGTGGTGGTGAAGGTGCGGGCGCGGGCGCGGGCGCGGTGATGAAGGAGCGATGGAAAGCTTCTCGAAGTCGCCTTGTCCGGGCGCGGTGCGTGGTCTGAGGGAACGTGAGCGAGAGGCAACGGAAGGCCGGGCGGCAGCAGCAAAGAGAGGCCCCTGGTGGCAGTGGCAGCGTCAGTGTGGTGAGGGAGAAGGTAAGGGAGGGTGGAAGGGTGGTGGGAGTGGGAGTGGCGGTGGTGGATGTGACTGTAATGGCGAGGCGGAAGGAAATTTGCAGTCGAGTCGACGGCGAGGTGTACGGAGGACGATAGCAGGTACAGGTAGGTAGGGCAGGCGGCGGGACTGTGCAGTGAGGCAGAAGTCAAGGCCAATCACAGCGGGAGGAAAATGCGTTGTCAGCAAAGCATAAGTCGCGGTGCAGCATTGACTGGTACCGCTGCCCGCGTAATATGAGCAGATCTGCGTCGCGGGTCACGCAGTTCTCGTAGAAAGTGAAGGTATAGCACGGGAAAGGACGAGAACTAGTTGGTCGGTCTACGGCGCTGGATATGTGCTGGATATGTGCTGGCACATAATCAAATAATGCGCTCCACTTGTATCACTGCCGCACTCGATTTGCAAAAGTCGCGGCACTGCACCGGCACCAGCACACATGCCAGTGCCACACAATGGAAAGCTCCCGCTGATGAGATCACTCTGCAAGGCCGAGGCTAGCCAGAACTCGTATCAATGGGCGGTTGTGGAAGTAGAGGGTGATCCTGACCATCGTTTCGCCTCATCTTGAAAGCCTGCTCCGGTAGCAACTGGTCCACTATGGTTGTCCCGACTATCCTTTCCGCAGCTGCGAGGCGTCAACTGGTGCATGTTCCCGACTTGTCCAGATTCGCTGCGAGGACACGGCCAATTGCCACTACGGGCTCCATCGCCGCAAGATGTCTCGTCAGAGGCTACAGACCAGCTGCAATCACTGCAGGACAGAGGCGGACCATATCAAACACCACACGACGACGGTTCGCATCAGTCGACGACGATTGGACAGATCCACTGCAGCAAGAGCGAGAATCAGATGAGGTCGACATATGCATCGTCGGTGGCGGACCAGCAGGACTGAGTGCCGCTATCAAGCTGAAGCAGCTGGCAAATGAAGCTGGCAATGAGGACTTCCGTGTGGTGCTGTTGGAGAAGGCGGGCGAGGTTGGCGACCACATCGTGTCGGGAAACGTACTGGAACCATCAGCTCTGGATGAGCTGATCCCAGACTGGAGGTCAGAGGATAACCCCAACCGCTTCGAGAACATCACGCCTGCCACCAAGGATAAGATGAGGTTTTTGACCAAGTCGAGTTCCCTCCCCATGCCTGCGCCCCCGCAAATGAACAATCACGGAAACTTCATTCTCAGTCTGAATGAGTTGTCCAAGTGGCTTGGAGAGAGAGCCGAAGAGATGGGAGTGGAAGTGTACGCAGGGTTTGCAGCATCGGAAGTGCTATACACAAAGGAAGGAGCTGTCAAAGGAGTGGCCACAAACGATCTGGGCATTGGGCGAGATGGGAAGCCCAAGGACTCTTTCGAGCGGGGCATGGAGTTTCACGCACGATGCACACTGCTTGCCGAAGGCTGCCATGGTAGCTTGACGAAGAAGGTCATCAAGAAGTATGACCTTCGAGCGAACAGCGCGCCTCAGACATATGGACTCGGCATCAAGGAGGTATGGGAAATCGACCCAGCAAAGTTTGACAAGGGTCTTGTAGCACATTCAATGGGATATCCCTTATCAAAGGATACGTATGGCGGTGGCTGGATGTACCATTTTGGCGAGAACATGGTCTCCATTGGTCTCGTGGTAGGCCTCGACTATCCCAACCCGTGGATGGCACCCTACCAAGAATTCCAAAAGATGAAGCAGCATCCGTACTACAAACAATATCTCGAAGGAGGCAAATGCATATCATACGGTGCACGAACACTCAACGAAGGAGGCTTCCAGAGCATTCCCAAGTGTGCTTTCCCTGGAGGTGCTCTCATTGGTGACACAGCCGGGTTCCTCAATGTCCCCAAGATCAAAGGTACCCACACAGCAATGCGCTCCGGCATGCTCGCAGCAGAAGCCGCCTATTCCGCCCTCTCATCGAGCAAGGACACCGAAGGCGCCGTGTTCCTATACGACTATGAAGACAAGCTGCGCAATAGCTCGATTTGGAAAGAACTCAAACAAGTACGTAACATGCGTCCCTCTTTCCATACTGCCCTCGGTCTATATGGCGGAATCCTCTACTCCGGACTCGAAGCTTTCCTCTTCCGTGGCTACACACCTTGGACACTCAAGCACGGCAAACCCGACCACTTGGCAACCAAGCCCGCAGACCAATGCTCCAAAATCGAATACCCCAAACCCGACGGCAAGATCTCCTTTGACATTTTAACTTCCGTCTCTCGAACCGGTACCAATCACGAGGAAGACCAACCCTGTCACTTGCAAGTCCAAGACTGGGACAAACACGCCGAGAGCCAATATCCCAAGTACAAGGGCGTAGAGAATCGCTTCTGTCCCGCAGGAGTGTATGAATATGTAGAAGATGAGAGCAAAGACTTGGGTGTGCGATTCCAAATTAACGCGCAGAATTGTGTCCATTGCAAGACGTGTGATATCAAAGTTCCGGCGCAGGATATCAATTGGCAAACACCACAGGGTGGGGAAGGGCCCAAGTATGTGATGACATGAGAAAAATAGTCCAGAAGAGAGAGAGGAGAGGAGAGGCGAGGCGAGAATCTCTATGTAAGGTACCTAGTTAGGGATGGGTACCTTATCATATTGATTGTGTTCATGTAGGTAGCCTACCATTTAAGTAAGGTACCTTAAGTTCAGACTATACAGGTAGGAGATAGTAGGTATAGAGCTATAGAGCGGTCAATCACATTTGGCGTTCACAGTTATACGAACAATACATGCAAAAAATTGTATATACATCCATCTATACATCTATCCATCGGCATTATTGCTTCTGTCGAAAAGTGGTAGGTACAGGTAGGTAGGATGAAGAGACCCTCAGTATGGGAGGTATGAGAGAGCTCAGAAAAGAAAAGAGAGCGCAGTTTTCGAATTCGAGAAAAAATCTACCGGACTGTCTCAATAATAAGGTAGTCAGTCGTAAGTAGGTAGGTAGGTATTTTGTATCTGACCAGCATCCATGAATCAATCCGGAACGCCAACGCTTGCTGCTGGAACCATAAGGTACCTAACCCATCACCACAACCACAATATCAACACATCTCCCGCGGCACTGAAAACCTACGTAAATACATTTCCCAAATTGTGCTCCTTCAAATACTCTCCGCCCTTCTCGAGCCATTCTTCCTTGGTCACAAAACTTCTCCTACTGGGGCTTGTGCTCGCCCATTTCGCCGCACCTTTCCAAGCGTCCAGGACGGGATCTTGAGCTCGTCTCACGCCCAGTGCGACTTCACTGGGCAAGACCGCGCGGAGTTCATCGTGCAGTCTCTCTTCGAAGTTTTGGAACAGAGTGTAGCCACCAGTCACGAAGACGTCCTTCAAAATGTCATTGCGGCTGGGATGGGATGAGAGTCTCTGCATCACAATGTCCTCTGCAATCTCCACGAGACCGGCCTGGTCGACTCCTGCTATGCTCGGCTGGAAGAGGACTTCGGGAACTCGGATTCGCTCGACATTGAGGTGGAATTGGTTGCTTTCCTTGGCACTTTCTGCATCGAAAGGGTAGGGTCCGCGAGTGAAAGCATGTACCAGACTTTTGGTCCAGTCCTTTTGTTGTTCGAGCGTGCTTTCGATTGTGAAATTGGGATCATGAGCAAGTAGTTGTGCTTCAATGGTTTTGAGCTGTCCTTGGAAGTCTTCCTCTTCATCTTCCTCATCGTCGTCCTTGCCCGCTTGAATCTCGCGATAGACCATCCAGTCGTCGTCATCAGCACCAAATCCATCGTCATCGTTACCACCACGCCTTCGTTTCTTGGTTGGCTGATCAGAGGCGAGGTTGGCGATCTGCTTCATACGCATCTGAGCAGCCATCGACTTGCGATTTCCAAGCTCAGACTTGAGGCGCTCGCGTTCTCTAATCTTTTGTATTACCGCCGAACGAGCCGCGCGTCGCTCCTCTACCCAACTATCGAGATCCGCTTCTCGCCTCAAATCGTCTTGTCGTTGTAGCTCTGCTTGGCGAGCCTTCTCTGCTTCCTTTTCAGCCTTTGCTCTAGCTCGCGCGTCATGGTTTGCTTTGAGCAGTTTCTGTTGCCTCTTGGCTTTGATGCCTTCTTCGTCTAGATCGGCATCAGGGATGTCGAGCAGTGGGTATGTGGGCTCTTCGACGACCTCTTCTTCCAGATCGCCCACATCTTTGTTTCTTTGCTTCCGTATGCTCTTCTCCATCTCAATCACCCTCTTGTTGAGCTGGTTTTCGTCTTTGAACTCTTCGTCATCCAAAATTGCCCGAATCTCTTTCTTGGTTGTCGCGTCTGCAATCTGCTGCTGCACCTGCTTGAAGTACTCAACTTCCTCTTCTTTGCGAATCAGCTTCTCCAGCCTCATCTTCGCAGCCTGCTCTTGCAATCGTCTGCCACCCTCTCGTCTTTTCTCCTCGGCCCGCTTGATTTCCTCCTCCGTCTTCTGCACGACCTCCTTCTCCTGGAATGGAAGCTGCACGACGCGATCTCGATCTTCCAGGCCACTCCAGTCCAGCATGCCTTTCATCTCATTGTCGTAATCTCGACTAACGTAGCAATGCTTTCTAACCAAGTCCTCGATTTGCGTATCGTTCACCTTCCCGGTGGTCAACAAGCCGGGATATTTGATCCTTAACAGCCTTTCTAGAAAAGCCGCGCATTGAGCTCTGCCCCAGTCTAACCTCGTAGCGGCACTGATCATAGGCTGCTTATTCACCACAGGAATCAGATGCGTGCTCATATTCGCGCTCGACACCACCAGACCAGTATTTCCCTCATTCTGATGATAGCTGAACAGGCTGTCCACTCCATATGCAACCGACGGCACGCCATACAGCTCAAACAACACCTCACTCATCACTTTTCTCGTGTAGAGCGTGTTCGCCAGAGGTTCTGTCATAACAATCGGCCTGTCAATGACTTCCTTCCCATTGTCTCCCAGTCCCAGCTTGAGGAAGACATAATCCAGTACACCCTCTTGCACATCCCAGTTGTTGACAATATTGCTCCCAGGTTCGTAAACGTTCTTCGCCTGCCCTCTTGCGGTGCCATCAAAGAAGATCTCCGAGCCGATGAAGTTCAGCTTACGATTCAATTTCCTATCGGTATAGCGCGCCATGAGCGGAGGAAAGACGAGACGAGGAGAGGTGTCGGATTGCCAGCCGGCGCGTATGGAAGATGAGCCATTGTCGATGATGATGGCCGTATCTGGAGTGGAGGAAAGGTAAGTGGACGTATCGGGTGTGAGCTGGCCCTGGTAGGGAGGATCGCTAACGGTATGGACGGTGGAAGGAGGAGGTTTCGGAGAGTTGCGGCCCTCGGTCGTTCTGATGGGGACTGTGTAATGAGGCATGGCGAGTGTTGATGAAGCACAAAGATCAGCTATGGCATGGTCTGTTTCGGTTTCTGTTGTCGTCGCTGTCACTGTGCAAGCTCAGTCGCAAGGTGAAGGTGAAGCATAAGTGCATAAGGTAGTAGGTGATGTCAAACGCTATAGCCGGGCACAAGGTAGAGCTCACGTTCCTGCCAAGCCACCTCATGCTAGCCATTGCTAGGTAGTCCAGCGTCTAGCGTCTAGCGCTTAGGGCCTGTTCAGTAGGCGTTTGGTCAACCTGCGACAGGTCAGTCGACAGGTTGCTCGACGTGTCGATTCTTACCGAACATATACGCTTAATACTCGTAGATAGCCGTACGTACGAGTTGACCTGCTGTCCTGTTTGTTTCGTATATTGTTCAATAGATTATTCCGTATCGTACTGTAATATAAAGAATTTGCCTCGGGGATACCCGCGTAGGACGACCTTATACTATACTACAGTTGACTACCTACTAGGTATAGTATCTACCTACCTATCCGTATAGTTGTATTAGGCTCGCGGCGAGTAAGTCTATATATAATTACCTATCTACTAACTTGAATATAGTATCTATTACTCTCTAGAACGTACCTTCTCGTCTACCTCGTCGCCTACCTCGCTATTATTACTACTTTTAGTATACCTCCTCGAACTAAGCGCAATACCGGTAAGAGTTAGAACTAACTCTTTAATAAGAAGGTAGAACGTAATGCTACCGCTACTACCGTACTACGAGGTACCCGTCGGAATAGAGCGATAACTATAGAGGATATACCTATACCCCTATTACTACGCCCTAATATACCTACTAGAGCTTCTTCGTAGTCTTAGCTATATACTGTTCTATAGGACACTCCTACTTAATTATAGGACGATTTCCTATCTATAGGTATACTTAATCCAATTCTCGGAGATAGTATAGGCTAGTTCGGCGAGAGTTAGCCCTCTATAGACGTTAACAACTACGATCTATATAGGACTTAATCCTAGGACCCTACTAGTTATATCCTTAAGGAGGAGGATAAGGATACCTACGAGATAGGTAGCGGAGGTAGTATAGATAACGATATAGAGGAAACGTAGGTTAATAGCAGTTAGAAGAAGGTATAGCGGGCGAAGTTTATATAGGACAAAGAGCGAGTACTCGAACTTAAGGCACTTAAGATATACTCGGACTTTATATACTTAAATCGTTATAGAATTAGAGGTAGAGGTTTGAGGGCTAAGGAGAAAGCTATAATTGTAGCCGTAGTAATAAAGAGTATAAGAGAGATATACCTAGAGCATACAGAGCGGCTGTTATTAGTGTTTTCCTAGATAAAGACAAAGTTTGATTAGTACTAGCGCAAGACTACTACTATTAAGCGTCTCTTAGAGGTTAGTAGTTAGAGTATAGATTAGAAGACTAGTATTGTAACGGCGAGGAATAAGATATAGAATAAGTATATACTTATAGACAGTTATAAGGAGGCTCGCTAGTTATATAAGAACCCTTTGCCTAGAATTAAATAGTATCGTAATATATAGGGTACGAAGACAGTAACTAGAGAATTCGCTACTAGCGGCGCTATAGCTGTATTAGTTATAGCGAAGGCGAAGTAGGACAACAAGCGCAAGCGCCTACTTAGTAAGGAATACCCTACCTATATAGCTTCGGAACTAGAGGAGACTATACTAACTAACGAGCAAGAGGAGATAGATAATCCTAATATACTAGGACTAAGTAGTACTAATACTCGTCGCGCCGGGGCAACGCCTATCTTGTCTAAGCGAGACAGTAGTACCCGGAAGGTTTCTATAAGAGTAGGGGTATATAGTAATATATAGAGCGTCCTTCCTACTACGTAGGAAAAGGAACAAACTAATTCTTGTCCTTCGGAAAGGAGAGAGCGGCGTCGTATAATATACCCCTACGCTAAGCATACGTAGGCGCTACGCCGCGCGGGCAGTCGCCCGATAGCCGATCGCCCGACGACTCGGATCGTACTACTCCTATAGCCTGTCCTGCCTTAGGCTAACGTACCTTAGACTTAAATACCTAACCGCCCCCTAGGGCTATATACCTCTAGGCCTAGCTGTTATAATTATCTCCTCTCCCTAATAGAGCTATCTCTAGCAATATATTCTACGTATCGTATACAGAGCGTATACAGAGCGTATATAGAGATGCTTATATTCTATATAGAGGCTAGTCGTTATACTAGGAATCCTAGTAGTTACCCTAGGGTATTCTATATAGTAGAATATAAGGAAGTTAATAGAATGTAGAATACGATAGAAGAAAGCCCGCCTAGCAATAGGTAGTAGCAACGAGTAAGTATATTTCGTCCTCTATACTATATCTTTTTCTTCGTTCCTTAGTTCTTCTCTAAACTATTTTTTTAGGAAAAACTCTAAGCTCTTCGTACTATCCTCGTAACCTATATATACGAGATATGCCTCCGAAGTACGCGATAGCTATAAAGGTACCTAAGAAACCTGTTCTAGAGCGCGATCCGCGTCGCGGTTATACTACGGCTAGAGCGTACAACATTTGCCTCCGCTATATAGAGTATATATTTAAGGGTACGTCGACACCTGCGCGTTACGTACGCCTTACCTACGTTTCCTTACTAATCTAATAGTAGTAGACGCGAACGGCGTCGCCGAGTACGCCTATAACGGCGTAATAGCTTCTAGCCGAAAGAAGAAGTATTAGAGGTACGCGAAAGGGCGCTACGCGTACGAACGTATAGTAGACCTAGACCTGCTTCGGTAGGCGCGCTACCTATACGTCCTACGTACGGCGCTTTGTTCTTATATAGCCGGTATACGCTCGGTATAGGTAATACGGCGCTTATAGCGGCTAGGGGGTAAGATTCTAGAGAGCAAGAAGGTGCTTGCCTCTAATAAGGGCAAGGCCGTCGGCGTCTACGAGACGCCGAAGAAGGGTAGTAGTAGTAGTAGTATAGTTAGCGCGCCGGCGTCGAGCGCTCTAGCCGTAGCCGACTACCTAGAGATAGCAAAAGCTACCTCGGCCCTTTAGGGCATTTTTAAGCTATAGTACAAGGTAAGTTTTGTCGCTTCGTACCCTACTTATAGGCGTCGCTAACGTCTGTCGTAGATAGCTCGCTTAGCCGGCGCCGCCGGTACTGCCTTAGATAGTATAGTAGCGACCGCGTATCCCGATTACGGTAGTTAGGAGCCGTACCTATTAGACGGCGAGGCTAAGATAAGCCTGCCTAGCAATAGCGACGACGACGACGACGACGACGACGACGGTACCGGTAACGGTACCGGTCCTACCGTTCCTCCTATTAGCTCTACTCCTACTACTCCCTCTTCTAGTACTACTAGTACTAGTAGTACCGTAGGTGCCTAACCCTCTCGTCGCGTTCGGTTAGCCTACGCTTCTAGTACGCTGCGCGTGTTTTTAGTATTTTGTTTGTATATAGTATTCCTAGCTCGGCCGGTTAAAAGCAAATTGATTCTTAATCGTTCTACCTACGTCTCGCTTATACTATACTACTACGTTTCCGCTACGCTTCGAACTCGTCGAGGGCGGTATACTTACTAATATACTCTTTAGGTTCCTATTAATCGAATTCCTCGGGCTAGCTACGCTAGCGTACTAAGTACTATCGGATGCCCTTCCTTAAGCGCGTATCTAAGATCTTTTCTACCTCGTAGAGTCCCTCTTTATCGGCGAGTAGGAGGGTTCCCTTCTACGCGTTACCTACGTAGCCCTTATAGGGCTCGAGGTATAAGACGTAGAAGACGTTATAGATCTAAGATCCTACTAGTAGGGCTAGGCAGTACGCCTGCTTCCCTACGATATCAATTACCTTAAATAGTCCTACGAACTTATTTACGAACTTCTTCGTAGGTACCTTTAATCTTAGGTTCTTAGTAGACAGTAGTACTATATCCCCTATCTTAAACTCTATTATAGTATGCTTCGCGTTGAAGTACTTCGCCTACGCTTTACTAGCGCGTTGCTAGCGCTTACTTAGAGTTTCGTAGTTCCGTTTCAGTCTCTCCGTAGCGTCTACTATAGCCGGTACCTCCCTCTCCGTAAGCTCGCCCTAAGCGTTACGCGTGCGGCGTACTTATCGCTAGCTCCGGGTTAAATCTATATAATACTTTAAATAGTAATATCTTTAATATAGCGTAGTGACGTAGTCGCTATTGTTATACGCGAATTCAGCTTATATTAGTATACTAGCCTAATCGTCCTACTACTCTAAGTAGTAGATATATAGGTATATCTCGATTATCTAGTTTATCCGTTCGGTTTAACCGTCGGTTTGCGTATAGAACGCTGTACTAAGCCTACGTTTTACCTACGCCTTATAATAGAAGTCTAACTAGAACTAGCTTATAAACACCGAGCCTCTATCGCTTATAATATCCGTAGGTATACCGAACCGTTATACGATTTCGTTTACTAGAATATCTACTAGATCTACGCTAGTACATTTCTTCGTAGTTAGTATAAAGGTTACTATTTTAGTATACCTATCGACGATTACGAGGATCGTATCGTAGACGCGGTCGCCGCGCTTGCTTAGCGGCAAGTCTATAATAAAGTCCTAGGTCAATTCTTAGAACGGCCTTTCTAGTATAGGCAGCGCGGCTAGTTCGCCGTATAGACGGTAGCGTCGCGCTTTCGACTTTTAATAGGCGTCGTAGGTAGCGACGTACTCTACTACCTCGGTAGCTATCTCTAGCTATAAGTACTTTCTTCGGATTAAGGCCGTTGTCTTATCCTTCCCGAAGTATCCTACTAACGGGTCGTTATAGTATATATATATTAGCTATACTCTAAGGGCGTAGTCCTTAGGTATATACAGTGCGTCGCCTACCTATAAGTTGCCTTCCTAGGCGATATAGTCCTCGAATACGCTCTAGTTGCTTATCGTCTACTTATATACTACGTATACGTTAGGTTCTATCTAGACGAGCGCGCGGGTATATATTAGAATCAAGTCGGAGACGTTTGCGTACGGTTATTCGTCTTTTAATACTACTTAGACGACGCGGATAGGCAACGTACAGTACTACTATAGGTTAGCGTCGGTACTTCTCTTAACGCCGCGGTACAAGCAATCGCCGGTAATATAGATATACGATACCTTCGGACTGTCTGCTTCTAGTATACGTCTATCCTATAGCTATAGCTTAGTTTGTAGGGTAGGGAGGAGGTTAGTTACCTTACGCGACTCTCGTACGTAATCGCTACGTCGCGATAGACCGTCGGCTAGGTTCCGTTTGCCTGCCTAGTAGGTAATAGTAAAATCGAAAGCCGCTAGGAATATCGCCTAACGGGCCTATCGACCTATAAGTTTCTTTACGCCTATAAAGCCTCTTAAATTAGCGTAGTCGACAAGTACCTTAACTATATACTAGGCGCCTTCGTAGTACGGCCGCTAAGCTTTGAATAATTCGACTACCGCTAATAATTCCGAGTCGTATATCTCGTAATTACATTCTATAGGGATTATCTTATAGGAGTAGAAAGCAATAGGATACTACTTAGAGCCGAAGAGTTAGCTTAGGATACCTACGATAGCAAACGCCGAGGCGTCGCTTTCGATTCGTAGCTATAACGCTAGGTTAAAATACCTTAATAGGGGTACTTACTAGAAACGCTGCTTAATCTCTTGAAATGTATACTCCTCGGCTACGCCCTACTAGATCGGTCCTAGCTTCCTACCTTTTACGGCTCCCTTTAATAGCGCCGTTAAGAGTACTACAATCCTCGAGTACTCGAAGATAAATCTACGATAAAAATTCGTAAATCCTAGAAAGGACTATACCTTTGTTAAGATAGTTAGTATTAGCTACGCTCCGATTACGTCTACCCTACGAGGGTCTATTTTTACGCCGCCGGGGGTTACGACGAACCCGAGGTAATCGACCTCCTTTATAAAGAATTTGTACTTTGCGCGCTATACGTAGAGTACGAATTTGCGGAGCCTCTTAAGTACTTCGCGTACGTCCTTTATATACTGCTCGTGTATTTTACTATAGATAAGGATATCGTCGAGGTATACTATATAGGTAATATCGACTAATCCTGCTAGGGCTCTATTAATATATATCTAGAACGTTGCCGGGGCGTTAGTTAGACCGAAAGGTATAACCTTATACTAGAAGTAGCTATAGCGCGTATAAAACGCAGTCTTCTAGCGGTCGCTTTCCTTAATCTTAATACGGTAGTAGGCATCGGCTAAGTCTAGGTACGTAAACTACTCGGCTTCTATAAGCCTGTCTAGCGTTTCGCCTATAAGGGGTAGAGGATACCGATTTTTTACCGTAATTTCGTTTAGACCGCAGTAGTCTATATATAATTGTAGTAAACTATTCTTCTTTAGTACGAACAGTACCGGCGCGCCTACTTTACTTATACTAGTCTTAATCTAGTCGTGTTCTAGTATATTAGTAATATATTTATATAGGTACTTAAGTTTAGCGCCGGACTAGTAGTACAACGGTCGGAACGGTAGAACGGTGCCTAGCCGTAGGTCGATCGTATACTCTACGCCGTCTACTAGTTTGCTACGCTATTCGTCTATAGGAAACAAGACGTCGTAGTAGTCCCGATATTCTATTAGTAACTCCGTAAGCTCTAACCCTACGTCTGTCCTACGTACTATTACTACGTATACGTAGGACGAGTTCTTTAGATCCTTAAAGAAATTAGGTACCTCTCGGACCTTAACGTATAAGTACTCGCTACTATAGCGCTATTCGTCGGTAGTACTATCTACTACTACTTACTAGGTACGACGCTACGGCTATCCTAGGATAAGATTAGGTTCCGGTATGTTATAGGTATAAAACAAGCCGCCTATCGTACGCTCGTTACCTATAGAGTCTATAAGGGTTATACGGATATAGTACGCTCTATAGTAGTAGCCTAACTAGCCTATAAACGAGCTCGCCGGCGGTAGGAGTACGTTCCTACGGACTGCGAGGTTGTGCTTTAGTACGAAGCTACGCGATACTACGTTAATATTAGCGGTATCGTCGAGTAGTATAGTAGTAGAGGTATGCCCCTTATACGTCTCGACTTGTCCTTCGAGGACGCGGGTATAGTATACCTAGATAGGCAAGGGGGTATCGCTATTAAGATAGGTATCTAGAGCTTACGACTCTCCTCTAATACCTTCTCTTTTTTCGGCGCTTACTCTTTAGGTACGGTAATCCTACGAACTGTATTCGCCTTATCGCGGCTCGCGTAGTTAGGGTATACGGAGTTAGTTGCGATATGTCCCTTCTTCTTATAGGAGTAATATTCTAGGTTCTCGTACCCTCGTACTATCGACGTTACTACGGTCGATAAGGTACGTCTATCGCGTAGGGCCCTGCTCTTACTTCGATCCTATCGATCGTCGCGGCTTTGCGGTACGTCGCTCTCGGTACGCTTACGTTTGCCCTATATACTATAGTCGCGCTAATAAGGCTCGTCCTTAGTATAGACTACTAGCGCGTTGTCTACTTGCTCGAGGCGCCTTACTAGGTTTACGAGCTCTACTCGCGTATTAGGGATAGTATATCCCTTAACGATGTCCCTATATAGCGACGGCTTTAACTTAGCGAGGAAGTAGCGTATTAGCTACGCCTGCGTATAGTCAAACTAGGCTTCTAGATAACTAAGCTATACTACGAAATAACGGACGCTCTAGTCCGGGCCTTAACGTACCCTTTTATACTCGATTATTATACCGATCTAACGGTTCGACTAATCGCCGACGGTATTATAGAGCTATCCCTTAAATTTCTTCTAAGTATAGTCCTCGGGGATTACGTCGGAATACTCGTTATACTACGTCTCCTACGCTTCGCCTACGAGCTATATAATACTATATAGGACCTTGTCTTAGTCGGTTCGATATTCTCGGAAGGCGCTAAGGAAGACGACCTCGAGGTGCCTAATAAAGTTACAGTACTCTTTGTCGGTATCTCCTTTAAAGGGCTTTAGTTCCCGAATCTTAGGACCTCTATATAGAGAATACGAGCTATATAGTAGGTTCGTAGCCTGTCCGCGTACGTCGCGTAGATCTATTAACCTAAGGTCTTCTTCGAGCCCGTTAAGAAGGTCGGGCTCGGCGTCGTCGTCTATAGTAACTATAACGGTTAGGGTTAGTACTCGGCCCTAAATTTGTTCCTATAGACGTTGGTTTTCCCTCTCGAGGGCCTAAACTTCTAACTCTATATAGAGACGCTAATTTGCCTCCTCGAGCTATATACGTCTAGTATACAGGTCGGCTACGTAGGCTTCTAGCTAGGTAGGAGCCTTCTCGAAAGGAGTCTCCCCTAGGTTCCTGTCTGCCTAGGCACTTATAGAGCCCGATACCGTCTCCTCGGAAGGTTAGGCATCTTCGTCTACTTCGCCGATAACGCGGCCCGCCTATACTATAGCTACGGCACGGTCGCGTTGTTGTCGTAGGGCTATAGGACCTCTATAGATTACTACCCTTTAGAAGGATAGAAGAATTAGAAATATAAGAGTAGGGGTATATAGTAATATATAGAGCGTCCTTCCTACTACGTAGGAAAAGGAACAAACTAATTCTTATCCTTCGGAAAGGAGAGAGCGGCGTCGTATAATATACCCCTACGCTAAGCATACGCAGGCGCTGCGCCGCGCGGGCGGTCGCCTAATAGCCGATCGCCCGACGACTCGGATCGTACTACTCCTATAGCCCGTCCTGCCTTAGGCTAACGTACCTTAGACTCAAATACCTAACCGCCCCCTAGGGCTATATGCCTCTAGGCCTAGCTGTTATAGTTTCTAGTACTGAATTGCTTAGTATCTAGATAAAAGAGGCCTTTAAGGTTATCGCTAATACTAAGCTTGTACTAGAGCGTAAGCTTTTAGAGGCGAGGGATTTGATATAGCAGTTCTATACTTCTCGTATCTACTAGCAAGCTTGTCTACGGTTATTTAATAAGTAGTCCTAGTAAGTCGCTATATACGTAGAGAGTAACTATAAGTATCGCCTTCGGTTTATAGCTACTATCTAGAGCGACTATAATACAGACGACAGTTTTGACCGTAAGGTAGCTTATATTAATCTCCTCCGTAATCGACGCTAGAAGCAGCTTGCTCGTATTACTAAAGCCGACGCCGTAGGCCGGAAGAGTTATACTATACTTACTCGCTACGATGTTATCGAGGGTATTGATCTAGATATAGTAAGACTATATAAGATTAGGCTCTCTAACTTAGACGAGGAGAATACGGACGAGGAGGTAGAGCGACGTTCCGCCGCTACGCCGGACGTATTACGGATAATTGAATAATTGAATAATTAAATAATTGAATAATTTGGTTAGGCCCCGGGGGCCTAACCAAATTCCGAGTTATACTACGGTCTTTACTACTTACTACTTAAGGTATATTATAAACTGTATCTTATTATATATATCTCTAAGTCTTGGACTATTCTACTATATACTTCTTATATAGTAGCTTTCAAGGTACCTCGTATACCTCCCTAACCTTCTGACCTTTAGTAATAAGATAGTATATATAGTCTTACTATATATCCAAGGCAATCCTATTATAGAGCTTGTCTATCTTACGCTCTTGCTTAGCCTTAGAAGCAACCGTTAGCTAACGTATTGTTCCTCGCTAATTAAATATATCCTCTAGCTACGGTATTAATATATCTTTCTCTATATAGGCGATCTCGTCCTTAAACAGAGCGTCGTTAGTATTAGCCCTTCTAATAAAATTGTATAGCGCTACAAGCGTATAGACTAGCTGGATCTATATATATATATAGAGTACTTTGTACGCTTCTTAAGGATATAGAATCGATTCTTAAGTACCCCGAATACTCGTTCTACTATATTGCGGAGTAAGGAATAGCGTAGATTAAAGAGCTCTTTCTTATCTATAGGGCGTAAGTCCGCCTACTGTTTACTAGTACGTATCGTAGAAACTATAGGTTAGAGCTATTCCTTTAGGTAATACCTTATACTACCGGCAAATAGTAGTATAGTTATATCTAAGGAGATATATCTAGCGTCCGCAACGTAGTACTTCCCCTTTAGAAGAGTACTACTAAATCCCTCTATATCCCTTATATAACTAAGTACTATAATATCTGCTATAGATCCCTCCTAGCCTATAACTTATAAGGACGTAGGTAAATAGTATATTGAAGTCTACGACAGCTAGTACGTTTTAAGAGAGATCTCCCTTCCTATTTCTATATAGCTTCGTCTCTCTAATAACGTAAGACTTAATATAACTACTATCTAGTACCCCTATATAGTCCTTAAAGTATAGGTAGAACTTAGAGTTCCTTAATATCCGTTCCGGGACAGCTATATAGTCTAGCTCTCTTACAACCTCCGGGTATATCGATAATAATACCGTAAGTATAGTATAGAATAACTCGCTAATTGTCCCTAGGGGTCTCCGGAATAGAGCCTTTATAGTACGATAACTACTGCCCTAGCCTACGATATAGAGGAAGTGCAATAGTCTCTCTGCTATTATAAGGGTACGCGCTACTTCTACCTCTAACCTATACTCTATTAACTTTACTAGTAATATATCAAATATCCTCCTATTTAAGCGGAAGATAGTATATAGCTTATGTTCTCTTTTAAGAAAGTACGCCGTCTGCTAGCTTCTATAATTACTCTCTGTCTATAGCTCTCGTACTAGTCGTTTATCTATATATACAATAGCCGTAGCGGCAGCCGCTATAAGGTATACAAACTCGGTTTCTTCGTTAGAGGATATAGCTAGAATATAACGATTTCGACGGTATAGCTAGAATATAACGATTTCGACGGTATAGCTAGAATATAACGATTTCGACGGTATAGCTAGAATATAACGATTTCGACGGTATAGCTAGAATATAACGATTTCGACGGTATAGCTAGAATATAACGATTACGACAGTATAGAGGGGTAATATAAAACGGCGATAGAGATACAGCAACTAAGAAATGCGACGAGATAGCAGTATATATAAAAACCTGCGAAAGAAGCTATAGGTTACTCGATTAGGCAATCCGAGAACCTGTAGTAGGTTGTCGACAGGTTCTTAACCTACGCGACATATCGACGACGTTTGAGAACCTATAGTAGGTAGATAGAGCTGCAAAAGCGTTTAATAGATAGAGTATATAGGTTTCGAGGCTGTATATACGTTCAATAGCTGAAAACTACCCTACCGTAGGTTGAGTGGCAGGTTTCCAGCCGCCTACTGAACAGGCCCTTAGCGTCTAATTCACTTCGCTTGGAATTTCCTTGCACCGCACGTGTTATTACCTAGCTACAAGTATCAGGTATATAAGGTATTTCGACATCACGATCACGTTTGCCTAGCGCGTTCATATATTATGTACGATGCATCCCGGGATAAATGCGGTATGAAGAGATAACACGAACAACTGGCTTTGTACCTGCTGATTCACAGGTCACGAAGTTGACAACAAAGTACTGTAGATTGATCGTAGCGTCTGTGGGCTGTGTGAAGATATGGTCTCTCAGTTTTACGCCTGTGTTGTTTCTGCATTTCGATACCTGATCGGCTACATGTAGGAGAACCTATGCGAGTTCTGTGGCAGACTGGCTGCAATTTCTTCTTCTTTTCTACCTTGACTGGGAAAGTAGGAATTGGGTTCATTTGCCCCCTAAGAAAGCAGGCTCGTAGCAAAGAAGATCGATAATGTCCAGAAGCTTCTGGTTCTGTCTGTATGTATTCCGCCCTTTGACCATCACAGTCGATATGTAGCAGCAGCCTTGTATCTCTGCTGCGCCTCCCAGTTCGGCATAACCCGCTCTTGTCTGAACACTCTCCTTCAGCCTGCCTCACTCTTCGTCTTGAGATCCTGCGAAAAAGCCAAGCTCGCCGCCCTTGAATGCGCAGCAGCATCCCTGGGCATCTCATCCATCTCTGCCGCAGCATTCTCAAGAACACCGACGGCAGATTTCCGATTCGAAGGCGAAAGCTGCACAAGTCTTGGTCTGAGAGGCACTACAGCAGGTTTCGCAGTGCCTTCCATCGCTCGCATGACTCGTGTTCTAGCACGACTGACACTGACTTGTCGAGCGACGCTGACTTGTACGATGTGTCGTTCAAAGTCGTGGTTATTCTTGATGCCTTGGGGATAGGGTCGCTCGCCGACATGTGTGTATTCGCCGCCTGGACGGGGGGCGTTTGTGGGTGTTGAGTACGATTTGGACCGGATGGTGGGTGGTGGTGCTGATTTGATTGGTGGTCGCGTCGAGAGATTTGCTCTGCCCCAGGCTGGTTCCGCGTTGTCGAGAATGTGTCGAACGGATTCGGTGTCTGTACATGTGGCGGCTGTGGTAGGAGTTGGTGGTAGAGAGTTCTCGCTGTAAAATGCCGAGTCAGGGGATTCTGGCGAGCTGCTCTGGTGCGTATCATGGCGTTTTGGTTGCAGAAACTTGGCGTCTGGTGTTGTTGTTGCAGCTTGGGATGCAGTCTTGGAACGTGGCATCGGTCCTGGCCGACGCATTGCTGTCATGGGGTCATGTGTAGAAGTGTGCTCTTCTTCTGTACGTATCGCGAGTGTACGCTTGAACGATGGCGAAGTCTGCCTCCTGCTCAATCTGACGTTGGCGCCATTGGTATCTACTCGAAGATAGTCTTCATCTCTCTGCGACTGCGAGCGCTGCAGCTGCAACTTGCTTTGTCTCCTTTCTCGAAGTGAAGGCTTGGAGCTGTTCAATAACTGCTTCTCAAACATGACACTATAACGTGGGAAGTCTAACGTCGGTAGGTCCAGATCGAGTCGTGGTACTCTCAGGACTGGGCGCGGCTTCTCATCGTGTTCATTGTCAGAAGAGAGTGGCGAATCCTGGCGGGTTTGGCGCTGTTCCAAAATATCTTCGGATCTGCGCGACAATCCGGGCGACTTGGGTTGTGGCGATGTTGTCGGAATGGGTGTGCCTCTTGGGCGTATACCAAGGCCTTTCGGCAGGAGCGACGTGCGATGGCTTGCATCTGGATGCTGCTCTTGCCTTGATGTTCTACCTGACGACAGGGGTGAGACATCAGGTGCTGGTGCCAGACACGACAAGGGAGTCGTCGGCCTCTCTGGTCGTTCAACTTCTGGGGCCTTGAGGTTTGGCGTGGGAGCATCATGGACTGCTGTTACACGGACAGTAGTGTCCTGTGGTTTGACTTGGTAGAATGGGTCCGTGGCCGTTTTGTTGCGAAAAAGATTGCTGAAGGCTCTCCAATTCGACTTTTTCTTGGTCTTCGGCTGTGGAAAAGGATTCATCACATGCTCTTCGTGTCGTGTAGGTGACGAAGGTCGGGCGGGCGGAAACGCGGCAGTAGTTTTCGTGGTCATGATAACATCCGCAGTGTGCGACCTAGCCCATGTAGGTGGTCCCGACAATGAGTTTCCATCCGTCATGCCTATCCGCGGAGAGTCGCCGTATGGCTGCAAGAAGGCCGCATCGCGAGCGGTCATGCGTCGAAGCACTCCTGGCGGCAGAGTCGGTTTTTGCTGATCATCATGTGTCGCGCTGCGCGATGGCATTCGTGGTGATGGCGTTGGGAAGTTGAAAGTGTCTGGGCCATTGGAATACTCAATAATCTGGCCCGTCCGTTCGAAGTCTTTGCCACATAAAAGGTGCTGCTCTTTGAGCAGCTCAGCAGCTTCCTTCGCAGCGAGTGGTGTAGCTCGCTTCGCAGAAGGTTGTCGCTTGACCCTCCTCTTGCCAACTCCAGCAGGTTGTGGTCTTCCTGTCATGCTGCGCCTGTGCTCATCTACCGCTTCTTCTATGGAATTGAAGTCCTGTGGTGTGTCAATGATGTCCGCCTTTGCCTGCTCAGCTTCCTGCTTCAGGCGTTCCTTTACAATGACTTTCTTCTGTAGCCGCCTCGAGCTTGTGCGCACGGGAAAGGCCATAGTTCTAGTGGCTGTCTACCTCAAACGCTATCTGCGACAGACGTTAGAGTTGGCGTCAAACTTCCCGACCTGGGGACCTGTCTGCGATATGCGATGTCCGTGAAATGAATCGGCTCTGCCGGAGAGCGCGAATTGAACGAACGGAAGGGACAAAAGGGCAAGAAACGAAAGTGAAACTGCGAAGATAAGGTAAGGGAGAAAGGCTTCCAGGTGGTGGAGGGCCGTGGGATGGTCGGTCGCTGAGAGGGAAGAGAGGTGCACACGTGGGAAGAGTAACACACCAACCAGGAGCGTCAGTGGCCCCAAGGCCGCCGTGCAGTGTTCAACTGAGTTCATCGACAGACTCGTTCCAGACGGTGTTGTACCGGGTACAGGCAGCACGCCGTCAAGCCTCGGCGACGGGAGGCCTGTGGGCCACGAGCAAGCGTGTGGGTGGTGGGATGATGGAAGGAAATGAAGCACAGGAACAGGACCCTCTCGTCTCATCACACGTCGCCTCCCGCGCACAGTGGAGTGGACAGCCTCAGTACGACTAACGAAGTGAGTGCGTAGGCTGCAGCGCGGGTGCTATTGATACTGTAACGTGCCGACATCCCGGCCGGTGCAGTGGCCGCCTCCATGGGTCCATGTCGTTGGAGAGTACATGTATACTGTAGTTACTAGGAGTTAGTAAGAGTACGGTACTCTGTAGTGCGCGCGTAAGGCTGTGAGGCTGTGAATCCTGTGAGTCCTGTAAGTCCTGTGACACTCTTGTCGCAGTACGCGGAAGTCTTCAGCTTCCATCGGTTTCATGCCATCAACAAGAGTCGGAGGCCATGTGGCAGTAGAACAAGGCGGAATGTCCACAGTCTTGCTTCGTCCCCCGCAGGTCGATGACTCAATGTGATTGCTGCAACGGAAGGTCGCAAGAAATAGCAGCAATCTGCGCAAAGCCAGTTAAGTGTGAAGGCCAGTGTTTCGGATTGAGGTCGAGCTCGGAGCCTGCCGGGGGTGTATGGTAGCGCTTAGTCGTGGGAATACCATTCCCAGTCTTGGCACCTTGGCCGTTACATGAATACCTAAGAATATCTAAAGAATATGAGAATTACATGATTAGGTAGGTAAGTAGGTAGGTAGGTAGGTAGGAATTTACGGACTTAAGAGGTAGTGTTCTAGTGAACGTTTTGGGCACGACAGCGCACCTCAAGAGACGTTCCAACGTGCTGCAGTAGTAGGTAGCAACACATGTCTGCTCCGGGTCCCGTCACCGAGCTGTTGGGGTTTCGCCCTGATACGCGGATCCAGGAGCGTGTCGGGTATGATACCGTACTAGGTAGATGTACGCTCAGCGGCTCAGGTGTGCGACTGCCACGGTCCTGGTCTAGATCTGATACCAACAACCAACAGTCAATAGATGTATTATGCATATGCTTTTCGTTAGGACGGGAGAAAAGAATGCGAACTTCCGTGTCTGAGCAGCAGCATTCGTTTCTTATCAAGAGTCGGAACCGTTGAAATAGAAGAACAGCCAAAGCTACTACCTCCTACTCTCGAGTGTTTTGTCCACTCTCAACAGTCTCTCTGCGTCGGATAGATAGGTTAGGTATATACACTGGCGCTTCCATCATCACTTGGTTGCTCGCCCTGCGAGATTATAGACAGCTTCTACAAACATCAGCGTTTGCATCGCCAACAACAACACAAACAAAAAACAGACCAACAAAACACTTCAGTCACGTACACACACACACACCTTACCTAAGGTTAAGTAAGGTACCTGTAGGTATCAAAAGACAGCGCAAAACTCCCATCAGTGCCTAGCAAACTTCCAAAAGTTCAACAATCCGAACCACCTCACCTCACCTCACCTTACCATAGGTACCTACCTCCCTGGTACAGTAAGGTAGGTACAGTATATGCCAAACCTCACCCACCAGACAAGAAAGACACCACGACGCCAAAACAAAAAGTGAAGCCCACTATCAGAATCGAACTAATGACCTCATCATCCCACCAAACCAGGTGATTTACAGCCATCCAGGTATACGAGTGATGCGCTCTACCCCTGAGCTAAGCGGGCTGCTGTTTGCTAGTCGCAATTATTACTAAGCATGACCGTTTGTAATTTATGACTTTCAGACTGGTTGACTGAGTGGGACTGGCTGCGCAGGACGCGGACTAGAAGTACCAAGTTGGGCGCGAAAGTTGTAGATGGTTACAAGTTTTGCTGGGATGTAGTTGGCATGTATGCGGTGCTGCTGGATGGGACGGACGGAATATGATCGAGGAATGAATAGTGTACGTGCAGGAGGGAGTGGTACTAGGTACTGTATTGTTATGTAGTAGGTAGCCTGCGAGCCCTAGGCATAGAAGTATCTATCTATACATCTTCATATGAGGCTACAGTGCAACTACGGGGGTTATTACGGGAGTCATTCATGCTTTTTCGTCTGATTCTAGAGGAGAGCCAAGTCAATCGACGGTGCGAAGCCATGAATGTTGCCGTAGTTAGGATGCAGTCGGCCTCTTATCCGGATTCCAACTCAGCATGGATCTGACAAAGTCGAAGAACAGCGGTATGTCGGACGTGGAGGAGGAGGAGGAGGAGGAGGAGGAGGAGGAGGAGGAGGAGGAAGTGGTAGCAGAATATTGGCCTCGGTCCTCGAGATTGACACTCGGAACCGTCTTGTCGGTCCTCCATTTTCCCATCGCTAGCGGTGGAAATCTTCAGCGCCTTGAATTTCTGGCTGAAGTAATGTCAGCTGCGGAAGATGATACAGTCAGAAGGTCGTACTCCTGATCAGTGCAGAACCATATAGTTGAGCTCCTGCCGAAACCAAGCTGGACCTTCACGGCATACGACTAATTGATAATATCGCCTGGCTTGACTGGATAGTATCTCGAAGGTCGATATCCTGAAAGACATTCTTCATCGATAGGATCCATCCCGCGGCGGCACTGTGCATCGCTCGCGCGCAAGCAGCAACACGGACCTTGGCTGAGAAGTGGGTAACCGTAAGGCCGAAGGTAGCGGGAGAGAATAGACCACCCATCGTCTTGAGCGTGAAGGTCGAGTGTGTTCATTATTCGAGCAAATGCTGGTCTAGGTAGTCTGACTCTCAGATTGGGTACAACGTTGTACAGCCGTTTTCCTCGCTTAATCGACCAATTACTCCGTGGGCTATGTAGAAACAGCACTAACATGAACTCCCTCTGTCTCTCTGGATTCCAGCTGGATCTCATGCGACTTCTTGTTAATAACGACTCCAAACCTGCAATGTGCCTTAGTTCGTGTGATCAATTGGCAATTCGCTATCCGCATGATCTAGGGGCGAAGGAACGGAGAGCTGAGACTCGATTTAAATGGCAGTCCATGTGTATAGCTATTCAGCCTCGGGGGGATCAGTTCTTGTTGCCATGGCTAATAATCAGAGTCACAACTGGTTCGAAATCGTGGTCTTGTTGCAGTTCGAGGGTGCCTGCTCGTGACTGGTAATGGAACCCATGTGTGTGAACGAGTTAGTCCTTTGGGATCCCATGGTTCGTGCGCAGTGTGGAAGGGGAAAGCATATATGTATACTAAGACAGAGAGAAGTGGTTGACACAAGGTTGACTCTCAGGTGGGAGTCAAGGGCGCCAAGGGCCAAGAGATCTGCTTAGCATACAGGTACCTGAATACAACAAGGTAAGAGGTACATGTAGGAGGACTAAGGAGGTAGCAACATCTCCATGAAGCCCCATGAGCCCAACAAATAACGATAATTGTTGACAGAAGTGAATGAGGAGGATTAGCGGCCGGTGGTGTGCAGCGTGCCGGCGGCCCGTGTGGGCAGATGAATCGATGAATACCTTGTAGCAAACCGGAGTGGTGGGCTGAGAAGTCAGGTACATGTACCAGGTGTGTAGTCGTCGGCGTCCTCCGTTCGCGCTGGGCGGCGCGCTATGCGAGCCCATCTCCAGGGCCCAACCTCTTCTCTCTCGGCCGCGTGCGATGCCATCCTCTCTGTCCACGGAGCATCTGCTTCGACTGGCTGCGATAAGCGTGTCACGGTCCATTGCATTTGAGTATATCAGCGGTAGGCCTGCTGTTCTTGACAAATCTTCCTTCCCTTTGTCCTTCTCATCGCTCTTCATACCACCTTACTGTCCTACCGGTACCTACTGCTGCTATCTCCAGATTCATCTATTGCTCAACCAACAGCTATAGCCAGCCAACCACCACCTCTATCATCACCGCAACAACACCACAATAGCCTCATACCAATCACCATGCCGTCCCTCACCCACGCCCGCTACGGCAAAGACAACATCCGCCTCTACAAAACCGACCGCAACGCCAATGGCACCCAATCCGTCACTGAAATGACCGTCTGCACCATGCTCGAAGGCGACATCGCGGCCTCGTGGACACACGCCGATAACGCCAACATCGTAGCAACCGACACCCAAAAGCAGACGACCTACATCATGGCCAAACTCCACCCGGTCAACCCCCCCGAACTCTTCGCCAGCATCCTCGCCGAACACTTTCTCAAACAATACTCCCACATCACATCCGCACACGTGTGGATCACAGTCCACAAATGGACTCGCATGAACGTGGGCGGAAAGCCACACCCACATTCCTTCGTCAGAGATGGGGAAGAGAAGCGAACAGTCTACGCCATTTTCGATCGCAAGACAGGGGGATCAATCAAACTCCGCTCCGGCCTCGAAGGACTCCTCGTCCTCAAATCCACCGGCTCCCAATTCCACTCCTTCCATCGAGACGAATTCACCCGCCTCCCCGAAACCTGGGACCGCATCCTCTCCACTTCCGTCGACGCGCACTGGAATTGGAAAACCTACGCTTCCTTGGCAGAAGTTGCCAAAGACTCCCACAAGTTTGACACCGCATTTCAGGATGTACAGAAGATCACTTTGGAGACATTCGCCAATGAGAACTCGCCGAGTGTACAGAACACCATGTATTTGATGTCCGAGCAGATTCTGGCTGCTGCGGAGGGTGTGGATAGTGTCGAGTACAGTCTACCCAACAAGCATTACTTTGAGATCGATATGAGCTGGTACAAAGGATTGAAGAACACGGGCAAGGATGCAGAGGTTTATGCCCCACAGAGTGATCCAAACGGGTTGATTGAGTGTGTTGTGACGAGGAAAGGAGCCAAGGCGAAGTTGTAGTTGAATCGAGGTTGGCGTATTTGGCATATTGGCGTAGATTTTTTAGAATTTTCGGATGAGACAACAGCTTCATCCCGTAGAACAATCAAGATACCCTTTTTTTTTTCTCTCCTCTATACCTATTTTCGCTCCCCGTCTGTTTCCACTCTTCACCTGCTTGTTTCAAAGTTGTGTTGTGCTGTACCTACATTGTGCTACTGCTTACTCATCGGCTATGTACAGGTAGTACCTTACCGGATCTTGCCAAACACAGACAACAGCGCCTCTTCTACCTGGACCGGACGAGAGCTTGTTCTCAAATCTCAAGGTACATGTATTCATTTGAGCGATCGGACTCCGAAGCGCCCACATGGGGGCTATCAGGGGAGCAAGCAAGCACTACCTAACGCAAGCATTACTCCAGTAAGATACGGAAGACTTCGGCCTTTCGCCAGGTCACTCACCTTCTCTCAGCCTCGCAGAGCCTCTCTCAGCCTCACACTTATATATTTTCAACAGTCGGAATCACAGGAGGATGTTGTTGCTACCAGTATAATGATATTCGGCGTCCAAGCCTCAATCACAGCCACAGACTCAGCAACGACGGGACTATCGAGAATCTCTCGATGATTCCCGCGTCCTAGTTGATGACTTCCCGCTCTTCTCTCACACACATGCCAGGTGACCACTAATCCCGGCTCGGATCTGGTGTTGCGACGTGTCGAAGATGCACCAAGCAGCATTCTCTCCAGACCTCGTAGCACCAAGCTTCTGTGCGAGACTCGTAGGGCATACGCGGCGTGGAGAAATGAAGGAAAGTTGTACTGCCACAGCTTGGCGCCAGCGACGGATCTTCATGTGCAGGGAAGGGTATCCATACCAGAGTCCGGTCCGGTGACTCTCTATACCTTAGCACAAGCCATTGCCAAGCGCTCGCGTTTGCTCGCGAGGGCTCGGATTCAAAACCGGTTGTAAGTCTACACTAGAATATGGATTTGGAGACTGCCCGTGCAGATTGCTTGGGTAAAGTCAAAAGAACAGACTGATTCTTTGCAGCATATCCCAGAGTAGGACAACGCCTGTCGTTGAAGAACTGTATATGCACTTGACCGGATGCGGGAATCCATTTTTCCGGAAGCACTCGAGCCACAACATCGCAGATTCCACCTCCTCAAATGGTCTGTGTCTCCTCATCGAGAACGAATCTTTGGAGACTACCTAGTAACAGGTAGCCACATACTGGAACCCTGATACAATTGCACCCAATCTGTAAGATGCTAGCTGGACGCTTGACCCAAGCTGGACACTCAGTCTATACTTGAACTTGTGTATACGTGGACTACTACACAAGGCCGTCTCTGCTCAGCAGTCCTGCATTCGCTACTGAATACTCCCATCAGGCCTTATGGCGACCGCAACGCACTGCGGTGTGGCTCAGCCTAAGATCACAGCGCATTGTTTAGGAGAAGCATCGCAAATAAGATCGCAGACGACTTTTTCGAAACGGAGCGCGATGTGATCAACTGGCATGGAAGTCCCGAGCATGGCTCGTAAACCTCGTACACGTCGCGCAGCTTATAGCTGGGCGTACTCATGGTAGCACGGAGGCAGCCGCTATACACTATATAGGACCTAGCCTCACAAGCATACTGACAGTAACAATTAGAAAACAACTGACCACCATGGACTCTTCGGTACTGGACAGTCTTCGTTCGAGCCACATCCAGCTCTACGTTCTGCTAGCTTCCGGGCTCCTTCTCACATACATCGCAACCAGAATTTACAAGGTGCACGCCGCGCTCCAACCCGTACCAGGCATTCCTCTCATCAGCCTTCCGGGAAAGACTGCAAAAGACTCATACGTCTACCATGGCAACGAAACCATCAATCTCGGTCTGCGGACTACAGCAGAGAACCAACCCTTCCAGATCATGACCGGTACAGGCCCAAAGATTGTTTTCAGAAACCGCTACGCAGATGAAATAGCCAAGAACAAGAAATTCTCAGTTTCCCAAAATGTCCAAATCGACTTCCAAACTGACTACCCCGGGTTCGAAGGTATTGCAATGATGTTGAAGAGCTCCCTCGTTCGGGACACCATTGTGCGGAAGTTGACGCAATCATTGGGACTGGTCACCGAAGATCTCGTGGAAGAGGCTACAGACTCCATTCATGATATCTTTGGCGAGTCACCGGAATGGCAGACTATGGAAATCAAAAATCCAATACAACTAATGGTCTCGAGACTGTCGAGTCGAGTGTTTCTGGGCAAGCCATTGTGCAGGAACGCAAGGTGGCTGGAAATTGCGATGGATTATACGACTCATGTTTTTGAGGCGTCACGAGCATTGCGAAACTTACCGGCCTTGCTGAGACCTATTCAACATCGGTTCATGAAGTCTTGTAGGGAGTTGAGAAGGGATCATAGTGATGCTCGAGCACTGATCGATGCTGAGGTGAGAACAAGAGAAGCTTCTGCTCGAGCGGTAAGTCGTCCTATTCAATCCATCGATTGTAAAAGATTGATGATGTGAATGCACAAGCTGACGATGGACATCATATTTAGCTCCTCAAGCAAGGCAAGAAGCCCCCGAAGAAAGCTGATACGATTGGATGGCTCGTCGAAATGGCACAGGAACAAGGACAACAACTCACCATTGATGATCTTTGCTCCGCCCAACTCGGGTTGACTATGTCTGCGATTCACTCCACCTCCGAAACTACATGTCAAGCACTCCAGCACCTTTGCGAGCATCCTGAAATCGTTCAACCTCTTCGCGAAGAAGTCGTACGAGTGATTGGGCAATTGGGATGGGCGAAGACGTCGCTGTACCAATTGCGACTCATGGATAGCTTTCTCAAAGAGAGTCAGAGATTTTCCAAAGGAAACGGTAAGATAATATACTATACAACATACAACATCCCTTCCCAGGCTAGTGATGATATATGACCATGATGACTGACACTCCCTCTCTCTCCTCCAGCCTCCGTCGTCCGCTACGCCGACGCCGATGTAGTTCTCTCGGATGGCATCGTCATCAAAAAGAACAGCCGTGTCATGCTCACCACCAAATTCATGGACGAAGAAGCCTATCCCGATCCTCTCCGCTTTGACGCCTACCGATTCATGGGGAAAGAGGAGCAAAAACAACAACAACAAGCGCAAGAAGGCAGCGACACTCCAACCCCCCTCGCAAAACTTTCTTCCCAGGACTCACATTACGTCAGCCCCACTCCCGAACACATGGGCTTCGGCCTGGGACGACACTCGTGTCCTGGAAGGTTTTTCGTGGCAAACGAATTGAAAATTGCGCTGGCGCATTTGTTGCTCAAGTATGATTGGAGTTTGGATCCCGAGCAAGGGGTGACGCCGTGTATTGTGTTGGAGTGTAATCCTGTTTGGAACGCCAAGGCGAGGTTGAGGTTTAAGAGAAGAAAGGAGGAGATTGAGTTGGATTGTGTGTAGATTGAGAGGGCAGGTGGTGATGGGGAACGAGTAGAGTGAAGAGAAATCTTATTGGAAACTACATACCTGAGGTACTATTGGGAGAACAGGATGAAAACAAAGGTGTTCTTGTATGTGTTGTCATGAATCGATTACTCGGAACATTCCCAATCCAGTTTTTGTCGTCATTTTGCTTCCATGTATTTCCTGTAGTCGCCAAAGAAGCCGTAGTAGGGGCTGTTGAGGCTCATGTCGAAGTGGAGAAGCAGGAAGTGAAGTGAAAGCGCCGCAAGAGGGCACATACATCTTGGCACGCTTCGTTCGCCGCAGCATCTCCGGCTTCCCTGAACATCACTGCCACTACCACTCTCGTCCTGTCCCACCTACACAACCCAGCTGCACAGCCATTGAACCTCACTTGAGCCTGCGCTACGCTCATCGACACGTCGCGTCGCTTCCTCTGCGCTCACTTGTCAACATTGACGCGCCCACCACGGGACGGGCTTCTAGGACAACATGTCTCAATACCTAGGCAAAGTATGTCCCATCTCCCCATGCTCATCGTATCGCACACTTCTTACTCATATTTCCTCACCAGACCCGCCTCGCGTACACTCGAACCTGGCATCACACCAACCTCAGCACCGAAACCCGCCCACTCGGCCGCCTGGCATCCCAAATCGCCATCACTCTCATGGGAAAACACAAACCCATCTACGACCCTTCCACCGACTGCGGCGACTACGTGGTTGCCACCGGCTGCCATGAATTACGCGTTACGGGCAAGAAAATGACACAGAAAAAATACTATTCGCACACCACGAGGCCTGGGTCGCTGAAGGTTATGACGATGGATAAAATGATGGCGAAATGGGGCGGAGGGGAGATTTTGCGGAGGGCTGTGAGGGGCATGCTGCCGAAGAATCGCTTAAGGGATGTGAGAATGCAGAGGTTGAAGTGTTTTGAAGGGCAAGAACATCCTTATAAGCAGAATTTACATCGCATTGGCGGTGTTCCGGTCGTTGGGGGTTTGCCCGAGGTGCAGAAGGCATTGAAGAGCGGGAAAGAGGGGAAGACGAGTGCGGCGACGACGACGACGATTACGACTGTGGCTGCGCAATAGGAGACTGGAGTTGAAGTGACCGGCGATCCGGAGATGAGGAATCGGGTCTACTTCTTCCAGATTCTCATCCTTGGCGGCGAAGATGGTTATCATGAAGGCAGGCCGCACTGGTTGTGACTACGCGGATAGAACATCAAGACCCAAGGATCCGTACGGTACGATGAACGCTTGCGCAGAGTACGTGAGCCCGCCACACAGGGTCGACAAGTCGCTTCGAAGACGCAAGCCAGGATTGAGGTCATGCCGCCCTGGACGAGTATACCATACTTGTCCTGCGCTGCACTTTATTGCCTCCAAGCATCTTAGAGAAAAAGAGTGTGGTGCCGGCCTATTTCGCTTTTTGGGAGACGGAGATGATAAGCACCCCGGTCGTGTAGCGTATCGCAACCTGTTCAGCTCTTCTGCTCGCCCGAGGCTGACGCCACAAGACTTATGATGCGATATGGATAGAGCAATACAGCAGCTTTATATCACGGCTACCTGCAATTCGGAAAGCAGCCAGTCTGGCAGAATCCTTTTGAGTGTGGTTACATTCTCCTGTATTACATTCACTACAGAGCCGAAGCAGGAGGGCACGAATCACTTGGACGGTGCAGGAAAGCGCCATAGTGTGCCGACGGCCGAGCAGAGCTGCCACTAGGTAGACTGTCATCAGCATCAGCATTATCTTTCTGCCTTGTGTTATCTGTCGCCGCGTCAAAGGTTCTTTTCAAAGCTACAATCACACGTTCAATTCATATATGTATATCACTTTACCAGCTGACCTTGCTCAGAGGTAACTAACAAGAAACGATGATCGTATGAAGAACCTACCCACCGCAAGGGTAATAATGAAAGACAGACACTACAGCACAGCTCGAGGTCTGCTATTGATTGATTGACTGATTATCTTAAGGTAGGATATTTGCGAAAAGCATTTGGTAAAAGAATACAGGTGAGGCTGTGAAGAATGATGAAGGCAACGATAAATTAACATATATGGGGACAGTATATTGATGAGAACGGATGGTCAGCCGAGTCTTGATAGCATGTAGTTATCGATCTTGAGGTTGAGGACAATGCAAGGAACTTCCTAGGTGGCGGTTGCTGTAATGTTTCGATGGCGGTAAATGAGAATGGGTGAGGGTGAGGGTGAGGAGGGATAGAGGGATAGAGGGGGACGGCCAAAAGGCCAAGGATCTACTACGTGCCGTGCCGTGCCGTGCAGCGCTTTCCCGGAGTGACGGAGTATACCTCCTACAGTGGGGACGGAAGCCGAAAGCTTAATTCCGTCCTCTGCACGGCACGTTAACTAGACATCCTACACGAGCGAGGCTGCCTGCGCAGGTATCTAGGTAGCCAACGACACACCAAGACAGAAGAGGCCTCCTCCATTTTCAGCGCCCACTTACACCACCCACTCCCCGCCTCACTTCCTCCTTCCTCCACAGAATATGCAAAGTGGGCAATCTCTCGGCCTCGATGCATACCGACGTGTGGATTCCTAGAGGGACAACAGTCAGGGAGACCAATGACGGCTACAGAGCTGGCGGAAGCCCTCGATGACACACCCTCCCCATCGCGGCGGTAACGGGACCTCCGTGGGCCCCAATCTCGTCGCGATCCCGCCCTCGCGCTCCGCCAAAGAGGGAGGGTCCCTAGCGGCGGCCGCGAGCTTCGTCACGGCGAAGCCCAGTCAGTCTTACATTCGGCCGCAGATGACCACTGTTCCCGGGAGCTTCACCTCCGACCTGAAGTCATTCACCAGCCGCGCGGACCTCCACGCCTATGGCAATTTCGAAGATGGCACGACAGACCTCACGAGCAGCGAGCAGAGACAGGCCGAGTTTCGGCACGAGATTGAAAAGCAGACGCGGCTGAAAGCAGGGACGGAGAACCTGCTGGAGGCCTTGAACAATAAAAATGCCAAAAAGTCGAGAGATCAGCGCATGGCTGCCGAGAGCCAGCTGAATAGCTCCAACAGGAAGATTGCGCAGCTCAAGCTGGACCTAGAGGCCGAGATACAGAAGAGTAAGGAGGCGCCGATAAGTCCCAAGGCAAGGCTCTCCCAGCTGTTTCGCCCAGTACAGCCATTGACGCTGAATGATCCGAGGCCGTCTCAGGATCTGGATGAGGTCGATGAGCACCAGGATCCGGAGCTGGAGTCGCCCTCGTATATACTGGCAGAGATTCTACAGGCGCTGGAAGCGGAAGATATGCCACCCGATTACTACATCAATCAAGCTAACGACTTGGTGGAGCTATTCCGTCGGCATCCTACTCTGAAGTATGACTTGGCCTGGTCGATATTCGGGATCAGGATGCAAGTCATGTTACTCAGTGACAGCAGGGAGGTAGTAGCAGCTGGCTACAGAGTGATGCGATATGCCATTACAAATCGGAAGTCTCTGCGTACGATACGTGCCCTGCATACTGACTACCTGGTCATCCTGTCTCTGGTGAAGGAGAGCAAAGCCCGCGTAGAGCGAGAGCAGGCGCTGAAGTTCATTCGAGCATTCCTGGACGTCAAAGACGGGATGCAGGAGATTCATCCAGCTGTTGCGCGTATTGTCGTGGCTGTTGCAGACCACTCAGACGATCAATTGCGAAGCATAGCAATCTTGACGTTGGCAGAAATGCTGCTGAAAGAGCCAATGCTGGTCGTCAATGCGGGCGGAATCAGTGTTTTGGCAGAGGCGATGGGCAATGGAGTGTACCACGCGCCAGAGACATTACTCGGGCCACTGCTACATCTCATGGATTTGCCTGCTCGGCGAGGTGTCTTGCGATCCGGCTTCGAGTTCAGCTCTGCGTTTGCGACTTTTACGGAGCCTCATTTCTCACACTCCTACGAAGATAGGCTCATCGCGAGCTCAAGAGTCATTGCTGCAATGTTCAAAAGCTGGTCTGGTTTGATGACATTATCTCTGCACCACTTCCTGCCTGTCCGGTCACTGGTCTCTTCCCTCTATGTCACTGACATCCGCGTCCGGACTGCCACGCTCGATCTCTTGATGGATATCCTGCGCATCGAGCGGCGGTCTTGGTCAACGCCCTTCATTGGTGGCCGACGCCTGACAACCTATGCACGCGTTGTGAATCTCCAAGAAGAGAAACCTGCCACATCAGCGAAGCAGAGTGAGGAAGACAATAGTCAGAAGCGCAGCCTCGTACAACACTTCACTGCTGTTGCACTTGCTGCTCTGCTGCGATATGGTCTGCTTCAAGGACTCGTCAGTGCTGAGCGAGACTCCCCTTCTGACGCATTGAAGAGAAGAACGAATCTGCTCATCACAGAAGTGCTCAAGAAGTCAAGCGAGCTGCTCCCCATATCGTGGAATGCACAGCTACAATCCATGCCAGGCTTGTTTCACTCGGCTTTGCGATTTGATAATGAAGATCGACATATGGCTTTGACAACAGTCTATCAGGTCGATAAAGTCAACCTGAAGCTGTGGCGGTCGGATCCATCAACTACCACTCAATCGAAGAGCGAGGAGAGTCAGGACACTCGTGCAAGATCAGCATCGAAAGCGCAAGCGCAAGCTAACATGGACGAGGCTGTTTATCGTGCTAGACAACTTGAGACTAACGTTCTCAATACGGTCAACTACCTTAAGTGGGATTGGAACATCATACTCGAGCTTGTTGACGGACCACTGACCAACCCTCGTCTGCTGTATGAGGCAATGGAGAAGTCAAAGTTTGTGCATCGCCTGCTGAAGTTTTTGCGGCCCTTTCAATTCCGCTTTTCTGATGCATCGAACACGAAGGCCAATCAGCGATATCTCAAAATGGGTTGTTTGCTGGTAAAGTCGCTACTACAAACACAAGAAGGCGCCATGTTTTTGGTCAACAACAAGATGATTCGGCAGCTTGCGGAGTGTCTCGCTCAATTAGACTCTGCCAGCGGTATCACATCCAAAAATCCCATGTTCTCCCCAGATCGGCTGAGTGAAACACTCGTTGGGGGCTACTTCCAAATTCTGGGCGTCATGTGCAGCGATCCCAAGGGACTGCAAATTCTGGAGAGGTGGCACATCATCAACATGTTCTACCACATCGTCGAGCTCAAGAATCGGGATGACCTGATACGAACACTTCTGACCAGCCTCGACTACGCGCTCGACAGTCATCCTCGGATCATCCTCTGCAAAGCAATGATTGCCGGATCGAAGCAGATGCGCATCATGGCAACCACACTGCTGCGACCATACGCTACCAAGTCCATTGAAGACTCGGCAACTGGAGGTTCTGCGGCTGAGTGGGCAATAAGGTTGCTCGTCAGTCAACTATATGATCCCGAAATTGAAGTGTGCGAGATTGCCATCCGGATTTTGGAAGAAGCCTGTAACGACATCCGATCACTCAAGTATGTAGTCAAGTGCAGGCCTGCTCTCGATCATCTGGGAGAGATTGGAGCTCCACTGCTGCTGCGCTTCTTGTCGACATCTGTTGGGTATCATTATCTAGACGGCCTAGACTACATCACTCGTGAGATGGACGATTGGTTCCTCGGTCGCAACGATACCTACGTGACGGTCGTTGAGGCATCGCTGGCCCGCGCGCTCGCCGATGTTCCCGAAAAGCCCAAATCAGCGAACCCTGAAGAAGCAATGACTCCACAACAATTTGGCTACGTCCCACCACACTTCTATCGAGAACTCACGAGAACGATTGAAGGCGCCGAACTCCTCAAAGCAAAAGGCCATTTCGAGGAATTCACCGCTACGATTCAAGACTTTGGCATGGAGGAAGATGATCCCGAGACTATCCTCAAAGTCAAAGGCTGTCTCTGGGCAGTTGGCAATGTCGGAAGCATGGAACTCGGTGCGCCCTTTCTCGAACGCACAGATGTTGTCAAATGGATTGTACAAATCGCAGAGACGTCTCAAGTCATGACCTTACGCGGCACGGCCTTTTTCGTCCTGGGATTGATATCCCGTTCCCTCCATGGACAAGAAATCTTGGCCGAGTATGGATGGGATGGCACCGTCAATGTCATGGGAACTTCACTCGGCTATGTGCTTCCTCTGGACTTTGACAAACTCTTCTCCATTCAAGCCCTGAACCCCTCCTCTGACTCTGAGGACAACCGAATGACGAAGAAGAATATTCCTCAAAATCGTCCTACTGCTGTCACCGATTCCGACCCTACGAATCAAGCTATTCTGGACTCGATTACCAAACTCGGAAACACGGTCTTGACGAACAAGGCTTTGACGGAGCTGAATAGTTTCAAACACAAGAAAGTCGCTGGGTTCAATTCTCCGAACCTGTTTCGAAAAGCCATGGTGCTGCTGGCTAGTCATGCTTATCGTATACCGCAGTATCGGTTCGTGTTTGATTTGTTTGACAAGAATGTGCTGAGGAAGATTGTTCTTGAAGAAGAAGAGGAAGAGGAGGAGGAGGATTCCAGTGATGATAGCAGTAGTGGTGGCAGTGGTGATGAGGATGCAGGTGAGAAAGGGGGACACCCTTGAAAGACGGTGAAATCGCCAACCAAGATGAAGCAATGGAGGTGTCGCCGCAGGGCAGTCGCGGTTTTTCCTTTCTGTTTTGCATCGGCGTGGGAGTGAGGCGTTTTGCGGATCCAAGCTCAATAAGGACTTTATCATGGCCCTCCGAGGTCGTGACTGGTGGTGGTTGTATGGGATAATGATGATCAAGTGACGATAGGGATAAGGGAATAGAAGTTCCCTGCGGACTTGATTTCGAAAGGAGTTTTTTTTGGAGTGGCGCGCGGGGAGATTTGTGTGTGTGTGTGTGTGTGTGTGTGTGTGTGTTTCTTTCTCCAGACGCAACGCCGATCACTGCGGTACTACATTACATTACATTCCGTAGGTACAGTATGTAGTCAAGTTTATAAGCTAGATTATGGAACTAGGTAGGTAGCTACTACCTATTTACCTATTTACCTTGCTGTGTTTGTTCGAGTTTTTTTGAACCTCCACTTGTAGTGTGAAATCGGTCTGAGTGAGCTAGAGGTAGGAGGTAGAGAAAAGAAAGAAAAACTGAACAACGAATGAATGAATGAATAACTACCTGGTTCGATTAGCAAGAGACTTCCTTCTTCTTTCTACCTACCCAGTATAGGTACCTATTCTACATCCCTTTTGGAAAAAAATATTTTGTCTCTTTGAAGTTCTGCTTGCTTACTTGCCCGTCCTACGTGGAAGATAAAATAGGTAAGGTACCCTACTCTTCTAAGGTACCATTCATTTCCATATTAAAAAAATTTCAAATCTTCCTCCTCACCAACCCCCTCATAAAATCGAAACTATTACTATCACTCTGCAACAGAAATTTCTTTCCCGTTCCCCTCACCCCTCTGGTCCCATTCTCTTGTCTTCCTCCCACCACCTCCTCCGCAACCAATAATCCCCAATCCCTCGTAATCCCTTCGATTCTAACCGTCACCGCTGTCTGTGCTCCTTTTGCTCCTTCTTCTTCGCCAGTTTCCAATGTCACGATTTGGCCGCTGTGTAACCACATTTTGTAGTACATTTTTTCGAAGGAGGAGTCCCAGCCTGTTTGGCAGAAGCGCGCGTAGAGGGTTTCGAAGGTGGGGAGGATACAGGCGAGGAGGCGTTCGTAGGTGAATAGTAGTTGGTCGTTTTGGTTGTTGGAGGGGGGATGTTGTTGCTGGGATGTGGATGTGGATGTGGATGTGCATGAAGTGAGGAGTTGGTTGAGAGAGGTGGTGGGTGTCGGGTGGGTGTGGGAGAGATTGAGGCCGATGCCGAGGACGAGGGTGTAGTCGCTTCCTGAGTAGGAGGAGTTTACGAGGATGCCGCCGATTTTGGTGTAGGCGTTGGGAGGGTGGTTGTTGTTGTTGGTGGTGGGGTTGGTGGTGGTGGAGGGGTCGAGAGCGTAAATGTCGTTGGGCCATTTGAGTCGGATGTTGAGGTTTTTGTATGGGGAGCTGCTGCTGCCGTGAGGGGAGGAGGAGTAGGTGTTTTGGATGGCGGTTACAATAGCCATGGCTGCGAGGTATTGCACAAAGACGACTGGTGCAGTGGTGGAGAGAGCCATGGGATGTTTAAAGGTGGTGGAAAACATCATGCTGCCTGGAGGGGAGACCCAGACGTTTGTGCCTCTCCCTCTGCCGGATACCTGGGTCGTGGCGACTGCGGTGGTTCCAATGGGGAGTTGGGAGAGGAGGGAAGGGTTCTTTTCGAGAAGCGTTTGAGTGGATGTGACGACTTCGCCATAGAGGAGCACACGGCCGAAATCTCCAGATATGCTGCTGCCGTTGCTGCGACGGTACTTTTCGAGCCAGTGGTAGTATTCGGCGTGTTTGAAGTAGGGGCTCTCTTTGATGGAGGGATGAGATTCGGTGTGTGCAATCAGGGTCTTGGGGAGGGAGTTATAGTCGGGGATTCTGTCGGTTGCTCCGTCAGTTTGGGGACTGGCATCATTGCTTTCTGACGAAGAAGAAGATGATGATGATGATGATGAAGTGATAGAGAGCTTTTTCATCGTGCCCTCGACTGAACTCCCTCCTCCGAGGGTATCGTCTACTGAAGGGGTAGTGCCAAAGATGTCATTATGTTTGAGGCTAAAGGTGTCATTCTCGCCACGTATGACTCCGTGACCGTTTTCGTCTGTGATGAGACCAGACGCCACCCAAGAAGCAAGAAGCTCGCTAATCTCGGTAGGATCGCTAGAATTCAGATGTAAAGGGGAGAGAGAAGGTACCGGCTGCACTTCTTGGCTCACTTGGAGCCCGAGTCTGATAAGACCAGTCTTGAGGAAGTCTGTTCGTTGTTCGTCGGTGGCAAGAAGTGCATCCACGATCTTGCCATAGTCAGGATTCGCGGCTTCGTTACGATTGAGGTTCATGCCCGCAAATCTGGGGGATTGTCAGCACCGAGTCATCGAGTATGACAAAGAAAATGTTGATCATACTCAGGATGAGGTCCTGTCAACACTGCAGCTCCATCTCCCACCTTACAGTAGACGACAGCGGCTTTGGTGGCTCCGCTGTCAACAGCCAACTCCTCATCAAATCTTGCTAGCACTTCCACGCCCCTATCCGCAAATCTCTCGGCATCAACAAACACTCCACCACCATTATAGTACGAGTTGAAGCTACCGTCCGCAGTGGATACTCTCACAGCTCGTGCACCTTTCTCACTACCGTAGACAAAACCCGGGAATGCCAAACCTCTGCATACTCCAGGATAGAAAGCAAGTTCACGCGCGCCAACGACTTCCCATCCCTTCCTCCCCACCTCGAATTCGCACTTTGCACTTCCATAGTAACCTCCCGCACAGAATCCGAGATACTTGCCACCTCCTTGCACATACGCTTTGATGCGGCGATTTCCAGCTCCATTGAGAGTACGACAGTAACCCATGTCTGCACCTCCTGGAAACACCAGGAGAGCACATGTGGAAGGCCAAGGTTCTTTGAGCAATTGATCGGCTGTGAGGGTGTGTACGGCATAATGTGGTCCGAGGAGGCGACGCAAAGTCCATGTAGCGTGTCGTACTGATGGGAGAGATGTGCTGGGGCCAGAGTAGATGAGAACATTAATCTTCTTGGAAGACATGATGGTTGGAGTGTGGCGACCTCGCCGGTAAAAGGTCTTCTATGTGTGGGGTAGGGTTGATGTTTCTCTTCTCGGTTCTTGTCCCTACTATTCTCTCTCATCAGGTTATTCTGCCAATTGTGCGCAATGTCGAATACAGAAAAGCAGCAGGCTGGACGAGGCGATGTCGAGGATGATGATGAGCCTGATGAGTGGTATGGCTGTGTTGCTCGGGCCGATGTGACGAGCTTCTGCTGATGGTAAAGCGCAGGGACAAGAGGATTTTCAGCACGGGCTGCGCAGGTAACCGAATTGCAGCGGTATAGAGTGATATGCGATGGAGCTGACGGTGTTGTCAGACGAGAACACGACACTCAATGATTGTTTCCGCGAGAAGAAGGACTGGAGGGCGTGCAAAGATGAGGTGAGTCCGGATGAAATGTCCCGAGCTTCGGCGCGTGCTTATCACGGCTGGTCTCTGTTATTATAGTCCAGGTTGATAATCAACGTGAAATATACTGATGCTAATACGGGACGGAGAATAGATGGAGGCGTTCAAGCAATGCTGGAAGAGGGCGGGCAATGAGAACAGGACGGCGCAGAAAGACGCGTGAGGTTCTACTGTGAGAGGTACCAAGTACATTATGGGACTTTTGTAACTTCGTTCGTGTTGTGATATCAGATTCAGCATCAAGATCACCCCGCTCAGTGTAAGATACAGATATGTAGGAGGGAATGACGCCTCCGACGGTACAGAACGATGTGTGTGTGTGTTCCATATTATCGTTATTCTGTATATGAGTTGTCGTGCCAAATGGGGAGAAGATGTCTTCGTGCTCGGACGGTCCCGTGCATCTTGTATTCTACCTCAGGTATTGCTTCAGCTTCAGCGCCCACCCGACCTTACTTCTTGTACACACTCATTTCAATCATGTCTGCATCGCGGCGCGCCAGCGCAAAGCTCGCCTCCTCTCTCTCCTCATCATCAACAACACAAACACGTGCCCAGCGCATCTGCCGATTAACGCGCCGCCACCTCTCGATATCTCCTCGCCTCCACCAAGAGCGCTCTACCTCTGCGGCTGGAAAGGCTACCACTTCTCTCTCCCCGAGCGACGAGTCACAACCTCTCCACTCCCTCACTGATGGCCTGCAAGATCCGCCCCCAATCCTCAACGAAAACGAAAAACAGGTCGACTGGACACGCTCCTACCACGGCCTCTCTTCCACACCTTTCACCCCCGAACAGGCCGCCATCCTACAAGAGCCGCTCGAACTCGACGACATTGAAATCAAACCTGATGGGATTGTGTATCTGCCGGAAATCAAGTATCGCAGGAAATTGAATCGCGCGTTTGGACCTGGGGGCTGGGGACTGGCGCCGAGAGGGGAGACAATTGTGACGGGGAAGTTGGTGACGAGGGAGTATGGATTGGTTTGTGGGGGACGGTGAGTGGAATCTTTTCTTGCCTTTCTTGCCTTTCTTCTTCTTCCTCACACTTCTCTTTCGTACCTTATGAAGGGTACAGTTACTGATCAGTGAAATGACAGGCTCGTGTCGATAGCCCGCGGCGAACAGCAATACTTTGACCCCGATGGAATTCCTACTGCTACAGAAGGGTGTAAATCGAATGCTCTCATGCGTTGCTGTAAGGATCTGGGCATTGCGTCGGAATTGTGGGATCCGCGGTTCATCAGGAAGTTTATGAAAGAAATGGCCAAGGAGACACTGGTGGAGCATGTGGTGACGAAGAGGAGAAGGAAGCATTTCATGAGGAAAGATGATGAGTTGAAATATCCGCTGAAAGAGGTTGCCATGGATTCGAATACGAGTAGCGCTGCTGTTGCGGGAGGTTACAAGACTGCGAGACCTCCAGGGACACCGGCGACTGCAAATGTGAATGGAAGTGGTGTGGCGAGTGCGGCGGGACAGGCGTTTCAAAAGGCCAAGACACAGGCCGCGAGTGCGCAGAAGAAGTGAACATTTCATGCTCCTCTTTCTTCTGTGCGATGGGCGTGCGCGCCATGCCCTGTCTGGACCCGACATTGCACAGGTATAGATCCGTTGTTACAACCTTTGCAACTCCTGTACAGATATGACGAAAGAAGGGCCAGCTAGCTGGCTTCAGACGTTCCAACAAGCAAGCAGAAGCAAGAGAGCCTAGCGAACAACCACGCGCCAGCAGGTGCAGGTGAAGATTCCCGCTTCCCCACCCTCCCTTCTCCAGCAATTGCGCTGCTATAGGTAGACATCTGGGACATTCCGAGGAGTAGTAAGTCAAGCGGTGTGATGGCCCGAGTATGCTTATGCGTTGGAGAAGATAGAAAGGGGAAATGTGCAACAGGAGTGGCTGGATGGCCGCACTCAACGTGATCCATATAACTTGTTTCTGGAGGACTACTGACGTGTACGTTAAGTATACAAACCTATAGGTAAGGCCCTATGCGAGCACTACCTCAGGAGGCAAGCTTTGCAGCAACCATCCATGGAGTGAGTGCACTCGTTCTCTGCAAACCAATTCTCGTCAAACGGGCCAATCGGCGCACTCGGGCAGTATATGACCTCCACCGTCGTTTGGTTCACGTTTTTTGCCCTTTTGGGTTGTTAATACTGAGTTTCTGCTATTGAACACCAGCGTAAACCTTGCCACGTCATCTGGTGCTGCGGCCAAGTGACGACTACCTCATGTAGAAGGTAATGTACCTGACCTCCTACACTGGTTTACGTTGCTACCTCGTTGCCACATCTGTGCGGTGTGCGCGATATACAGGCATTATCCAACAGAGCAAGGAAGTTCTCATGCCTGTGACCACAGCCACCTCCACCACCACCGTAGACGCCGCTGAGATGCGTGATTTGTAAAAAGGTATATAGCACTGGACAGGGCAGATAGACTCGGGGGAGGATCTGGACTCGACTACAGGTACCTCGTAGAATAGTTTCTAGTCTGGCCCCCGAAGCTTATCTGATTCGCTAGAAACGCTTACTAGGGAACTAGTACTGGCTTGAAGAGGCTTGATTTGCTGCTGCTAACTGCTTCCTCCTACGCTACCTCCGTACTACTGGCGCTACTACTGTCGTTTCTACTGCTTGGGAGGGCTGGAGGTTGCACCCGCTCGCTGCAACAAGCACAATTATTGTGGCCCAGACGACTTGAGTAGCTTGCCTTAGTAATGACACGAGTGATTCTGACTGGCGGTCGTCACGGCAGTGCTTGCCGGTGTGTAGGTCTAAGGCAGGCTGATCGTCTTGCTCTTGTTATGTCTGTTTCACCATCCTCATCATCGTCATCTTCCTCTTCTTCCGCTTCTTCTGCTGCTTCTTGTACCTTTTCTTTTTTTTTCTGCTTCGTCTCCTTCCAGTTGTCGTCGTGTTCTTCCACTGCATTTTCGTCTGCATCTTCATCTGCATCTGTTGTCGGGAAAGCCAAGCAACGGGATTCGTCCTCTGCCAGGAAGAGAAACACGCTAGCCCAGGGCCACGGCCATGCGGTCCCTGGTCCTCTCCCCTGTGCTCTTGGCCACGGCTGTTGTCCACGCCTTGCCGGAGCTCTCCATTGTGAAGAGAGACCGCCAAACCAATGGCCGGACAGACCTCTTCGCGAGAAGCATACCAGCACCTCCACAATTACTGCGGCGACAGGATGGCACCGTCGGCAGCAACATCTTCGATGTCCTGTCCTGGAGCTCGGGGGGTGCCTACTATACCAATGGTGGGTCGCAAGCAGTCGAGCAAACACGGAGACCCAAAGACGCATCTGCTGATCATGAAGTCGGTGGATAGTAACGGTCGGCACGCCTCCACAGCTCCAAACGGTCATCCTCGATACCGGCTCCTCCGATCTCTACTTCGACGCTTCGAGCGCAACCACGTGTGAGAACCCTCCATCCGCCACACAGGCTTGTGAGGGAGGCACATTCGATCTCACCCAGTCGAACACCTACCAGGAGGTACACCCGGCGCCCTCGTTCAACACCTCTTTCGGTGACGGCTCTAGCGCATCGGGGCCATATGGGTCGGACGTCATTGGGATAGGAGATGTGCAGATATCGCCTGTGCAGTTTGGAGTCGCGACGACCGTGCAGAGCACTACCGGATATGCGATTGGCCTGATGGGCTTGGGATACAGCAGCAATGAAGCGGTCACGAGTGCACGCTATTTCTACCAAAATATGCCAGAAGTGCTGAAGGATTCGGGAGAGATCAACTCTCGGCTGTATTCGTTGTTCCTGAACGATGCAGGTAAATCTCTGTCCTCGCCAGGGAGCGCTGTCATCCAGACACTGACTATTCTACAGGCGCCGAGTCCGGTACCATTCTCTTCGGCGGCATTGACAGATCCAAGTATACGGGAACACTGGCCACTGTCAACTTTCTCTCGCAGTACTACGAAGGCGAGAATGCCGGCCTGAACTTCATCACTACCGTCACGGCTGCCTCTGTCATGTCTGACGGGCAAGAGACAGAGTTGTGGAGTGGTGGCAGCGATGGAATCGACGCATACAACCGAAACGATGTGGCTCTGCCGGTATTGCTCGACAGCGGAAGCACTGCCTGGCAGGTCCCATCGAACTACTACAATCGATACATTGCTCCTCAGTTTCCCTTTGTGGACCGCAGCGGGGCGTGTTCCTGCGAATATGCCAGTTCGGGACCTTCACTCCAGCTGGAGTTCGCGGGAAAGGTCACGATCAATGTGACTGCTGATCAGTTCATTATTCCCGTCATCGATCCCCAGACCCGGGAGCCTATCCCTTACGACCGCAAGGGAAATAACGCCTGCGTCTTTCTCATCCAACCGGACACCACGGGTGCACCATTTCTCGTTCTCGGCGATGCGATCTTGCGAAGCATGTACGTGGTCTACGATCTCGACAATGGACAAGGGTCCATCGCCCAAGCCAACCAAAATCCCGGTGACCCAGACGTTGTCACTGTAGAGGCTGGACCTACGGGAGTGGCTGCAGCCGTGTCTGGCGTCAAGACTGCTCCCGCCAACACCAACACTCCCCCACCTGAAGTCACGAGGACCGTATCATTTACAGTCGCGACAGCGGAAACCGCCATTGCCACTGCCACGGGAAATGCCGCCATCCCCGAAGACGCACAAATCAGTGCCTCACTTTCCTCTGCTGTAGCGCCCAGTGCTACTTCGTCCCAGGGTGCTGCCAATGTATTAGTCCCTTGCGTCGACTTTTCCAGTATCTGGGTGGCGAGCATCTGGACGGCCGGCATTGCATTGGGAGTGGGTGTGATGATTTGAGGGACCTTTTTTTAGGGAGTTCCACACGATAACGACAGAAGATACCTATTGATACAGTCGATAAAAACAAAGTCATGTTAGTCTTTTTTCCAGAGCCTTTTTTGTTGTTGATATTGCGTTCTGAGCATGGGGACAGGATTGCATAGTGTATATATGGATGTGTAGATAGATGTAGATAGAAGGCGCATCGTGAAGATATATATCTTACCTACCTGGTACCTAGAAGTTAAGACATCTTTGGACTCAGGTACTCAATACTCTGGACTGGTTATACTCTGTGAACATCGGGCATCCTAAGGTCGTCCGTCTTCTCCGCACATTTCTTTCGGAGAGAGCTCCGCAGTACCTAGAAGGAAGTACCTTTAGTCTCCGCAACTAGGCAAGGTACAAACCAATCTCCGCACTTACATGTACTTTTTGGTATTTTTTTGTGCTACTTCCGGAAGAGGAGAGGAGAGGAGGAGAAGAAGAAGAGGAGAGGGGAGAAGACGGAGAAGAATTTCTGCCGAGTTGAGTGAACGAACGAACGAACGAACGAACGACTAGTAGGAGGTTTGAACTGTAGACGGGGGGTTGCTATGCTATTTCTCCACCAGTTAAAATGGCTGTGTATCTTAAGGTACAGTACATGTAACGACTCCGCACGTGCGGTTGTTTATAATGATAACGACGAGGACGGACACTATCTGTACCTACCTTGGCCTTTTTTTTTTTTGATTAGCAAACTAAGACATATCTACGATACGGCACGATACGATACGATTAGCTCGGTGTTAGTTGAGAAGTGCCATAAAAATCCCGGTATTACCTTAAGGGATGTGAGAGGGTAATTTCACTCGCGACTTGGTTTCTTTTCAGAGAGAGAGACGAGAAGAGAAGAGAAGAAGAGATTTGAGAAAATAACGACAATCAATCAAGGCAGCTGGACAGTTGACAATTCTGCAAACAAAAACAAACGAACAAAAAAAAACCATGTTCTCCATCGCCAAACCATCCACTCCCCTCCTCCTCCTCCTCCTCCTCCCCCTCCTCACCACCGCCCTCAACACCACCTTCGGCCACACCCCTCTCCTCGGCTACAACACCTACAACGACGTAGCCTGTTCCCCCAACCAAACCCACCTGCGCACCACCATCCACGCCCTCTCGACCCACGCCCTCATCGCGGCGGGCTACAAATTTTTCCAGTTAGACTGTGGTTGGCAAGGTTTTACTCGATCCCCTAATGGATCTTTGACGTTCGATGAGAGTGTGTTTCCGGATGGAATTGCTCCGCTGAGTGCACTCGCGAGGGAGATGGGGTTGGTGTGGAGTATGTATACGAATCAGGGGGTTTACTCTTGTGATACGAGGAGCAAGGAGGAGGGGTTGAGGCCCGGGAGTTTGGGGTTTGAGAGGGAGGATGCGAGGGTTTTTGAGGGGTGGGGGACGGGGTATGTTAAGGTATGGTTTTTTTTTCTTTTCTTTTCTTTTTTTTCTTTTCTTTTCTTTTTTTCCTTTTTTTTTTTCTTTTTTTTCCTTTTTTTTTTCCGTTTTTTTTCCGTTTTTTTTCCTTTTTTTTAAAAAAAAAGAAAAAATAATATAGAGGGATGGAATTGAACTGATATTGACACTTTTTTTTTTTGGAAAAATTCACAGGTCGATAACTGCTACATCGAAGGAGCAGAAAACAACGCCCCCAAAGACCCCCGAACCGATTTCCCCTCGCGATTCCAAAAAATGTCCACAGCTCTCCAACAAGTCGGCATTCCCGGAATCCTCGTCTGTCAATGGGGCGTACCCTATCAAAATCCCACCGACGGCAGCCTCCAAGGACCCGCCACATGGACACCTCCCATGGCTAATTCCTTTCGCGTATCCGACGATATCGCACCCGGCTGGGCCAACGTACTGCGGATAATGAACCAGAATCTGCACGTCATTTGGAACGATAACTCGGGTCCTGGGCACTGGGCAGATATGGATCTTCTTGAAGTCGGGAATTCGGGGATGACGATTGAGGAACAAGCGAGTCATTTTGCGATTTGGGCCATGTTTAAGAGTTCTCTCATGATTTCCACCAACGTCCCATCCATGTCGGAAGCCGTGCGGGAGATTTTGTTGAATCGCGATTTAATCGCTATTAATCAAGATGCTGCTGGCAAACCTGTCAAACTCATCCAACGCTTTTCCCACGACAAGGACGTTTTTGCTGGTCCGCTCGAGAATGGTGATTTAGCGGTTCTGGTCCTCGATCACTCGAATACTTCGCGTGTTTTAGAGCTCGAGCTGGCTTTACTCGGGATTTCGGAGGCGACGGTTAAAAATCTCTGGACGGGAGAAATTGTGGAAAATGTCTTTGAGATATTCTCTGAAACTGTGAAACCTCATGGTTCTCTTCCTCTTCGTCTCAGTAACATTCTCCTCTTACCCCCACCACCTTCTTCAGGAGAAGAAGAAGAAATCCTCTGGATCGAAGCTGAATCCGGCCTCTTATCCTCCGACGCAACTCTCCAACCCTGTTCGTCCTGCTCCAATTCTACCAAAGTAGGCTCTTTGACAAATTCTTCTTCTCTCACTCTGACCTTTCCCCCTCTTGCCTCGTCTTCAACAACAACAACAACGCAAAATCTCCTCTTCGACTACATCAATTGCGAAATCGGCTATCTCTCCTCGCAAGGCCCGAATACACGTCGCGCGGCAATTTCTGTCAATGACGGGCCTGTGCAGGAGGTTTTGTTCCCTTTGTCGGGATATGATTGGGGACGGGATGTCGCGAGGGCGTTTGTGGTAAGTTTGGAGGGGTTTGGAGGGGAGGGGGAGAATCGTGTGAGGATTGGAGGGGTTGAGGGGTTTGCGCCGGATTTTGATCGGGTGGGGTGGAGGGGGTGAGGGGAGAGAGGGAGGAGAATGGGCGGAGGGGGAGGGGGGAGGGGGGATGGGATGGGATGGGAGGGGATGGGAGGGGATGGAAAGACAGAAAGACAGACAGACAGGGCAGAGACTTAATGCAAGTCATCATTTGGAAAGGGAAATACCATTTTCTTTTCCCTTCTTTCCTTCTTCCTTCTTCCTTCTCCAAGAAAAAGAAAAAACCCCTTACAACCGACTCCCCAAATTCACATGCACAGCCTTAATCTGACAATATCCTTCCAACCCCGCCTCTCCCAACTCCCTCCCAATCCCACTCTGTTTGACGCCTCCAAACGGCACGCGCGGATCACAGTCTTGACTACTATTAATCCACACCATTCCCGCTTCGATTTCTGCCGCGACACGATGGGCGCGCTCGAGATTGGATGTGAAGATGGATGCTCCGAGTCCGTAGCAGCTGTCGTTAGCGCGCTCGAGGGCGGAGGTTTCGTCCTTGAAGGGGGAGAGGGTTACGATTGGGCCGAAGATTTCTTCGCGGTCTGGAAGAGGGGGGGTTTTTGGCGATTAGTTTTTTTTTTCTCTTTTTGTTTGGTGTGGGAGGATAGGGAGGGCAGAAAGAAAAACTTACAAATTTTCATGTCATCTCGAACATTGGTAAAGACAGTGGGGGCGATGTAGAAACCTTTGCCGCCACCACCATTTCCTCCATTTTCTTGCTGTAAAGAAGTCCCTCCAATCGCCACTGTCGCTCCTTCTTCGATTCCCGATTTGATATATTCCAAAATGCGCTCATACTGCACTTTCGACACCTGCGGACCCTGATATGTCGATTCATCCCACTGATCACCCACTTTACTGACTTGTTTAACCTGCTCCACAAACCGCTTCACAAACTCCTCATAGATACTCTCTTGCACGAGAATCCGTGACGTGGCCGTGCAGATTTGTCCCTGATTCGACATGATACCCATATGAGACCATTTGATAGCTTGCTCGAGATCCGCATCTTCAAAGACGAGTAGAGGCGATTTGCCGCCCGTTTCGAGCGTGATATTTTTGAGAGTGGCAGATGCCATTTTCATAATCTGACGTGCGGTACTCGTACTGCCTGTAAACGCCACTTTTTCGACGAGAGGGTGCTGGACGAGCGCGGATCCGGCTTCGGCGCCGTAGCCGTTGAGGAAATTGACGACGCCGGGAGGGAAGCCGGCTTCGCGGATGAGTTGGCCGAGGACGAGGATGCTGAGGGGAGTTTGTTCGGCGGCTTTGAGTACGACGGTGTTGCCGCAGGCGAGAGCGGGTCCGAGTTTCCAGGTGGCCATGGAGAGAGGGTAGTTCCACGGAATGATTTGCGCCACGACTCCGATGGGTTGACGGAGGGTGTAGGCGAGCTTTTGATGTGTCGTGCTGATGGTCTGGCCATGGGTCTTGTCTGCCCAGCCGGCATAGTAGCGAATGGTCAGAATGGCCTCGGTGAGGTCGGTATTCAATGCTTCGTTGTAGGATTTGCCGTTATCCCAGGCATCGATGGTGGCAAGGAGCTCCCGATTCTGCTCCAGGAGATCGGCCAGTTTGGTCATGAGTTGGCCTCGCTCCGTGCCCGGGAGGAGTTTCCACGACGGGTCATTGAGAGCTTTGGACGCTGCCTGGACTGCAATGTCCACATCTTGCTCGCCGGCAGCCTGCACCGTGGCAATCTCCTGCTCTGTTGCAGGGTCGATGGAAGTGATGGTCTGACCACTTTGGGCGGCTACGAATTCGTTGTTGATGAAGAGGCCCGTAGGCTGAGTGTACTTGCGTCCATTGGGAGCTACGAGGTCCACAGCATGAGGATGAGATGAAGCCGCCATACTGCGAAAGGCTCGATGTTGTGGTTGTTGATGATGATGATGATGATAATGATGGAACAGGGTAGTTCTAGGCTTTGCTGGCTCGAATGGGCGGGATATCCGAGGTCGACAACAGCGAAGAGTGGTGGAGGAGAGTACAGGTATATGTAGTGATGGTGCAGTGCGAGTGAGGTGTCGGGGGATCATTGCCCTTATATTGGCCGTCACTTGTCCTGCTGGAAGTGCAGCCTCATACTTGAACCTGCTAGTGGAGCTTCAGCCTTGCTCGGCTGCGATTGCTGAATTGGTCGTAGTTCCACCGAGAGCACCGTATTCTCTATACCTAGGAAGTAGTGTTTGGCTGTTTGATTCATCCCACAATTCACTTGAGCATGTTCTGCCGTTTTTCTCTAAAAGGGGCAGACAACCAGGAGATGAATGTATTTATTAGGCTGGCAGATGTCGATGCAGAGTCCCCGGGAATGGGCATCGTTCACGGTCAGTAGGCACCCGGCTATGTCCCGACCATGCCAAGTGCCTCGACCGGAAGACTGTTATTCATTGCACCCGTTCTTGAAAGGGGGGTAAGCCTACCGTTATTTCGGGGTCAAAAAAAGGGGGCATTCGTTGTGCAGCGAGACAGGAGACAGTTGTAGTCGTATATATATATATATCTATATATGTTGTATGTAATGTAGAGGTATCAGTCCCGGCCGGCAGTCCGAGCTGCACGAGCAGTGGCTTGGCATGTGGCAGAGAAAAGCGGAACGGGAGCGGGAGCGGGTAGAAGGAGCTCCTAGTGAAGTATACATTACCTGTAGGTAGTAGTTCACCTGTACATGAGTACCGACAAAGTCTCCACACCTCGACGAGCCTCCTCTCCACACATTTATTCACTTCACTTCACTTTGCCCCTTTCCAATCCTGACTTTTGTTATCAACTTTCCTCGCCATGGCATCGCCCACGGGACGCGTCGACGGCGACGAGAGGCCATTTGCCTGCTCCCGCTGCTCCAAATCCTTCAAACGCCGCGAACACCTCAATCGACATTTCCGCGCCCACACGCTGGAGAAGCCGTTTGAGTGCCGCTTCTGTGGCAAGACATATAGTCGCAGGTCAGTTTTCTCCCCCCTTCCCCTTTCCCCTTTCCTACTCCTCTTGATAGGAGCTCTCTGCTCTGTAATACGAACAACAAGACACGTAAGATATTGACGCGATCAGAGACCTCGTCACGCGCCACGAAAAGACTTTACATGGCCCTGATCGACTCCCCAGCACCGCCACCGCCACGGGCACTGCAACCACTGCCACTGCCACCACCACCACCACCTCATCAGCTACCGCATCTGCTGGAACAAGTCACAATAACCCCTTTTTGGCGCCCTTCCCGCCCCTCGACAGCCCCGACTCTCTCCGTTCGCTGCCTATGTCGGGCCCATCTCCGCACGCTCATGCTCACGCTCATGCTGCCGCTGCTGCTGCCGCCGCCGCTGCTGCATTCCAGGAAGCCGACGCGATGATTGATCCTGCTCTGTTTGATTCCATCCTGCATCAGACCCCTTCTGCCGACACTGCTTCGCCGTTATTGTCAGAGTCCACCACGAGCAACGACGCATCGCAACATGCCTCCACTGGCCCCGGCACAGTCAAGCGGCGGAGACTCATGACCAGGGGGACGACGACCTCAATCTCGTCCGATTCTATCGACACGTCCCCACTCCCACATGCCGCGTACGGGTCCCATCCGTTGCCGTGACCGGTCTTCGATCTGGTTTCGACGCTTTGTAATGTGTACTTGCCTCTCTTCTACCTGTCGCCACTCGACTGTGACAAGCAGTCGTTTCACATCTCCCGGCCACTGTAGATGACGGGCAATATACGTGGACCATCAGACCTCTTCAAGTGCTTGGCATGCTTGTAATCTCAACAAGCCAAAAAGAAATGTCCTTTCGTGACATGGCTCGATTCGTGGCTGTATATGGTACGTGCTGCATGTACACAACTGCTTGACAACCCTCACTGATCATGTTTCAGGCCTATCAAAAAGATACTTGCTTCATCTCTCCCAGGACAGACATACTTTACGGTTGTCTACCATCTCTTCACCACCACCACTCTCCAGCGCAGCAACAGAGGGCCGCTAGTACTGCTCGAAATGGTCGATTCTCAGACTTTACCATCATCTCAAGCATTACTTGGAACCTGCAGCGCGACAGTCTCATCAGCCCATCACGTCTCACCTCCCCTCTAATAGCTCTCTCTGTAGCTGATCATGATGATATGACGGCTTACCTGAATTGACGCACACCTCATACACTCCGGGAGACGACTGAAAGCAAAACCGTCCGGGACAGCAAGCATGTTCGATTCGGTTGCGACATGCTTCCAGGGAATTGCTGCTTGTTCCCGGCATGCATGTGACTTGACTTTGTGCGTTGGTGAGAAAGGTGAAGTGGCCGAGGAGGATAAGGAGGAGTGTTGTTGTTGATGATGATGGGAGAAGCATTGTTGCGTTGTTGTTGTTGATGTTGTCTTTGTTTCTTGTGCTTGTTTCAGAGAAAAAGTGTTGTTATCAAACTGGTAGGTAGTGATAGAGGGTAATCCAGTAGGTAGTAGTAACTGCAGAGATTTTCAAGTATCAAGACGAAAGCACAAAAACGACAAGAAGACAAGACAAAAACAAAACGAACGAGAACAAATTCCACCAGACTTATACTAACAACAACTAACATCTCATAGTAGGTACTCAAGGTACATACCTAACATGACCACCCACTCACCCCAATAACCAGACTACGTAAATAGTCCATAGATAGACACCAAATAAATTTCACCCAGTATTTCGCCTACTATACACGAACGATCCGATCCACTTTCGGACTTTTACTGGATATTCTTCGTGGTTCTTCGTAGTCTTCGCGTAGTCCTTCATAGTTCTTTATAGTTCTTCATAGTACTAAAAACCCTCCAAGTCATACACTACTACAAGTTCTTACATGATCACACATCTGACACGAACATCATATACTATAAGTTCTAAGCAATTCGCTAAAGTAAAAAAAAGGCACTATATGTACATGTACTACAGTATAGTTCTTATTGAAGTAGTATATAGCACGTAGGCATTAAGCCCTAACTGCCGAGGTAATAACAGTAATTAAGGCCTTAGGCAGCAATCACGCGGATATATAGTATTGAGCGGCTAGGCGTGTTTCTTTTATATAGGGCGTCGGGGTAGAGCCGAGAGCCGGACGGCCTAGGAGGGCTATACTACTTCCGGCGGGTAGCTATATAGAGTAGTTTTCTTCTTTTTAGGATAGAGGAGAGGACAGATATAATTAGGACGTAGATATACAGATACCTACTCTACTATAATTAATGTCGTTACCCTATAGTGCGCTTTGTCTTCTAATATTACTATTCCCGCTACCTATAGGTATCTCCGCGTCCTTCCGGACCTCTACCTATCTTATCCCTTTTACTACGGAGCTACGCCGCGACCTACTATAAGCCGGGCCTATCCGATCGTCTACTCGAGGACGGTAGTAGGAGAGAGGGCTTTATAGTAATAAATAGAGCCGAAGGTAGAGCTATTATATACAAAATACAAGAGTAGGAATAGTTGTAGATTAGAGGAGGAGGGCAAAAAGGGATAGGTATAGAGGATAGGATAGGAGATAGGGAACGCGTTTGACTCTAAAAAGGAGACTATTACAACGTAGTACGAGAAGGTATAGTATTAAACAACAAAGTTCGAGATTAATTAGGCGCAGTTCCTAGAGCGTAGTTCCTATACTAGGTAATACGGTATAAGGTTAAGGTACGATACGATATAGTAGGGTATAGTTCCTAATTCGGTATAAGGAAGGGTATAGTTCCTAATTAGGTATAGGGCAAGCTACGATATAATACGGTTACGAATATAAGGTAGGGAAAAGTAATTAACGCGACGTTAGAGGAAAGAGGTCTTTAGCCTTAGAGATAATAGACGTTACGGGGAGGCCGATAGCGAGGTATAGGCTATAAGAACGAGCGGCCGACTAATATCGTAGAACGGAAGAGGGGATTCGGGATTTAAGTTATACTAACTATAATATAGGTACCGAAAGGGGTTAGGATTTAGTTAGGCCTCCGGGGCCTAACCGAAAGGGGTAGGATTAAAGTACTACTATATATAGTCGAGGAGATTAAGACAGAAAACAAGACTAAAGACGAATACATATACGTATATACTAAAGAACGAGAACATACCGAATCCGTATATATACGTACTAACGAACGAGAACGATATTAGCTACCGAACACTCCGACCCTATTACTAATAGCCTCCGCTATACCGACTCGATCGAGAACGCCTCTATAGACTCGGACGAGTACGATCGATAGCTTAACATCTCGATCCGAAACCGCTCTATTAATATAGTATCTAGATCCGGACTAGCCGCGGCTAGACCTTCGGCGTCTATACCTATGTTAACTCCGTCGAGTAGCTCTACTTATCCTACTACGCCGAAACCGATAAGCGCGGAAGAATAGTACCGGGCTATAGAGCTCCTTATAACAAACTAAAACGTTATATCCTCGATAACCTCTAGCGTCGCTAGCATAATAGAGAAAATTACCGAAAGGAGCGAAAGGTCTATAAAGGAGCCGCCTATACCTAGTACTAATAGCAACCCTACGTTTAACGGAAATAATATTATAGACGCTCTCTATCGTTATAAGATAATAAGGGACAAGTACTATATAAGCAAGGACGAAAAGGAGGTTATTAACGATTTTCTTCTTAAATACGATATAGTTACCTACTCTAAGATCGAAGGCCTCGACCTATCCGGTAACAACTAGGCAGAATTCAAGGAGAAGGTAACTATTAATTATATCGAGAAGGACTACTATAGCAACGTTACCTCCCGGGAGTACCTTAACTAACTGTATAATACCCCGCGCGACGAGACTAGTAACAACCTGTATTTCCTAAAGCAATTTACCGCCGCTATTAGACGCTACTCTATAGCGGAGCTCTCTAACTTTAACCGTACTAAGCTCTTTCTAAAGGGCCTGCCTAATAAAGTAGAGATAGTCCTTCGGAGAGAGTTCGGTCTATACCCTAAGTTACTAAAGACATATAACAACTTTAAGAAGGTTTTCGCTACTAGGAAGAGGCTTCTTAAAGGGATAGACGGTTAGCGGTATACGAAGGATCCGACTACTGTAGCTAGACTCGGCAAGTTGTAGGAGAACTTGGCCGGCGCTAGTTCGACTTCCTTTAAGGGTATACCGTCGATTACGGCTCTAGCCTCGAAGAACGACAAGTTTAACTCTAAAGTTAACGCCCTTACCGAGCAGTTTAATACCCTCTAACTCGACCTCTACTAAGCCTTCTAAGAGAGAGGAAGTAGCAACGCGCGTCTAGTAAACCTGCCTAGCGTAGTTTAGGCTTATTATAGTATAGTTGCCTTAGGCTCCGATTTAGTCAGGCCCCTAGGGCCTAACTAAAATCTCGGGTATAGATCTACTGCCTACTACTCTACGACGTCTGTACCTACTAACTCGGCTAGAGCCCTATCTAGTACCTACAGTACGTAGTATCTACCTATATCCGGGCCGTCGAATCCTAATAGCCTATATTTATCCGTAGAACCGGCGAGCATCCGTATCGATATAATATAGGTTACTAGTCTACTAAAGGATTGTTGTTTCTAATATAGTAACGTCTCTTACTTCGCCTATAAATACCCGATTATAAGTAACCTTACCTAGTAGGGGTTTATATACCGGAATAAGAGGAATTACTGCTTCTTTAGCCGAGCCGGTTAATCTCTATCCCTACGAGGGATTAAGTATAGATAGGACTCGTAGTACCTACGCCTATCCTAGATCCTGTCTTAGTTAGAACAGGAGATAAACTATAGTAACCCGATTGAGTTCCCGGCCTATCTTCGTATAGCTGTTAATACTACTAAAAAGAGATTCTATCCTCGGGACTAACTTAGCGTTCCCCCGGTAGTTGCCCCGCCTACCGTCGTTACGTAGGCTCTCCTTGCTCTATAGGCTGTCTAGGCCTATACCTTCTTAGGCTATACTACGTAGGACCGGTACGCTACCGAGTATAAGGATAAACGAGCGTAGGTAGAAGAGATTGCAGATAAAGAGGACAAGACTATCCTCGTTTAGGCTATAACGCGACCGGCTAAGGAGCTATCGCGAGAGGACTCTTAGCAGAAGGAGGCAAGGAGGCTTATACCTACTATCCTAGAGAAGAGCTACTTAGCAAAGGTAGTTAAGGCTAAGGCTAAGGGGCAATAGAGTACCGCTACGACAAAACAGTTAGAGAGGGCGATATAGAGGTCGATTCTTCCTATAGTTAGTAGTAGGTCTCGGGATCTAGATACGGATAACGACTACGATAGCGGGTATAAGGTAGAAATAGTCGACCGGGAGGATAAGGAAGCTATACTTAGATAGAGCTAGGATTACGCTACCGAGCTAGCCCCGGTAAACCCGCCGACGAAGACAAAGAAAAAGCCTATAATACGTCGCCTAGATAAACTAATTTAGGACAACGAGCCTAAGGAGGGTATTATCCTATCCTTTTCGTCCTTTAAAGATTTCGTCTTCAGTCTGCTTACGAATGCTATACTACCGGCGATAACGGTTAGAGAGGCACTTCGGATAGGTAACCTATTTACTAAGGGTTTGTTTACGAGATTTGCTAACGACCCTACTACTTAGAAGGCTATTAAGCGTATTATAAGTCGAGGGACCGAGACGAGCCCTCCTACCTAAGTTATTATTACCGAGACGTCGATTGTTCGCGTAGAGGAGGAGGATATCCGTTGCCCGGCTCGGGTTCCTAACTAGATATTCGTTTAGATATTCCGAGCTACTAGGTAGTATAGCGACTATAAGGCTATAGTTTCCTGCCTACGCTCCCGTCGATCGAAGCACCTCTACGAAAGGGTTCCTAACCGGATATTCGTTTAGATAATCCGAGCTACTAGGTAGTATAGCGACTATAAGGCTATAGTTTCCTACCTACGCCCCCGTCGACCGGAGCAGCTCTACGAAAGGGCTAAAGATATTGACCTGTCGGCGGTAACGTAGGACTATACTATAGTGTCTAGTATCTAGGTCCTAGTAATGTTCGGGAGTAATATAGGCAAGGTCTGTAAGGGACTAGTTAATAAGGGTACTAAGTTAGTTATTCTTCGGCAGAGTATCGTTTAGAAGTACGGTTTGCTAATAATATACTAGCTAAATAAGATTAATATATCTATAGCGAACGGGTTAACTAGGATTGTCGGCGTCTATTAGAGACTGCCTATCTCGGTATATAGCGTTACCGTTACGGTAACGGCGTTTGTTACGAATACGGCGTATACTATACCTCTTATTCTAGGCCGCCTATAGACGAGGAAGACGAGGTTAGTTACGAAAAACTGTAACGATAGGTCCTAGGAAGGTACGATCTCCGACCCGGTAGGTTATTTAGTAACGTTTACTAGTACCGTCGGCGATACGGGCTACTAACGGTTTGTTACCTTCGGCGGGCAGGGAAAATTAGTAGCGGCGTCGAAGCTATAATAGCGTCCGCGTCGGGTTTGTCTTTAGTACTTACTAATATTTAGTC